ATGCAGGAAGCAACAACTGTCGTCGTCTTCGCTGGCGACTTCCTACCCATCATCCGCCGCCTCCAAGCTCCCATCTCTCATCCGCCAAGCCAGGGATGCGCCTGTGGTGCTCCCATAAGTTCGCCCATTGCGTGAGCTCTGGATATATACCAGTTGGCGTCTTGGCAACTCTTTCCTGTCCCTCCCCTGGCTTGGAATCGAAATGCAAGGTCTTCCCCCGCTTGGGCCACCTGCGAAGTTCAAGTCATTGAAATCGCAGCATAAAGTAAACAAATTTCTTTAGCTCGCAAATTTCGTTTTTGCATGGCGACAGCAACGAGATTCAAGTACGCAAAGCAAAGCATTTAATTTCTATAATCATGCTTGCTTAAAAACAAAACAAAAAAACTACATCTTTTTATGCCTTTTTAAGGTATTATCACCGTGTAATAGTGCTTTTAAGGCTTTCAATTAGTGAACTCGTTTTGTAAAAATGCGACGAAATGCATTTAATTTAAATTGTTCAGCATTTACCACTAATAATCTATAAATTTGCTTTATTGGGGTTTAATTAAATGTAAGTTATTATGATATTAGAAAAATGATGTATAATTTATTGATATTTCAATTGAGACATTCTACCATTTGAATCCTTAAAATTTCATTGGGAAGCATTCAAATTTGATTGTAATTTCTTAAAGTAAAACCTAAAAGAAGAAAAAATAATTAGGATCAAGACACTTTATATCTTGACAAATATCAATAACAATCACAACTTCCTTAAGCATTCCTCTTCCACTGTAAATGTTTCTTTCATTTCTCATAGTTGATTTTACTCCTATTTAAACGCTTTTTATCGCTCTCGGGCATTGTGCTCCCCATTGGTTTTATTTTTTGGTAGCCTTTGTCCACCAACTCAACATATTTTTAGCCACATTGTTGAGCGTGAGATTTATCGCCAGCTGCGGTTTCTTTTTTGGCGATCGGCGCGCTTTTGCGCTTTTTCCCCCAACGGCATTCGGAAGTTGAATGAAAAGCGTTTAAGTGGCGAAAAGAAAAGTTGGTTTAAATGTGTAAAACTGTCTTTTAATACTCTATAACTAAGCCAAAAAAGCATTCATTTTAAATCAGAAAGCTGTCCTATGTTAGTTTTTAATAGCTTAACAGATCTGCAAACTCAATTTAACATTTTAAGAAAATAAATTTTTTGCCAATTTTTGACAATTTTAACGATGTAACTTATATAAATTATAAATATTATAATATTATAAATTATTATAAAATTTTCAACTTTCGAACAAAATTTAAAAATTTATTTTTTGTCTGGACATGCCTAGACTAAATCAGTTTTTTATACTGATCAAGAATATATATGATTTATAGGGTCGGAAACGATTCCTTCACAAAGTAACAAGCTCGAGACTGGCATTATGGGTATAAAAACCATCTCCTAACTAGAATTAATTTGATTAATTACTGAAATAGTTTATGCTTTCAAAGAAAGCCAAGAAGCAAAAACAAAAGGATCTGTGATATTCATACCCCTTGTAGAATTCAAAGTATCCCCTAGGCAGGGTATAAATGGTGAATAAAATTAGACTCCTAGCCTTGACTTGGAGCACTTCAAGGCGACTGACTGCCTTTTTTTATGGAGACTCGGCGGATGTGAACTCGAACTTGGATTCCAGCTCCGATTTGCATTCCCATCCATCTACTCCACTTCGGATCGGATTCCCTGATTGCGCCTGGCTCCTTGGGCAGCTGATGGTTTATTTTCGGTTTATTGTGACTCTCGGCTTCGATTTTCGATTTCCCACAACTGCAACTGCAACTGCGACTGCGACTGCGGAGCAATTTATTGCAACTACAAGTTTGTCAATATATACACGAAAAATCGCTCGACGCTCGTTAGCCAAAAACAGTGTTTGCATATGGGTCTTTGCTCTTAGCCTGGCCCGAAGCGAGCCACAGATTGCGCAACTCCCGCCGCGGAGCGAGGAGATTCAAGGTGAAATCGCTTGAGGGGGGTGGCAGGAAGTGCCCATTGACAGTCCGACTGCAGTTGCATTTTAATTTTTATTATTATTATTCCTAAGAGCGCGACCATCAACGGGTTTGGGACCGACATCTCCGCATGCACCATCATCCTCATCCTCATCACCTGGCGGAGATTCGATAATTTGTTTTTCCCCAACACTCGCAGTCGTCCGTCAAGTGTCGCTAATAAACTGCCGCCCGATGAATCATAAGCACTCAGAGTTTAATTGCCAGGATCGTGGGGAGAAATGCCCGGTCCATTAACTGCAGAAATATGACTAATCGAGGGGCCGAAAACGGTGTCAAACAGCGCTGCAAAGTGCCGGGAAGTGAGTTACGCCTATTGATTGTCCAGGTGAGAGCTATTAAGCGGTTAACGAGATGTTAAAGAGCCAGCTACTGTATTTTATTAGCTATTTCTTTCAATATTTATACAACTCATTAACATTTTCGTAATAAGTGTGAAAGATGCAATAGATTTTAGAGACTTGCGAGCACAGAATGGCTGAACATCTTCCTAGGAACATTAGTTGGGTAATTTATACGCATTCCCTGTATATTCTAAGAGGTATCAAGAGTCTTTAAGTCGTGTTATTCCATTTTAAAGTGTTTTGGTAACAATACCGAATTGACACTTCAAGCATCAAGTGTCATTGAACAAGTGAATGATTTTCTCTCACCGTCGCCTTTTTCTTCTGCTTTGTATTCGGTTCATTGAACATTGAGTTGTGTCGATCTGATGGCCACTTCATTAAACCAAACACAATTAGCCATCTGAATACGAACAAGCGGAGGTGGTAACATTACCAACAATAAAAGCTTTACAAAGATTTTAATTTCGTTTACGAGGTGACATCAAATCGAATTACGTAACACAATAATAAAAGACGAAAGATGATTGAATTTCCTGCTGAATGTCAGCTGAAGATATTCAGTTTCTATTAGTTTTAGCTATTATAATGATTGGGTAATATTTATTTATTTTATAGTTTTCAAAGGTTAACAAATAAATAATTATAAATGGTGGATGAATACATTGCAAAATATATTTATTACAACCACTGTCTCAGAGCACAATAAATATAGGTATGAGCATGCACACAAGATTAATCCCTTCCTCATGAAGCCAGGTACCAATTACCTATAAAAATGTGGTAATAGGGCATTTGTCCGAAATCTCAAAATCTCACTTTAGTTCGAAGCAGAAAAATGCCATAATTTGGAGATTTATGTGGCGGAGCAAATAGACCAAGGATAGGATATGTCTGGCGGTAAAAAACGATCCCGCCTTGCAATTATTTTCGCACACCAGACACGGCCAACCCAGTTTTATGAAATATCTTTACGGCGAATCTCTGCGGCGGATCGTAGGCCTTGCACAGTGGCACACTTACAGTCACAGTCCCCAAAGATGTACATACATTTATGGTGGATGGTGTATAGTATTCACATCTTTCAAGGCACGTACTCGTACTATTTGTCATACAAAAGGGGACCGAGAAAAGAAAGAAATTTCCCGCAGACAATGAGAGCTCAAATTATTCGAATTTGCCTTTGTTTTCGGGAGTTTTCCTTTGATTTTCACTTTCATGGCGAGCGAGTGCAATAATTTGGCGTCTGGCCCCAAGGAAAGCCGCCTGCTCACCTGGCCAGCTGACGCTCGAGTGCTGGATCGGATGAAGCTGAAACTGAGGCTGAACCAGAGGCACTGCCTCCGCCTCCGCCTCCGCCTCCTCCTTTCCTCGCTGGCTTTGGCTTTGGCTTTGGCTTTAACCCAGCAGCAGCGACAACAGAGACAGCCGACAGCCGACAGCCCAGCAGCGATGAGAGCGAAAGTGCACGACACTGGGTCTCGACTTGGCAGAGGCTCTGGGAGAGAGTACACTGGGAGAAAGTGTTCCACCATTTAGATTCAAAATATAATTCATATAAAATGATAAATCCCATTCATAGGGCTTTAAGAGATATAGAAATATGGAAATGTGTCAGCACAAGAATTGAAGTCTCCATAGCAATAGTTATTGATTTACTTATAATCACATCTACTTCTCTTCTACAGCAAATTACGAATCCATTAAACATCGTAAATTTAGATGGTCGAATTGTTTAGCTGATTTCTTTCCAGTGTAGCCAGAGATGGCTCTCCAGCTCCAGCACATCCGACAGCGGGAAATCGGCGGTGCTGTAATAAGTTGATTGTGCGGTAATTTCGGTTTCACTTGCCAACCTACACAGTCACAATACAGATACAGTCCGAGACTGAGGCAGAGACTGAGACTGAGACAGAGACAGAGACAGAGACAGAGGTTAACCCCTGAGATACGGCCAGGTACTGGAGTTGGAGAGGCACCGACACCGACACAGATGGCCAAAACAGAGCCTCATTATTGGCCTGCTCGCCACGCATGCGCAGTAGTGGCCAGAAAGCAAAGACCAAAGTCGCATCATCATCATCATCGTCATCATCGTCATCATCATAGCCGAAACGAAACGCAGACACACACAGTCGTACAGCTGGAATACTGGAGACTAAAGACTGAAGACTGAAGACTGAAAACTGAAGACTGAAGACCGAAAACTGAAATCCGAAAAGGCGAAAAACCCTCTCGCAGCTGAGCTGGTGGTGGTGGTGGCGTGCATCTCGGCTGGATTTCTGTATAAATTGCTGATGCGGCTGCAGTGGTTCGTCAGTGAAGCATTTGATTTGGTCTAATAAACACAGCAGCCGAGTGCCAGCCGAGGATATAGCAACGTGAGGCAGCTCGATCCCATCCTGCGACACAATACCCATTATTCCGTTCTGTTTCTGTTTCCCCCCCACGAAATCTACGAAATCCACGAAATCCACGAATCCACAGACCGAGGATTACTGTGAGATTGTGTGAGAGCCAGTGCTAAAGTGAGTGCGTTGTGAGAACCGTGAACCCAGCATCCGTGCAGCATCTACCCCAGTTACGTTGTCCATACGCACCGTTGACCCAGCCATGAAAGCCTTCATCCTGATGTCCTGCCTGGCGCTAGCCGCCGCCCGGCCCGAAGCGGGCTACAACTACAATCGTCCTGGAGGCGGCGGCGGCTCCGGAGGCGGCTCGCACGGAGGTGGCATCGGAGGCGGCTTCGGCGGCAGCTCCGGCGGCGGATTCGGTGGAGGCTTCGGCGGCAGCAGCGGAGGCGGCTTCAGCAGTGGAGGAGGCGGTGGCTTTGGAGGAGGCGGCGGTTTCGGAGGCGGTTCCGGAGGTGGTTTCGGAGGCGGATCCAGCGGCGGATTCGGAGGTGGTTCCAGCGGCGGCTTTGGAGGTGTGTACTTACCAGGATGTAGGGTCCTTTAAGAAACTATTACAAATTACTTCGATCTTAGGCGGTAGCATTGGTGGCTTCGGAGGCGGCGGCGGCGGCGGCGGCGGTGGCACCACTTTGGTGCAGAAACACATCTACGTGCACGTTCCACCACCAGAGCAGGAAGAGGTGCGCCAGCGCCCCAACCTGCCCGTGGGTCAGGCCCAGAAGCACTACAAGATCATCTTCATCAAGGCCCCATCGCCGCCCTCGTACCAGGCTCCGGTCATTCCCGTGCAGCCCCAGAACGAGGAGAAGACCCTGGTCTATGTGCTGGTGAAGAAGCCCGAGGACCAGCAGGACATCGTCATCCCAACGGCCGCGCCCACACAGCCCTCGAAGCCGGAGGTGTACTTCATCAAGTACAAGACGCAGAAGGAGTCCGGCGGCGGCGGCGGCATCTCGGGCGGACTCTCTGCCAGCAGCGGCGGCTTCACCCAGACCAACACCGGCGGCGGCTACACCTCGGGCGGCGACTCCGGATTCACCGGGGGCGACAGCGGCTCCATCTCGGCCCCGTCCAGCAACTACGGACCGCCCGGCAAGTCCGGACCGTACTAACTCGCCCACTCACCCGCTGCGAACTCCGAACTCGGCCCAAGCTGCTGACTAGTCCTGAAAGCTGACACGCCCCCAGTTCCCGCTCGGGAGCACCATCATCCACGCATCACATTAACCACCACTTCGATCTTTAACCATTATCCTGGGACCCGTCCCAGAACCCTCTCAGTCTCGAAGGGGGCGGCGCTTTCGCCCACGACTTTTGTACATAAGACGTTTCCGCCCACGACCCGCCCTGCTGTCCCCCACTCATCTGTACATTTTCACCGATTTTCACACCATTGCCTACTTTCCTGCCCCGGAAGAAGACGAACTCTATTAGCGAATAGGCGACGGGCGGCGGGTTCCCCGGCTGGGAACTCCGCTCGGCGCCCGGAAGAGCGACGACGATGAGGAGGACGATGATGATATGTAGCAGATGATTTATCGGGGCTCCACACAATGCTCCATACATATAAATATATATATTTTAATTATACTAGGCCTAAGTACTTTATGCACAATAAAAAAAACAACGGTGACAAAATTACGAAAAAAAATACAGAGATCTTTTGAACTGAGAGGAAAAGGGGGAAAAGTATTCCTTATTTCCTTTATCCACATTTAGGTTTCCTTCCTTCCCCTGCATTTAATTTCTCTCGTGAAAAGAAAGGAATTTGTTCCACTAATTGGTCTTTTAAAGCCACCAAGATAGAGACCTTGCTCGGGGAGTTGGCAACTAATTTAAAAGTAATTCCTTGCCATTATTCACATAGCTGCGGCGTCTCCTTTGTGGCCTTGCCTGCTGGCCAACTGACCAGTAGCTTGGGTTCCTCTAATTAATTTTAATCCTTTCAATGCCAAGAGTATTCCTTCGGCCAAGTAACCCTTAAAGTCGGTGTTTTTTTGCCGTTAAAAGTGTGGTTTGCACTTCCGAGGAGCGCCACTTTTTAGCTTGACTCTGCTAATGACAAACTGTTGCTTTGGTTTTTCGCTGTCATTAACAATTGCCAGCTGTCTGTACTTACATTTTCCTTACCATTTTTTGCGTATATTTTTTGTATTTCTCTTATTTTTTTGCGATGTTTTAATGCCTTAAGTATACAGACAGCATCGGCATCGTCATTGCCGCCGCGTCTTTCCCATGTCTGTGCCCTGCTTTGGCACTTTCACTTTGTTGGAGTTGCTTTTGCTTTTGTTAACACATTTTGGCGGAAATTATTTTGGCAATATAATTGTCGAAAATAGAACTCGGAAGTCTGTAGGTTGTGTACTAAATAGTTCTTAAATAATTATTATGATGAAACAGCTAAAATATTTTACACATTTACCTATATTGTTTTAAGAAATATTTTGACCCATTATTTTCAATATTAATATTGTATTAAAATTTAATCTGTATTTTTACACTTACAGTTTGTAATTTCGTTATAAGACCGAATAGAAAATCGATCATACCTAAGCCAAAAAAGTATTTATTTCAATTCGGGGTGTGTATGTTTATTTTTATCAGGTTAATAAAGCTGCCGATGATTTAAAAGGTCGGAAATGACTCTTTCACTTTCTTTTAAGCTTCTGACTGAAGGCGCAATACCATTTTTAATCGATTTTAACTATATTTTTATATGCAAATTTGTTCGACAAATCGACATTTAAAAAACTCATAACTAAGCCAAAACAGCCTTAATTTCAAATCGGAAAGCGTTCGTATGTTAGTTTTTAGCAGGTTAATAAAACTGCATACTCCATTAAAAATGTGAATTTTGGCCGATTTTTGACAATTTTAATGATGTAACCCCTTTCCTTTTTTGCCAAAAATGGGAAATTTTTGAACAACAATTTTTTCGGCAGAACAAAGCCAGAAAGATTCGCCTGTAGATGCTGATCAAGAATATCTATGGTTTATAGAGTCGGAAATGACTCCTTCACAACGTTTTAAGCTTCTGATTAAAACTATATTAGCATTCTTTTTCATTTACATACTCCATTTAAAATGTGATTTTATTGACCGATTCCTGAAAATTTTAACCCCTTTCCTTTTTTTAAAAATATGACAAATTTCATTAAAAAAATTTTTCTTCCTGATACATCTAGAAAGATTCGGCGTTTGATGCTGATAAAAAATATATATGATTTATAGGGTCGGAAATGACTCCTTCACGAAGTACAAGCTTTTGACTAAAATGAATGGCCTTGACACATTTTCATATTTTGGCAATAAAAATGTTTTAAAGTGAGCAGCTACAATTCAGTTCGGTTCGTTGTGTTCCTCTTTATGAAAATAATCTGGCCAAACTTGTGTTTGTCTTGGCCTTTTCTATTGCTGTTTACCATTAATGGCAATCGTTAAAGGAATGCTTTGCCCTGCAAAACGATTTTGTGTATCGAGTTCCCACTAAATCTTTTAGACTACATTTTTCGGAAATAAATCCGTTTTGCATTGGGAGAAACATTTCATTAGAAATATTGTGTATATTTAAATTCTATGAAAAAATATATTAAAATAACTGGGAAGCATTTAAATATCCCGGAGCTTAGCAGGGAAAGAATTTCTAAGTAAAATGGGAAGATGATTTTTGTTCCCGGAATTAAAGATATCAGCAGGAGCTTGCCTTATTTTCAGTAACTTCAGTAAGCCCCTCGAACCTTAATTAAAAGTAAGTAGATTTAATTTGTATTCTTAATGTAATTCAGTTCGTATTTCTATATGCCCAATTACCTCAGATCGACCTTGTCTTGCTTGTTGGGGTCGTAAATTGCGGAAAACCAATATATAGGCCGGAACATGGTGCACGTGGAGTGGCTATTCCTGCCTGGCTCATAAACCGGAGGACGTGTTTTCCTGCTGTCTGCAATTGGCCAAAAAGAGGAGCAAACTGTTGGCATTAAGCAGCTCTTTGCATGTGGCAATTACAGGCCTTGGGGGTGGGCCGTGTGTGTTCCCAAAAATTCAAACATTGGCACATCCTCTCCTCCGACTGTCAAACACGCCTAGCCTGCAGTTTTGGCAATTTGAAAAGTTCCCGGACCCGCAACATTGTCACAAATTGGTGCGCATCCTGTTTGCAAAACGTCCTTCAATTCCTCTATTGTGCACTGGGAAACTTCTGCTGCTGGATTTCCATAGAAGTACGCATCCGACCCGTTGCCCAGGAGGACAATCTTTGTATAGGGGCTACTCGGGGTATGTGAAGGAATTACCTTTGTATATATATTTACTAAAGTGCAGTTTTTGTGTCACCTTTGTTGGGGAGGTAGTCTAACAAGATATGTTATTAGCTGGAAAAACGGAAACTTTTTAAGGGAATGAATTGCATGAATAAAGATTCAACAGAAAATATATTAAAGACTATCAGATACAACAAGCGCTCCCATAAACATTTGAGTCGCAGTTGAATAAATAAATATAATAATTTCAATATAAGCGAATGTCGACAGAAATACGCATTAAAACGATGCGGGGGAGGAAAAAGCAATTTATGGAAGGCTGAAAAATTTTTAAAATTCAATTTGGTGGAGAGGACAGGACGCAGGACAAACATAAGGGGACCCGGGATTCGCGTCGCGGACAGCGAAGAGCAAACACTTCCGCTCCCTTCTTATACAAATATATGTACTCTATATACAAATATATGCTGTGGCATAAGCGGACAGCTTTTATGACCTTTACTTTTCACTCCGAGGGAGGTGACGTTTTTCGGGTGTTTTTCTTTTTCGCCTGGGCGTGACACGCCCACAATAAATCGCAGCCGCAACACTTCCGCGAGGTCAGTCACTGGGAGGAGTTGGGAGTTGGGGAGCGGAGGTCGGAGCACGGAGCACGGAGCACGGGGCGGATACGTAACCTTTCCGCATTTAATTGACAGCTCTTTCGGACGGTTTATGACACTTTGGGCGCTTTAATTAATTGCTCTTACTCCCTCCCAGTCGTCTCTCCGGTGGAGGCCTCGGGTTAATTATAATGTATGTCGGTAGTAAAAGTAAAAGTCGTCTCACGTACTGATATATACTTATATATGTATGTACTGCACACAACTCCAAAAACTTCGCGAAAAACACTTCTGGGGTTTCGTTTTATGCGGTTTTATCGTCCAATATGGCTTACCACAAGGAGCCCAGAACAAGGCTCCTTTTCTTGGTCGGTGAATGACCGACCCCTGATGCTTTGTTATCCTGGCATATATATAGTATAAGTACATACATATATATAATTGCAGGTCCTTTCGTAGTCCGCCCTTGGACATTTCCACTCCCACTTTCGCATTTCCTGCATTTATTTGATTATTTTTTATGACTTTTGGATTTTTACGATTTTTTGTAGTAGTCACTTTGTTATTGCATTCATTTTAATTCCACTTACCAGTCAAATGCAGCACAATTTGCTTTAAGTTGTGGTTACTATAAATTATTATAGGAATATGATGAGTTTTCTTTTAGCATATACTATAAAAAAGTTTAAGAACATATTGAATGTCAAAGAGTCAGATATAAAAATTAATGATGTTAATTATATATTTTCCTCTAGGAAATACAACCATTTTAAAATAATATTTACTTATGCAACATTTCATGGCTGTCAACATTTCGTGTGTTTAGAAACATTTCAAGCCCGGCAGCAATGTTCATTTGCAACATGTTGTACAAACACGCTAAACCAACAAATTAAAGCCAAACGTTTCAAGCCAAACTTAAAGCGTAAAATAGCATGAAATTACCAAGGGAAACTTAGCAGAGTGTTGGCCGAAAAATAAGAAATTTAATTTTAAAGGGTATCGAAACTTTGCCAAAGGAAGTGTACATTAATTTTGACGCTAACTTGCTCTGTAAATTGCTGTGCAAATTAGTTGCTGATTAGTTTGGCTGCCCGCTGCGGAGGAAATTGTTTAATGAGCGTTTGATTTTTGGCATTTCATGGATAAAACGATGTATGACCGGGTTGTGGTTATTTTAATACCCTTGAAGGGTATTTATTAATTATGAAGCATTAAAATATATATATTTTTGATCAGAATCAACAGTCGTATTGGATTTTATTGAAATTAATGCATTTTTGCCTTGTGATAATGAACTTCCTGCAAGGGTATACCAATGTCGAGTTACCAAAGTAAGCTTTCTTGTTTTTCAGTTACCAAAAAATGCTACAAAGTAGCCTGCTCTCTCTCTCTGCCTCTGGTACTTTCGCAATTGTTGGCAATTAAAAGTCGGCTTCAATTACAGCTGGCCGAGAGGCATGCGGGTCAGGGTACTTTTCGGAGAATTGGCCAGGCCAAAGATCACCTCGGCACGGGCTAATCGATAAGTGAAATGGATTGATTAATGGCTGTAGCCGCTGATTGAACCAGATCTCACTCGGGGATTCATATTTTTACGCCTCAGTCAGCCCCACGCAAAATTCGACGCGCTTTGTGAGTGAAATTTGGCTTTCAATTTATGGCCAACTTTTTGTTTTTTGTTTACTCACCAATTCCGCTGCTTTCAATGGCTTAAAGCTAAGAAGATGGAAAAAACCCTGGGGAGCAATCAAAACTATGGGGCATGACCAAAAGAAATTGCAATCAAACGTGTTAATGTGCTTAACGCCCCTCATTTTTTTCAGTGTGTAACTGATTGGACAGTTGTTTGTGGGAAAGCCTCTACAAATATCGGAACTAAATTAAATATTGCAAAATTGTAAATAAACACGGCAGAAAAATATTTATTGATATATTAATCACTAAAATACGAAATACGCCAGCTTAAAACTTAAATAGTTAACTGTCTTTGACACGTTCGATTAATTCCTCAGAAATAAATCAAATTCTCAGCACTTAAAAAGCAATCAATTCTGACCCAGACATGCCTCTTGCATTAATTAAACAAACTAAAAGGAGGAACCAGTGATGAAGGGAGGACTGTCCTCCACTGGACGTGTTGGGAAATTTAATTAGTGAATTAGCTGAGGGGAAAGAGCAGAAAGGAGAGCGCTTTGCACCTCATTTCGTGGGCCAGGCCTTTCTTTTCCCTTTCGATCGAAAACCGAGGCGAAACACTTTCGGCCTCATTGAAGGCGACTGAGCGGATCCAAGCTCATTTGTCAGCTTAAGACTTTGATGGCCCCGTTCCTCCAGCACTTGGTGGGTGTGGTGGGCATGAAATCATTTTGATTTTGATAAATTACAACACTTTCGGTGCTGAGTCCGAGTCCGGACATGAGCTTATTTCTTTATGTAAGCTCAGACGAGGCATTAAACCAGTTCAGAAAGAAAACAACACCCCGAACAAGGCACCGAAAATAGACGTAAACGGTCCAACGATGATTGCAGCTAATGCCGGCAGCAATTAAGCTGTGAGACTGTCTCGCTGAGGTGGCCAAAACCAACTACAAACCAAAATAAAGATGAAACTGCAGCCGCAGGCTTAGAGAGTCATATAGCACTCGAGCTGGCCCCGAGGCCATAGAGACTCCTCCATCGCCAGGTGACGTGCAGTTTACACCCACAATTTGCGAAAAGAGCACTGAGAAAAATAAGAGCCAAGTTAAATGAAAGCTGAGCCAAGGCAGAAATGTGGAAATATTAATAAGAATACACCAAAATAAAGTAAAAGAGGCAAAGGAAATATTATAAGATAAAAATAAACATTCAAGTTATAGGTGTTATCCTCTTTACCACATCCCAAAGATTTCTTCTCCCTGTAAGTGAAGGGAAACCTCCTGAGAGACCTGGGTTCAACCGCCACCGACCACATGTTCGGTGGGGGCCAAAGGTCACCGTTGGCGGAGACGCGTGTCCAGACGATGTCTGAGCACACACATATACATATAGATATTTGTATAAACATTCATTACGAGCATTCATGAGCTTACTTGGCTTCGCGCTCTGTTTGCATCCCGCGTTGTTTTGACGCCAAGAGCGGCCAATGCGGCGTATACTTAATGTTGACATTGTTAACACTCCCTCGACTAACGAGGCATTAAAACGAATCAAATGGCCTCGTTGAGCACTCGCTAACAACGTTACCCCCAGCAACTAAGCAACTAAGCGACTTGGCAACTCCAGCGAGGAAAATTCTCCCATTTCCAGTAAATAATAAAAAAGAAGCCGGGTCGAGTTAATAAAACCAAACTGCCCGGGAGCTTCGCTAAACGGAAAACTGTCGCCAGATGTGGGTTCGAATCAATTCATAATCCCCGCATATTGAGCAAGATTTTGCAGCTCCATTCGGTCGATTATGCCATCATATTTGCATGCAAATCGGATTCAATTTATCCGCTCGCCGGGATTCTATGCGAATTTGGCATATGACTCGTTTATTGTCATCTTATTGCCCTTTGCATCATCAGCAGCAGCAACAACAGAAGTAGCAGTGGTAATCGCAATCAAATGCTTTTGTGTTAAAAGACTTTGATGGTTATCTCAAGTCTATTGCACTGGAAACAAATAAGAGTGTCATGTGGAATTTTAACCAGAAAAAACTATAATTTTCAAGACTCTTATATGTTAATTTACTATACAACTTTTGAATGTATAGTTTGTATAAAGATAGACAAATACAATATTTGTATTATTAATATATTTCGTTCACCAAACGTAATATTTCTCAAGTGTAGTACCGAAAACCCGACATCTTTATCGTGTCTGAGTCTTAAAGGCTATAAAGCTTTACGAGTAGTTTATCAGGTGGTCACGTTCAAGTGACGTGGCCACTGGATCCGTCGTTAAAGTAAATTATGTCGTCATATTTGCTGAATTCTGAATCGCCGGAAAACCAAACTGACTTGGGCAACTTTTTAAGGGTGCCTCTGACTGACTCTACACACTTTATGTGTAAAAAACATACACCTGAAAAGGAAATGGATTTTTCGAAGGGCAACACTCACCTGTCATGAGCCAGCTGACAAACAAAATCATTTCCGGAAATGGCAATAACCGGATTTTATAGCCAACTTGCGTGTTGAATAAGGGAGACAGAATTTAAGGGACTACTCCCCAGATATCTTAAATTTCTTGCCTTAAAGACCCCGTTCATAATTAGAGTTAAAGATGCCCTAGATAAAAATTAGTTTCAAGTGGCCATAAAAGCCCCAGGTCATTGCCGCTTGCCCGATATATAAATAAGCCCAAACTCGTTGGCAAAGTTTTATGGTCAGAACTGCGCCCGTTTATAGATTTTACGACTCCGCAGGCTGAGATCCGTAAAGATTCCGGCACATGCGAGGATGTGTCCTCGGTCGTAAAAGGGGAAACAAAGGACGCAGGCCGAGGTGCACGACCGCAGGGTCCTATAAATAGAACCCGACTTTAGTATCCTTCGACTTAATAAGGCTTCTTTCCGTTTCCTTTCCTTGCCTTTACAGATGGTCAAGATGATGCTGACGGTTGTGTTTGTATTCACCAGTTGCTGGCTGCCCTTCAACATCCTGCAGGTAAGTGGTGTCCTTACGTAAGAGAAGGATTTACGTTCCTCGCCTTCCCGCCCACAGCTCCTGCTCAACGACGAGGAGTTCGCCAACTGGGCACCGCTGCCGTACGTGTGGTTCGCCTTCCACTGGCTGGCCATGTCCCACAGCTGCTACAACCCGGTGATCTACTGCTACATGAACGCCCGCTTCCGGGGCGGGTTCCTCCAGATCATGCACCGGGTCCCCGGACTGCGGCGCTGCTGCTGCCTGCACCGCCTTCTCCGCGGCGGCGGTGGAGGCGAGAGCAGCATGGGAGCAACCGGTGAGATGGCCTTCAGGCACCATCACCATCGCCAAGTCGGCGATGGGCTGGGGCTTGGGCTGGTCAGGAAACCTAAGATCCGCATTAGGTGCTACCCTCCTCTCTCTCTTGTATCCGTTTCCGTTTCCGTTTCCACTTCCAATCTCTAAGTGTGTAGACTGTTCCTTTCCTGTTGCGTTTCATGCTGCTTATCCAGATTTTCAGGTTGTTCGGCGTGTTGAGTTAATTAAGGATTTATAAAATTGCAAATTTTTAATTTTGGCATGCCATTTTTATGACTTTATTAAAAGTGTTACGAGAACTTTAACCATCCTGATATTCTGGAAAATTTATAGAGAATTTACCATTGATTTTTGCTCAACTTAAATATTTAATATGTTACTTTAAGACTCCTTTTCTTTATTTATTTTAAATCTATTGAATTTCCGTTAAAGTACAATACAAACAAACTGCCAAATTCATATTCAAATTAAAATAGATAAATTGCGTATACGTCGCGTGATTGATAAAACGAAGTTGTCGATTGTGGCTTGTTTTGTTCTTTTGTTATTTGCACTATAAACCAAAAGGAAATCGAAGTATATATGATATTTAGCAAACTTTAGCTTGGTATACCACCAAGAAATCTTAAATATTTGCATTTTAGGCATATTAAAGCGATATTTTTATATGGAAAGTTTTTGGGTAAATCGAAGTTTTTTAAAATATCATAACTTGACCAAAAATGCATTAATTTTAATTCGGAAAGCTGTCCAATGTTACTTTTTAATAGGTTAACAAATCTGCTTACTCAATTTACCAATTCAAGAAATTTAATTTTTTGTCAATTTTTGACAATTTTAATGATGTAACCCCTTATAAAATTTTCAAAATTTTGAAAAAATTAAATTTTGCTCGGACATAGCCAGATCGATTCAACTGTTGATGCTGATCAAGAATATATATGATTTATGGGGTCGGAAATGACTCCATCACTTAATTTTAAGCTTCTGAATGAAATTATAACACCCTGCAAGAGTATACTCTATAAAGGCATTGTTTTTTGTATTATTTTTACACTACAGTTATGTTTTAATATTTATGGTTAAACCGAGGAGGTTCATTATTAATTTGAAAATTCATTAATATTTTAAATTTAAATAATTCCAGTATTTCAAAAACTTATTAATATTCCTGTATTTAAAGTTCCAATGAAGCGCTAAAACTTACCTTTTTTGTTGACTTTTAAAGTTTAACCCTCCTCCTACTAATTGTTCCAATATATGGCTCCAGATTGGCAGAATTATCCCACTTAATATTTAATGTGTCTACTAGAAGACTTATTCTCGCAATTCGTAATTATTTCCATTGCATGCCACCCACCTGCTGCATGCCCGAGCACCATCCAACAAAAGTTTCACGTTAATTTTGCACATTAAATGCTTACCAAATTTGGTAATAATGTTTTTCTTTTCCTGTTATCGGCTAAAAACCGAAGGAACCAACGGGGAACTGCGTCTGAATCGTGTGGACACCTGCACCACCTACATCAGCACAAGGCGAAAGCTTCGAGTGAATTCTATGCAAGTGGTAAGTCCCGAATATCCTCGAAGAGGTCCTTGTTCTTAGCTTCCAATTAGAGCTTGATATTGGAGCCACTGTTATTATGTTAATATTTATTTAAGGAGAAGGTAATATAGTTTAAAAGTAAATAAACGAGACTATTAAGCTGGAAATAATTATAAATTAAATTGCTGCCTGCTGGAATCCTTTCTAATCGTTCTGCACACTTTCTCTCTCTCTCTCGTTACTAATCAGAGTCAATTTTCACATGCCGAGACGTCAGTTTTGCGGTAACTTCCCACCCACCTGCCCCGCCGGAGGACTCACCTGTTCACCGGGCAGCCATTGCAGGTGTCCAGGCTCACCTAAACGGCAGCTGCACGGAGTTGTGAAGAGCAGGATATTAAGGATAACCAAAGAATCTCCCACGGATCGTGTGTGTGTGCTGTGCTCTGCGTGTGTGTTGTGTGTGCGAGTGTCTGTCTCTCCTGTAAGTGTAAGTGTAAGTGTAGATGTCGACTCATTGTAATTTTACCAAAATTGTAATGTATATTGAAATGTAATATCAAATAAGGGTTTATATACAAAATGTTTGGATCGAATCGAGAAATAAAGCCCCGGAGTATGCAATGTATCTTTGTTAGTTGGAAACGGTGTAGCATACACTTGGGCGCTTGCACAGAGTTCCATCGAAAAGCTTTTACCATTTATTTGCACCTCAAAAGCCGTGCAAAAGACACACCTGTATAATCGATCTAAACCTTAGACTATTGTACGAATTATAGTACGAATGTGTAGAAAAATCACTTGACTGTTCCTGTTGTCCACTGTCCATTCCACTGCCCCTGGTCCGCCTACCAAATCCGGCACTTGGGCTGATTGGGATTCATTGGCGTGCCGCGGGCGCACTTGAAGGTCCTGGCGAACTCCTCGGAGTTGGACAGGACGCCCCGCAGGCGCATCTGCCCGGGACAGTGGGAGTCGCTGAGGGCGTACCTAGAGGCCGCCGGCGTGTAGGTCTCGCACCACAGGTTCCCGAACGAGATGAAGAAGAGCTGCTCGTGGGTGTAGTGCTCCAGGCCGGGCAACTTGGCCCGCTCCCGACCCACCTCCTTGACGTAGAGTCGGTACGCATAGAAGGCCTCCCGCATGCCACCATTGTCGGCGATATTCTCGCCCAAAGTTAGCTCGCCATCGATCTGCGGGGGGAGCAGGAAGCAAAGGTAAGCATCTCCATCCAGCAAAAATCATATTAAACCTCTGATGACTTCACAGGGAACCCCGTCACTCACATACTCATCGATGTCCTCCAGGTGATACCGGCTGTACTGCTCCACAAAGCACTCGGTGCGGTTGATGTACTCGTCGATGGTGCGATTTGACCACCACTCGACCATGTTCCCGGCCCGGTCGAAGCGCCGGCCACTGTCATCGAAGCCGTGCGTCAGTTCGTGGCCCAGGATGGTGCCAATTGAGCCGTAGTTCAGAGCCCTGCCAAGGACACAGAGCAGAGGAAACGGGGTTAGGGTCTATTCATAGAAGGGATTAGTGCAAGGTGCGGTGCAAAAACGTGCCTGCAGCCCGGTTGTCTATTTGCTGTGCGATATGTGCCGGTGCTGGATACTGGATACTGAGTGGACTTACTCGAGACCCAGGTCGTAAAAGGGATACTGCAAAATGGCAATGGGCACGGCTGGAAAGTAGGAGATACGGCTTAGGGACTTAAAGAACATGTTCTCCCGCTGGACACTCACTGATTGCATTTGATTGAAACGTGTGAAAGGCATTCACGTTCGAGGGCGACGTCGCCCAGCCAATGGGCTCCGGCTTGTCCATCTCGTTCAGCTTGTCCATCATCTGCCAGTGGACGAAGTCCATGAGGTTCTCCAGGTGCTTGCTCGCGTTCACCTCGACGCCCGCGTAGTAGGCGTTCAGGGCGCTGGCATTGCGTAGCCACGAGGGAAAGCCGATGAAGCTCTTCATCTCGGCAGACTTCTGGATGGTCTTCCGCTTGGTGGCCTCGTCCATCCAGGTGGTTGACTTGACCAGGCGGTCAAAGGAGCGCCGGATGTCGCTCAGCATCCGCTGGACGCGCGGCAGCTTCTCCCGGGTGAACTCCTCGTCCGCCAGGACATAGCTCACCGCCATCCCGAACAGGCTATTCACTCCGCTGGCGCAGTACAGAGACCTCGGAGTGCTGCCCTCCGTCCCGATGGCCACTCGCATGTACTCCGAGTGGAGCAGCCGCATGGCACTGGTGGTGTGCAGCACCAGCTCCTCGATGGTACTCAGCCAGAGGTAGGACTCGATGTGGGAGGGCGGTATGTCCTCCAGGTACTCCACCACGTGCTGCAGGTACACGATGTCCGCCTGGCTGGTGATGATGGTCAGATTGCTGGTCATCTGGGGGTTGCCCGCGTGCTTGGTGCCCTTCAGGATCAGCTCCATGTAGCGCATCCAGATGGGCAGAGTTTTGGGCGCTATGTTCTTGTCCGTCTGGTTCTGCAGGTCCAGCAGGGAGATGTAGATGATGTCGTCTGCCGGGTTCTTCGAGGGCTTGGTTATGTTCTCGGCGTCTTCTTTTAACTGTAGATGAATACTATTGCATTAAATTAATTAGATGGATTCAGTAGTACTTGCCTCATGCACCTTCTTGGCCACCTTGACTCCCTGCTTGACCAGCTCCGTGATGCCCTGTGTGGCCTCCTCCTGGTTGACCCCTGGCTCCACGTACAGCAGGTACTTTTCGATTACCTTGCGCACATAGTGCAGATAGGCCGCCATTCCTGCGCTGGTCTGGCGAGCCGCCTCCTCCTCCTCACTCTCGCGATCCTCTTCGTTATCGTCCTCGTCGTCGTCACTGTTTGTCATGAAGATCGTCTTCCGATGGATCTTCCGCAGAAGCTTGTGCGAGTCATCGTTGTTGCTGTGGAGGAGGGAAGTGCTCCAACAAGACTCTATGTGATATGTTCTCACTATTTTTTACTCACAAGGGAAACGCCGAGTCCGTCTCCGGCGTTCCTAGGGCAATCCTGTTGATGGTTCTGTTAAAGGGATCTGGAAACACATCGAAGCCAAAGATCAGATCCATGCTGAGATGCTGCTTGATGGCCACTATGGACTCCAGCCAGTTGAAGCTTTCGTTGGCGTTTCCGGCATACTTGGAGCCACTGCTCAAGGTGAGGTTCAGGGACGAGGGCAGGATGGGTAGACCAAAGCGCAGCAGGTAACCCACCAGCGGTTCCAGATCCCTGGCATCCAGCTGCTTCGTGTCCATGCAGCCCTTGTACACGATCTTGGCCTTGCCCACGGCCTCGGGCTCCGCTCGGCTGATGTTCGAGCGCAGGAACTCCCGCACCAGGCGCATTATGTGCGCCTGCCGCTCCCGGAACCAGTCGTTGGAGGTCACCGAGTCCGGACGCGGATGCTCCTCGGCCCAGCGACCGCAGGTGAATCGGTAAAAGTCCTCACAGGGATCAGTCTGCTCGTCCATGGCGTAGATGAGGCTGGCCGCCGTGCGGATGCACTCCTTGCTACGGCAAATCGAGCTGGATTTCTTAACTGTAATTACGAGGAGGGTGAGCTTAGGGATTCAATAAAATATATGCCAAAATACTCACTACTAAGGCTTACGACTATGATTGCTATCAGCAGAATGACTACGAGGGCCAGCAGGCCTCCCAGCACCACCTTGTGGTAGTAACTGCGACGAAACCTAAAGCAAAATACGGGTAATTAGACGTTTAAGCCAGACCGAAGTGCACTCACCTGGACTGAATGCCTACCAGAGTGGGTCCTATGGTCTGGTAGGGAAGCTGCTTGCCATTGCCACTCGCCGTGGCAGAGGCAACGACCAGGGGTCCATTTCCGGTTCCGTTGCCAAGCTCGTTGCCCCCTCCACTGCCATTGGCTCTCACGGGTGCCGATAACAGGCTCAGGTTACCTGTAATGGGTTTCCAAACAATCTGGGCTCACTAATTGCTCTGTTCTCTGCTCAATTAGCTTAAAAATTGATTTTAACCAAAGTCAGGGAGAGAGAGGCACGTTTTATTAACACTAATTAGTCTAATGTCAGTCCAGCTGCGGAATTCGTGGGGTTCGTGTTTCTCTTCATTGTTATCTTGATCGGTGTTGTCCTGTGGCTCCCCTGTGTCCCTAATCGCCTGGCTAATGCATGTACACCTGGCTGCCACCTGCTCTGGCAGGGACCGCATTAGAAGTAGCTGGTGACAACTTCCGGTTCATCGGCCTCAAAACAATTTCGCGTGTCCTGCAGCAATTTAACCTATTTTAAAATATTAAAAGCCCAGCTAACCAAACGACCTAATCTCTAATTTACATGGGAAATAAAGAATACCTGAATTCCATTCGATAAACAGGATACCCACAATTTTCCCCCCTTTATTTTCATATTGAAAGTGATGCATTACATACTGGATATACACCGATATAATTAAAACTAAAAGTTATTTTCTTATATTCCCAGAATACATTACAGCATTGCCATACCCTTCATTCCTTTGTCAGATGTCTTTGCAGGCCTGTAGAAATTTATAAAAATCCCAAAATTTACAAAAAAAAGGAAAACCACACAAGATGTTTCATGGCCTATCCGTTATGCTGTTCAACACCTCCGAGATCGAGAGGAACGTCTTTGGGATGGCCGACGATGTGTATCGCACCATCGATATCTTCGAGCAGGCCGCCAGATTCGAGGCCAGTATCGGCAGACCCTTCGATTTGTTGTCCATGGTTTTTGACTGTCTCGTCTTCATGGCGGTGGCCCTCATCGTCGTGGCCCTGGTCCTGCAGAAGCGGTTCGTGAAGCTCTGGCAGCTGGCCAGGCTGAGTCGCCTCAGGGAGCAGGTGCCGGGCATTAACAAGGCCAACAAGAAGGACACCTTCCCGGAGACCAGGTCATCCTCCGTTACATCCCTGCCGGAACTCAACCAACAGCTGGAGGACGACGGCATTAGTATCCACAAACTCGAAACCAGCGAGAACGAGGAGGAGGACACCTTGGAGATGAAGAAGATGGTGGGCACTGCCCTGTGGGCTAAGAACTGGCGGGTCTCGACCAAAATCCAGAGTTTTGGTTCGTTCTACGACACCTGGTTCCGCTAGATTCAGGTGCGGAAATCGTGTTCCATTAACTGCACATCGTGATGCTGACACCAATCGATTGATTGCGACTTTGCGGTTACCGATTTGAATTTGTAAAAGTGCCACAAATTGGCTAATTAAGCTCGATATTCATATATGAACCCAAATTGAATAAGTGCCTGACTCATATGCTTCGAACTGTGTATTACCTAAGGAATTCATTCACCTTATGTACATCTAGTAGATACAATAATAACTAGCATCTTAGTCGCAAACTTTGGGGAGACTATGTTGGCTTTGATTTGAAAATAATGGGACCATGCAAATTCATTCTTCCTATCCAATTGCATACTGCAGGCGTATTCAAACTTTCTTAATCTATTAGAATATTATTTAGTCCCTGACTCTTACCCGGCGTCTGTAATCTCTGTATTGGCAGCTGCTGCTGCAGATTGTCGCTGAAGAAGCCATGATTGACGTTGCCCGTGCTCCAGATGCGGCTGCGGTCCTCCATTGCCATGTCATTGAGTCACTCGCACTCGGTCACTCAGCTTAGTTCATTCTCTGGTGATTTTTTCTGAATTAATTCCGTCAGATTTCCCTGGGTTTCTGGTTCTAACTCGGTGATTTTTCCAAGCACTTCGGGGCATATCAATGAGCTGCTCATCATTTGAATGCACGTCACAGCGCCCACATGTTGCGCCCTTCAAAAGGAGATAGGCCGGCCTGGGAACAGTTAAGCTGGCAGCTGGGAACAGTTGCTGGGCCTATTATAACCCACTATTTGCTCACTCCACTTATCGCTTTTTCCAGCTAGTGGCTACAACACTTGGCAGTTGCATAATTCGACATTATGTGCCGGCTAAAAAGTGCAATCGTAATGGCGGAGAACTCGGAACTCCGTCCAGTGCAGTTGGAGCGAGTGAGCCACGGACGACTGGTGTGGAGCAGAGACTACCGGCGGATTGGAGCCCGGGTGTCGTCAACAGAGCGTATTTATACGGCACCGATACACCTGTCTGCCTGCGCCAGCAGCAACCGAATAACAACAACTCACGTTCCCCGCACAAAGCCAGTGGCAATAACACAGGCAACAAACAAATCAGGCAACGGCAACGGCAACCCCCATTAACTCCTTCGGCCATGCAAATGTGCTGCGGCAATTACGAAAAGGAACCCCCAACCTCAACCCCTCTCCCAGGCGAAAAAAAAACAGAACCTTGTCAGTGTCTGACTGTCCTGCATGTTGTCCGTATTTCTGTTTGCTCCATCGTACCCATTTCTAGGAAAAGTCCTTGGGTTACAGGGTCAGATGTCCACTTGAAAGTATAAATATTTCATGAATGTGAGTCAAAAATTATTATAATAATTCTATATTAAAACTAAGAGTTATTTGAAATACCCACAAGTTACAGAAGTTACAAGTATCTACAGACTCTTAAAATAAAACTAGTTTCTGATCCATATTGCAGAGGCTTAAAAGGTTTAAGGTTTAAGGTTGTACTAACTAGAAAGGAAAGTATCATGGTAGAATTAATTTTTGTAGATATGTTTTCTAAAAATTTTTGTGAAGAAATCATAGTTTAAAAAACTCATAACGAAGGCAAAAACGCATTAATCTCAATTCGGAAAGCTGTCCCATGTTAGTTTTTAATAGGTTAACAAATCTGCATACTCAATTTACCATTTCAAGAAGTTTAATTTTTTGTCAATTTTTGACAATTTTAATGATGTAACCCCTTATAAAATTTTCAAAATTTTGAAAAAAATAAATTTTGCTTGGATATAGCCAGATCGATTCAGCTGTTGATGCTGATCAAGAATATATATGATTTATAGGGTCGGAAATGACTCCTTCACAGACTTGCAAGCTTCTGACTAAAATTATAATGCCCTGAAAGGGTATGAAAATACCTAACAAAAACCTTTATATATGAGGAGACGTTACGATTTGTAAACAAACAAACCATGACTTATTTCAAGACATTTGCTAAAAAACATATGTTTTACAAATTAGTAATAGCAAACACTAAAGCAAAACGTATATATATCTGGAGTAAAGACTCCACTGAGCCGTTTAATAATGCCATCCTTTGTATTATTAAAAATATATTACTTTTATGACTCAGCGGGGTATGCAGATGTGCGAATACCAAGTCCCTTTGTCGTGTTGTTGCCACAATGAATCAGAATCGAACACGAAGTGACCACCATCCAGAGGCGTAATGAGAAAAAGCACAATACAAATGGGAACTCTTACCCGAACTCTCTGTGGAGCTAGAGCTAGGGAAGAGATATATGGATAGTTACTAATTGATATGGACGCGGGTGTTCGGAGGCAAATCGGAGGCGCATGATTGATGACCCTGAAACAGGCCCAAACACGACACTGGACACTGGACACTGGGAAAAGGCCTGCCTAATAATAGTAATTAAATGGTGGCTCTTTGCCCGCCCATCGGCATTCGCATTGCTAGCCCCCTAACTTTGACATAGTTTATTGTGTTTATTGTGTCGGAATCGATAAATCCTATTGATTTCTACATGTGTCTACATGGCCCCGTCCAATGCAATCGGCCTCATCGCGCATACGCCCCGTTGACAGTCGAGGAACTCCGGCGAATACAAAGCCCAAAGTCCGGGCCGTGTTTACACTCACTAGGGTGTAATTGGTTTGCTCGTTCATTGTTAATAATCAAATAAATTGTCCGCATTCAGCAGGAGCCACTGTCAAGCCACTGGCTTTCAGATTCAGGGTTCAAAGAACTTTACTTTGCTGGCATGTACTTGCATACATTTATTATACATTATCGTGTTGTTGTTGTTCTGTTTTAAACATACATTTCATATATAGTTTTATAGTTTTTTTTTTGCTTTCTTTCTTTTTTTTTGTGTATTTTTTAGGACTAATTGCATGCATTTCTAGCTTAAAAGTTAGACAGGGAAGCAAGTCATTATGGGAAATATGACACGAATAGTTTGACGTTGACTCGATTTAGATTTAGATTTTTAAAATTATTTTAAACGCAGACTAAGATGAATTCTGAATAATTGCATTAAAATTAAGATCAAGAGTTCGGATTTTGAAATAAAACAACGATCCCCTGGACAGTTTGGCCTGCCATTCTGTGGTGGGTGAAACTTTGATGCTGCAAAGAGAGAAGAATGCAAAAAGATTCGGTAAATAACAATTGTTTTAATCCAGTTAGCTTAGTAAATAAAACTGTAAACTGTGTCAAAGCATTTCGTCAGTCTCAAAAGTCGTATATACACCTCAAAATACAAAGAATCCCGAGAATAATCCAAGGCTCTCCTCATTTGTTGCTGCATAAGTGTTCGTATTCGTATTTTATCCCCTGACCATGGACCGTGTCTTCGGTAATGTCGAGTACAAGTTCAAGGCCTTGACGAAAGATGGCAAGGGACTGGCCCTGAAGCTCACCGGATTCTACGCTGTTGGCTGGACCCTGCGCAAACTGGTCAAGTAAGGGATGTGCCTGCATTGTTAAACGTTCCCCTGTTTCGTGTGCCCCATTTTAATGTGCAAATTCAGTGTCAATGTCAACAAAAATAAATTTTGGTCTCACCCCTAAAATCACAAATCGCATTCACACTGGGCCCTGCGCCTCACAGGGTTTTCACCAGCACGCACTTGCAGCAGGAGGGGATCTTGAAGACGTCCTGGACCACGTCCAGCTGCCCGGTGTTGGGAATGCTGGCCAGGTTCCGCATCACATAGTGCTGCCGGCAGACGGGCTTGTACCGCTGCGGGAAGTTCTCGGCATAGCCGCAGGGCAGTTCCTTTTCCCTGTTGAATTAAGTGAGTAGATTAATCGCTGCCCACTCCTGCCTCCTTCCCTGTGACTCACTCGCACTCCTCGATCTGAATGCCCTGCTTGAACTCCTCGTCGTTGACGATCAGCTGCCACGAGTTGTCCGCCTTCAGACCCTTCTTCGGGTACAGGATCCGCCTGTTGGTGCGGCACAGGAACACCTCGTCATCGGCAGAGCCCACCCGGGCACTCACGTCCGTGGGCTGGATGAGTTCGTCGTTGAAGAACCTAGCGAATTTACCGGCCAGCTTCTGCTTGAGGGCCGAGAGGTCTGGGTAGTTGTCCACCTGGGTGCAGAAGGACTTGGACTCCTGGTTGGGCTCGTCCCCGCACTGGGAGCTGCTGATGTTGTTGTTCAGACGATACCTTTCCTCTGTTCCTGGGAAGACAAAGGCTAAAAGTTAGGCACGCGCCAAAGGCAGTTGGCCAAGATGAGTATGGGAATCGATTTAGTTGTTAATTGTACACACTCGAAATTGGAATCGTTTCCAAGTTAATTGAATGTTGAACGTGGTTTTAGGAATTAATACATTTAAATTCTAAAACGATTCATGTTTCGAGTGCTGCATGTTCCGAGTATCGAATGTATCTGAAGGATCTGAAGGATATTTAGTTGCTACTTACTGTCCGACGGCACACGGGTGCGCGGAGTCGGGCTCGACTGTGGCTGGGCTTGGGCCTGGGGCTGGGCCTGGGCGTGGGTCCCCTGCAAGGATACGAATGTGTCGTTAAAGACCAGATTCAGCTTGCCATCCGGGGAACGCTGCACTTTGAAGTATTGGTCTGGCTGGCTTAGGCCGTGGTACTGATGGTAATGGCTGGTCGGGACCGGGACCGGGGACTGTCTCTGGGGCTGAGACCCCGGCATGGTGGGTATGGGCATGACTGGTGAGGAGGGTGCACTGTCCGCGGTCGTCGTGGTCTGTGCGGGTAGAACTCACTCGTGTTACTCTCTCAGCCAAATTGTAAATAAACACACAGAGACAACACACAGCCCACACACACACAAGATGTGATCGGATATGAGAAGAGGTGAAATGGGGATGCGAGCGGTTGGTGAAGTGGAGTTTAAATTCGTCTTATATACTTTAAAAATTATTTTTTCATAGGGACTTAGTCTTACAATAATTCATGTATACCATTTAAGAGTAATCATACAATTCCCTTAAATCAAAGCAAACTTTTAAAGTTAAAAGACGAATTTCTTGTAAAAAAAGAAAAAACCCAAGAGAAATTTCGGTGCTTACATTAAAGAGGTGTAAACCCATATCATCGTTCACAATGAAGAGCTTTTTCAGGATTTCATTGATATCCTCGGCCTGCAACTGTAGCGGAAAAAGACAAGACGACAGGCGGTTTAGTCTGGGTTTTCACAACAAGGACGACACAAATATCGGTGCGGATGAGGGATACATATGGGGCGGGAATGGGAGTTTTTTCGAGGAGCTTTCTGTTTTTTGTGGGAAAGGATAAGAGACTGGGTCGTGTTCACACCTCCTTGGTCTTATTGGGTCCGCGCAGAATCGCGAGCACGTTTTCGGACGTAAAGCCGGACATGTCGGCGTCGGAAGCATTGGAATTTCCTGACGAGTTCCCGCTGGCGGCGGCCTTTAAGGCCGCCAACTCTGCCGCTGCACTTGCCGCTGCTGCCTCGGCCTCGCGCCGCTTCGATATTTCGCTATTGATACAAACTATCTGAAAGATACAGGTGGAAGAGTGGAGAGTTGTTTTTGTTTTTTTGTTTTGGTTTTCGTGTTTTTCTTGGTTCATCAACATTGCCAAGCCAACTAACTAGATATAGTAGATACTCCGAGGGTCCGTTGCTGTTGTTTTGTTTTGTTTGTCTGGCACCGGCACTACATTTGCGTACTTGGGGGGAGTTTGAACAGCTGCTCCGCTCTGGGCAAGCGCAGTTTCTGCTTTCGAATTCCATCGAGTTAGGACCCAAACCCGACCCCAGATAGCAACAGAGCGAGAGTTCACTTTCCGAGCTGATAATTCCCAGTCATCGCGACGGATTAGGCGAAGCTTCCCAAAAATTATAGAGCCTCGAAAGCCGTTTCCGATTATTCAGCGTTTATCAGCGAAGTAAGTCATAGTCACAGAGAGATTGAATAAAAGGAAATGTCTATGATAATGCGGAGATTGGATCCATTACTCAGACCAGGCCTACATAAGACAGACGTGTGTCATCTCCAATGGCAATGAATAACTTAAAACCCAGTCTCCAGTAAAGACGCTAATCTGGATCAGACTACTTCTAAATATTACACTTAACACTGATCTCGTTGTATTAATTCCAATTTAATTCAATTTCCCCGAAGGTATATATAATCTATATATATCTAGACTGACAGCTTGAAGAATTCAGCCTAATCAAAATTGGGACTTGCCACGCTCGTATAAAACCCGATCTTAAGTGCCCACCCATAATCCCATAAGCACGTAGTTGCCATAGACTTTTGTTTTGCCATTTCTCGGAAATGTTTTTCCCCAAGCTTGTCAGGCAATTAGCTATCAAGCTTTTATTATTATTATTTTGTTGGCAAACATTGGATAATTCTTTCGTGTCAGTTTTAAGGTTTTCCACGAACCTTTTGGAACCTGGACTGAGTCGAAAACAAGTGATCTTTGGAGCCGGTGCTTGGTGTTTGGATTTCCGAGGAAAACCAGGCACACCGAGTGACAGACGTTCTAATAATTTTCCATTTAATTACTGGGCGGCGGAATCCCTTTAGTCGACGACAGTAAATTAGCTCGGAAGTCGTGTGCAGAATCACTTGGCATCACTTGCTGCCAATTAATGCACATTATTGCAATGCCGATGATATGCATTTATTATAAGGAGAATGATGAAAATTGCACACAGATCGCCACCGCCGCCGTTGGCAATGCGAAACGGGTTTTCGATCTCTCTAAACTGTCTAAATAGCATCTACATATGTATATAAACTTGAAAACGCCCTTCGGCTTATGGTAATCCTCGGTGCAGGCAAGGAAAATCTACGGAAACCGGAGATGAGGGAAATAATGACCCAAAGCCCAAAATGCATGAGAGTAACACACACAACACAGAAACAACAGGGACACATCAGTCGAACTTTCGTAACTTGAACAACCAGCTGTTTGTATAAAATCGAGTTATTAAGAGATTTTTAGTTGAGTTCTATACCTTTTTTCCATTAACTTGAGCTCTATACTTTTTTCTATTTATTTCTGAATCATTTTAACATTAAAAAAAAACGAACTATTAAATATAATAACATAATTTTCGAGTTACACATAGAGTAGAAGTAGAATTTGAGTCACTTGGTATATGTGATTAGATCTTGAGAAAAAAATATTGACGGTTATAATAACTTCTGAATGACAGCTCAATATATATTGAGTAAAAAGATAGAGTAATATAATATACCTCTCATATGAGTTATAAGTTAATTACAAATCTAGATTTGACTAGATTTTCAGAACGTTATTCTGATTTTCACAAATGAAGGAAACATTGTTGTTGTTGGTATTGTTCAAGTTATGAAGTTTCGACTACTGCCTTTGAAAGGACGAGAATGCTCACCGTGGTAAAGAGGGCGAAGAGCAGTACCAGGACCTTGATCATCTTGAACCACATGGGCGGCATTTTCTTCCTGTGTCTATATAACTATATATATTCTGAGGACGGCTTCCGTCTGCGTCGGGATCGGGGCTTAATACACAGAGCAGGGGATCCGCGAATCGGTTTCCGACTTTGTTTATATCTCGATCTGATATTTTTAATGGGGCTTGCGCGCGTATGTGTGTGTAAAATAAACAAACTGGCACGACTAAATGTTAATGCCGGTCTTTATTCGCGTTGGTTATTATTATTGTTGCTATTATTGTAGCCGTAGTTGTGGCCGCCGGATTGGTATTTATTTATAAATAATTTGTTAGCTATTAGGTGTTGCGACGTCGCCTATTCCGTTTCCCGTTTTGTTTGTTTCCTTTGCACGTTTGCAAGACACTGAGACAGACGACGACACTTCAATTAGTCGGTTTGCTTTTCACTTTAGTTTCGCTCTCGCCGCTTTAGTTGAACCGTTTTTGGTCGCTGGTCGCTGGTCTCTGTCTCCGGTTTTTTATTGTTTCTTATTTCGGTGTGGGTTACTGTTTCGGCATTGGTTTTTGGGGATGCCAAGTGATTTGGTCACCAGGTTGTTGGATCCCAAGTAAAGCTTGGTTTGGTCGATCGCTGGATCGGTGGAACGTGTTCGTTCGGTTCTGTGCGCCGGCGTGGAGTGAATCCAATGGGGCAGCGCGCAGGCGCTTTTATGGAAGCATCAGCTGCCACTGGCCTTTATCGGTTTTTATCGCGACGCGCGCTGGGCTTTTCCGACGACGCCGAGGAGGAGTTTCACCATATCACCCGGCCCGGGGTCTCCAGCATTAACTAATTCTGATTCCGATTTTTAATTACGATTTCCCGCGATCGAGAACACAAACACGACAGCGAGAGCGAACGACTGGAAGCTAACTGAGGTGTCTGGAACGAGCGAGGGCTTTGATAGCCGACAGCCGAGGTGCGCTCTTCAATTTACAAGTGCAGCTTTGGCCGAAGCTTGCCTGGGTAGGAGAGGGATGGGGATACGCAAGAGATACGGAGAGAAAATTAATGGGGAGCGAGAGACAGAGAGGAGCGTGGGCTGGCAGAGGGGGCGGTGTGGGGCGCTGTGGATTTTATCACAGCTGACTGCCGTTGCGCCGCTAATTTCTGTTTCAGCTTCTTCACAGCAAGCTTAAACGGCTTGAATCATCGTGCACTGGGAGAAACGGATGTCAGTTGTTATCGCAACCGAAAATTATAATTATATTTATAAATAATTATATTACATTATTTAAATGAATTTAGGTTAGCAAATAACCCCGAAATTGTAGCAACTCTTATACCCTTTGCAGGGTATATAAATTTTAGTCAGAAGCTCACAAAGCAGTGAAGGAGCCATTTCCGACCCTATGTTTCATATATATTCTTCATCAGCATGAACAGCCGAGTCGATCTGACATAACAGATGGGAAAACAATTTTTTTTTAATTTTTTGCAAAATTTTATACATCAATAAAATCGACAAAAATTTAAAAAATTTGAAAATCCTTAAATTTTGAAATGCAATATGCTGGTTTGTAAACGTAACAAAAACTAGCACAGAAGTGCTTTCTGATTTGAAATTAATGTATTTTTGGAAAGTTATGATCGATTTCCTGTTCAATGCCGCCTATTATTACCCCTTTATTTTTTGGGAAAACCCAAACACTTGTAGGGCTTTCGACAGTCTCCTAAGACTGGCCGAGAGCTCTTGCTAACGAAAGTAAAAGTGCTCCCCGATCAAAGCTTTCCCCTTGGGGGAGCTTTGCTTGAGAGAGCACACCTGGTTGGAGCCGCTACTAGCGGCACCCGAAGCCTAATGCCTAATAAATAAAATTAATTAAATATTCCGATGGGGTGCGACACACGTCAGATCCGTCGTCGCACGCGTCATGGGAGTCCCAGTATCTCCTCCCAAGTGGTATCTGTATCTGCCTCGGAGCGTGCGAAGACGGCGTTGGGAAAGACTGCTCTGCCGGGTGACTCAATCTGGGATTTCCGAGATCTCGGACAAGCCGCAGCTTAATATCGCACTGCAAATACGCGGCGACTTAATGTATCTGTAGCCGGCATCGGGGCAAACACTGACGTAGCCCTACCTGCGCCCATGCCATGAATGAATCTCAGTTATTCAAGTGCTCAGACTGGATGTCTGAAGCCTTGAACTTGCCTCGATAAAAGGTTATTCGATTGTACTTGACCACATCTCCGCCCTGAGCGATTCTTAACCGATGACTGATATAAACCGATTCCCGAGAATTCAATTTAATTCTTTTGAATTTATTTATCGGCAAATAAATATGTAATAAGAATGCAATTAAAGGGGAAGATATTCGTGTTTCATGTGTAAGTAGATCCGTGTTCGAAATCATAATCGCTTTTCAGTATTCTTTTTTTCCACTGGAAAACTATATCAATTCTTAAAAGATCTCCCTACTGACGTTTATTTATTTCCAGGAATTTGATTGAAGTGCAATTGTGCAATGCTTGATTATAGAATTCTATTGAAATATCTTAATGTTACGCCATTTGTTTATTTTGGGCACATGCTTGTAGCATACTTTGGCGTCTAGCAATTATTTTGAAGCATATTTGTGGGATTCATTCGAAAATCTCACCTTAAATTTAATGATGATTACAATGTTAACTATTTCATAACTGCCTCTTAATTGAAATCCAGCTTACATATTCTTTACAAAATGATGAAATGCTTTTAAATATAATACTTAAGCGTAACTTTTAATGAGTCAATCGGAAAAGTTCACGGAAATCGTTTAATTAAGTTTTAATACTTAGCCTACTCTTTACCAAGTGTTGCAATAGTTATTAAGGTTTTGCAATAAGTTAAAAGCTCCCAGGAACAACTACATTTAATTTCTGTTAACCTTTGATATCAATTATTTAGAAAAAAACAAAACAAAGACTGTGCGTGCCAGCCTTAATTTCTTTCAGCTTTTAACAAAACTTACTAACCACGAACAAAGCCCACATTAATTTAGTTAAGGTGAAAAAGAAAAAGAAAAGTTTAGCTAAAAAATGGGCTTCCATTTTCATAACTACTTGATCCAATTTACTTAATAGTTATTAATCGACGAGGAAACAACATCATTCGGCGGGCCACCTTGGTTGATGGCAGCCATCAGGTGGTATTGACCAATCCGGCGAGGATGGCCCAAAAGTCAGGGCAAGTCAAGCGAGCAAACGCTCGGGTCAAGTTAACGAGGAAAATGGCGAAATACATGAAATACTTGCTCTTAATGACAGCCTCTGGACATGCATGTGTCCGAGTGTGTGGAGTGTGTGGTGTGTGTGTGCCTGACTGAATAAATAATGAAATTGCATTGCACATTCAATAAAAAAACATTTCCACCAGCCACAATTAAAGCGGCACCAGGCAGAAATGTGGACGCGCCACAACTCAGCCTGCTTGCAAATGCAATTTCCATGACAGCGCCACGGCGGTGCGTTCGCCTCGAAAATAAACATAAACATAATAAATAGATGTGAAACAGGCGGCCAGGACGAGATCGCAGCAGCCGGAGTCGGAGCAGCAGCTGTTGCTCAATTTGTCGGCCGAATCGATTGCATCATAGATATAATCCCCAGTGCGCACTTTGTTGTTTTATTTTTATTACTATTTTTTGGCGGGGCGGCAAAGGGGGATAAAAAATGGAGATGCCCCACGTTGGAGTGCTAAGCAAATATCGGTGCAAACTAGAGGCAGGCTTTCACTTTTTTCCCCGACCAGGTGGTTGGATGCGGAAAATAAATAAGGATTCTTAAAAAAAGGCATAGAAATTTTAGTTTCATTAATAATTAAAAGCAACTCCAATATAGGACATGGTATAAAAATAATATAACCTTTTAGAAATAAATAATTGAAGGGTATTTCCCATTACCAAAATCCACTCTAAATGTTTTCAGTGCACAGCCTATCGACACAATAAAGTAAATTGAATTATGCCGTGCAGCTTCCGCCCGAAAAAAAGAAATGGAAGATAAAAAATAAATCACACGAAAAGTGCCAAAAACTAGTTCGCTTCCGATATGGATTTCGGATATACTTTGTCGCCGTTGTGGCAGCAGCGAAACTTTGCGAATTTGAAGTTGAAGTTGAAGTTCATTGCGCAACTAACGAGCAGCTGGACAGTAACAAAAATAAAGAAAAAGCCATGAAAAATAAAGTGGAAAACCAAGCAGAGCTGCAACCGGAAGTCAAGGAAGTGGAGTGGACTCTTGGTGGCTTTTCGGTGGCTTTTCTAGCATTTCCCAATGCGCAACGCGCAGCGATCGGCCTGTTATCGCATTTCGCGTTACACTCTGAAAACTTTTCCCCCGACACTCATTTTTATTTTCATTTTCATTTTCATTTTGCACTGGCAATTGCCCCATGTCAATTAAGCAAGCAAAACAAAAAAAATGAGGCAGCCGTGATAAATGAAAATTAAAAGTACTTGCAGACTTTGGCTGATATAAAATACAAAACAAAAACAAAATGATAGTGGCAGGAAGTGCATGTATGAGAGGACACTATCCTCGAAATTCCGTTGACAATCGTGCATTTATTTTAATTATTCCATTGTGGCATTCCCGAGAGTGTTGGCTCATTGCTTCTTTTATTTTCAATTTATTGATTCAACTATAGACTTCCTTCCTGTTCAAATTTGACCGGTTGCAACTCTTAATATTTCTATTAAATTACGCAATGGAGCAGTGGGTGCGGGCCAAGAGCCACTAAATCGAAACCAATTCACTTTCTGTGCACTCAACCTGCACTGAATGGCCACATTGTCGGTTCAGCGGAAATTTAACTCAACCACAACGAATTATCCCAGAGAAACATTTAAAAACGCCCCACCCAGTGGGAGACTTTTAACATAGTTGACAACCCAATAAACAGAGGCACAAAACAAATGAAAGACAAAATTAATAAAACAAATTAAGCAAATGTAAATTTCCCCGAATTCAAAATGACCTTCTTAAGTGAAATGTATGCAAATGTTAATAGTGCTAATACTAGGCTTTGTTACAAATATTTAGAGCTCCTTTTAGCAATATTTAAACAACTTATAACCCTTTAATGGGTTCTTAAAATGCTATTTTAACAATCCACGCTTTTTATAAAACCTCATTTATACCACAACACAAAATGTTGCAGTTAAAGTTTGCTATTAGTTATGGGTCGGATTTTATATTTATGTCTGTTACGGTTTTGTTACGGCTACCAGAATTTGTGTTTTAAAGCAATAATAAAAAAGTAAAACTATTTGTTGCTCAACATAACATTTTCCCCAACGCAGGGCATTCGGTTAGCTGAAATCCAAGACGTTTATTGCGACTGCCGCCCCCGAATCGCAATTACATTGTCCCATTTGCATATATACGCGTATTCGCAGGCCATTACATGAGTCTCCGTAGGTTTTTCCATTTCATTTTCTTTAATTTTGTTGCTCATTTTCATTTATTTCATTGCTGTTTGCCTTTGCCGCGGCTTGTTTTCCTTTGGATGTTTAGCAAATTCGCAGTTTGCTAACTGCGAGTGCTTAACTATCATGTTTGGTCCAAGTTTTCCTCACTGCCTTTTGCATTTATGTCTGTAGTTGCAGTTGCAGTTGGAGTTGCAGCAGTTGTTGGCTTTGTCTGGGCCCATTTCACTTTCGGTTAGATAACCCAAAAGTCCGGCACGAGGCGGAGATTTTTCGAGAGGAGCCCGTACTCCTCGTAGGATAATGGCCAGGGACTGGGAAAGAAGTTGTCATTGTGTTCGCCATAATTGTGTCTCGCGTATTTGCACATGAACTGCTTCTGCCATCTGACAGTGAACTCTCCCTGAGAGTGTCGACTTGCCACTGCCACCATTGGTCGCAACATTAGATAATGGGCTTGCCCCCGGGTTCGCTTCTGCTTCGGAGTCTCCAGTTGAAGGTACGCCACCTCCAGGGGTCAAGGTTGTCGCTTTTAGACCACTCGGATCAACTTGGGCTTATGTTTGGAACATTTAACACTTATAAGTGCGTTTTCATTGGAATTTTACAAAAATAAACTAAATATTTATATGTATTTTTTCATCTTTTAATGTATTAAATGTATGTTTACGTATACGTAATATTTCGTTAATATTTAAACATTCTTTAATAAAGTTGTGGTGGGAAAAAATAGTATTGGAATAAAGTTTATTAGTTTTATACTTAAGTTTAGTTATAGTTTTATAGTTTTATACGAAGACTTTCTCAAAACCTGAAACATGTTTAAACTAGACTATATTAAGGAACTATTTAAAAAATCACTCTAATTATGTTAAATAAGTATTTAAATAAATAAATAAATAGTTAAAAGAAATAAACAACTCAATAAATAACTTAAATATCTACTCTAGACGCCTGTCCTTGTTGACTTTTGTTTTTCTCTTGCTGCCGTTAAAGTTCGTTGCCTCAGTCTTTTGATTAAGCCGACATATCAAGTACCATAGACCAAGAACAAAATGACATAACACCTCAAGTCAATTAATTGACATTAAATGGTTTAGTTTAGTACGATTTCGATTCTAACACTTGTCCTTGCTGCTTCTATCACGATGATGATGATAACTCCTCTCGGCGGTCTTTTTAGCGATCACTCCATTTCAAGTTCGTTGCCTCAGTCATTCGATTGGGCCAGGCCAGAAAACCAAGTCAAAGGTGTTTGTTGCCATTCGTTGCTGCAGTTGCCCCTGCAGTCGAACACGTTTCAGGCACCAAAGTTAATGAGCCGCATTGCAGTTTGGTGATTGCCACATGTGGCCGATGCCACTCGAAACGCATTGAACCCCACGCGTGCTCGCTCACTCGCTCGTTTATGGCCAAGAGGCTGCTGCCGCAGTCTCGGTTTCATCAGCCAAAAATTGTAACACCAAACCAAAAAAAAACACTAAAAAAGAGCTAAGAGAAGGTCTCTCTTAACTCTTAACCCAAAACTGAGAAGAGACCCCGAAAAAACCGCTCAAAATGCACTCCGAGCCGCCGCTCTCCGGCGATTTCTTTAAATAAGCCGGTCCCAGTGATTTTCGAGCACAGTTCGAGCCCAGACGTTGCCGCGATTGAAGCCACAAAATATACATATGAAAGCCAACGACGGGGTGGAATCGGTGAAAGAAAGTCGCGAGTGAAATTTTGTGCCGCCGAGACGAATGCCGATGACAAAACAAACGCAAACGCAAACGTAAACGTAAATCGACAAAAGTGCGCTGGCCAAGTGCCTGCCAATATTGCTGCAAGTGTCTAACGCGAAAGAAAAAAAGGTGAAGAAAGCTAAAATCCAACTAAAAGTGAATTTCGATCTTGAGCTAATCCAGCTAATCCAAGGCCCAATTGAGCTAATCAACCGAACGAAGCACAGCTGCCCGGCTCGCGAAATGAAGGTAAGAGCCCAAGGATGCCGCCGCAGTGAAAGTTGGAGCGATGAATGGACTGATTTGTGCATTTCTTGGAGTTACCCCCACACTCTATATATATGTCCATATCTCGTTTATGCAATTTCTTTGCCAAACAAGTTCAAGTGCAAGGCATTCTGCGCCAAAACTCGTTTGCCACACATCGTTGACTCTATTAGCTAAGCCCCCGGGCTGCCTCAGCATTTCTCTCTCCATCTCGATGGAGAGATGACGATGCCCTGGTGTTATGCAATCGGTGGATAACCCAAAAATCGATGCCTCGCTGCACTCGATAGATTTTCCCAAAAGACCTTCATTCACTTCATTCACTCGGAACCTTATGTCACAGAGTAAAAGAAGACCGAAACAGTTGACCCGCCGTGAAGGTAGAGTGTCATGCATAATTATTATGTCAGAGCCACACTTCTACTCGTCTCGCGTTGCTTTCGAAAACCGTGAAGAAATTTGAATAGAGCTCCAGGTGTATATAGTAGCTGCCAGGCGGAAGAAAACGGAAGGCGGAGCAGGTGAGGCGAGTCGCAGACACGTAAAAAGCATAAACGAGTCCAAAAACTGAACCTACCGCAATTAATTTAGTAGTCATAGTTGAAGAAATGTCGTTTGAATATCTCTGGGCAAGCGAATGACAACGAATTCTGCTCATTCACAATGAAGCAATTACACTGGCCTGCAGAGATTCAGTTTTATACTTTTTAATAAAATTACACTTGTGCTTAGGTTACAAAAATACCAGACACTTGTTTATGTTTACTTTATTTAATTTAAATACCCGTTTTGATTTTTTCTCTATCTCTAATGAAAATCATTCCTTAACATTAAATACTTACAATAATTCTGCTTGGTAAAAATTGTACAACATACATATATTTATATTTAATTTTTTGGTAACCTTCAAACCGGAAACTTGTTAGCCAGTGTAACGGCAAATATGCTAATTGAATGTGAACACGGAAAAAGAGAGCAAACTCGTTTGGGATGAGAGCGCGCGGCCACAAAGCCGGCAAGCTCAGCACTTTCACTCTCATCTTCGCTTCTCCGACAAAATATTGGCCATAAACAAAGAGCTGGCCAAAATAGAGAAACAATGAAAGAAACCACAATCAATCATAGCCAAATGGCTGTGGCATATATTGGCCAATAGTTCAATAAGCCAATACCATCCGATTCCTCCCACAACCATATCAGCCTCGAATTGCATTCCACTAATTGCTCCAGCTCCGAAACATAATAAATAATAATTGTTTCGCCACATAACCGCCTCGCCATGCCCCGCCAATTAGCTTTCAATTATTTTAATTACTTTTCGCCCCTGTTTATATATTTGTTTATGCAATCCCGCAATTGCAGTGCGAAGAACAACATTGATTTCGCTTAATTTGTGCTATTTGTATGCAGATTGCAGTGCGCCAGGGCTAAGCCCCTCGAATTGTATAAGAAGACTGGCCCAAAGCCCCGACTCCAACATATTTGGCCAGTCATAATTAAGGTTGCGCCATCGGGGAATCGATCAGGAGAAAGGCTGCCTGCCAATTTAATTAATATTTTTCGAGGCGGCTCCACTTTAACCCAAATGGAAAATAATTTAAAAAAATACTAATTTAAAACGCATTTGTCAAAAATATCAATAACCATAATGGTGTGTTTCCCAACTGACTTGCTGTTGACCCGATTTCGTTTCAATTTCTATGCAATATGTTGCTTTACTTTTCAGTAAGTGGATTGCTCAAAGTCATTGAACAAAAATCAAGTCAAGCAGAGAAATATATATAAAAACTATTCCATTTCAATTATGAACACTTAAACTCGTTTTTATAACCATTTCAGGTGTTACAATTTTAGTCAAAAGCTTGTAAGTCAGTGAAGGAGTCATTTCCGACCCTATAAATCATATATATTCTTGATCAGCATCAACAGGCGAATCTTTTAAGCTGTGTCCGATAAAAATTAAATTTTTTCAAAAATTTCAAATTTTCATAAGGGGTTACATCATTAAAATTGTCAAAAATCAACCAAAATTTTGATTTTCTAAAATTGTAGATTGAGTATGCAGATTTATTAAACTAATCAAAACTAACACAGAACTGTTTTCCGAATCGAAATTAAGGCATTTTTGGGTTAGTTATGATCCAATTTCTGAGTCCCGAAATTAAAAAGCCAACGTTTTTATTTATTATTATTGGTGGTATATTATTTCACTATATATCACTAAATTATAGCACTTAACCCAAATAACTAAATCATAGTTATATATTTAAAGTAGGTGTGCATTCTGAACAAATAGGCTATTAATTTGTAAGATCATTTTTAAATGTGTAACAATTTAGGAATACCTTTATTTAAAGTTGATTTGTAATCTTATAAATTTTATAAGTAACAATTAAATTACTCAGTTGGTTAATCATCCAAATAACAAGTGATCATTGTTTCGATATGTTTAATTATGGAATTAAACGTTGCAATTAGAAGGGACTTTGCACTTCGCATTTTGGCGCATTAATGGGGCATGAAACCGCACTGTAAACACGCCCAATCGCATCAGACTCTTGGCTTCCCGCTTGGCCAAATTGGCTGTTGGGCCATTTAAGCCACCTTCCACCCCCTTCAGTAATTAGGCAAAGTTCGCTCGACTGTTAACCGAGCGAAAGCCTCTGACTTTGGGGGTAAAACTGGCTTTGGGAAGTTGGCATATGCAGAGCGGAGTACTGGAGTTCCATGGAGTACTCCCCCGTTGATGGCGGATTATGATTGCATGTGGAGGGGACATGTGCGTGTGGGGCTGACAGTTTTCAGTTGACAAATGAATGCACAGCCTCCTCGGTGAGGCAATCGGCGGAGGTCTAACCCAAAATGATGCCTGATGTCTGGCGGTGGTGCAATGCAACCATCACCGCAACTGACACATTTTGGCAATTGAATTTCCCCGCTTTTCCATTGTTACAGCTGTCACGAGGAATTTAAACTGATTCCTAAACCGATTACGCAACTTAAACTGTCAGTTTTTGAATGGTTTTATAAATGAGTGGCCATATATTGTTCACATTTCTGCAGGTCTTCAACAAAAGTTGCATAAATCTTAAGGGAAGATTTGTAATTATTCTAATAAATAAGCATTTCTACTTGCTCTTATGAACAGGTCCTCAGCCTGAGCCTGCTACTGGTGGCTCTGCCCCTGATGTGCCAGTCTCTTCCTGCAACCGACAAATCCTCGCTCTCGCTGGAGGACATAGACCTCACGGACAACGAGCCAGGCGAGAGTGTCAAGGAGTCGCAGATCCACAAGCGTTCAGGCAGCTTTGATTATGTGGCGCACCTGAAGTCCGGCCTTCTGTCCGGCATAGGCCAGGCCTCCGCCTCGATTGCCTCCGGCAGTTCCGGCGGAAGCAGCGGCGGCGGAGATAGCTACAAGTCCCACGAGGTCGTTGTCCATGTAAGTTGAGCTAATTTCTCTGGTTTCCTGAGATTATCTCTAAAATCGGAGTTCAAGAAACTAAAGTAAATTGATTTATGTTGAGTCCCCAATTATATTTCTCGATCATTCCACAGGGCAATTCGGTGGACTACGACCCTTGGTCCTTTAAGAAGTCCGTGCTCAACACCATCTTCCAGGCGGTGAAGGCCATCACAGGCGGGGTCACGGCTCTCAAGGGCCAACTGATCAAGGGCAGCGGCTACGCCCTGAGTGCGGGTGGCAACCTAGTGGCCGCCGGCGGAGACAAGGTCACCGACGTGGGCAAGTCGATCATCAACTCGGCGCACATCAACTCGCACACATACGCCACTAGTCACTCCTCCAGCGGCGGCGGCGGGCTCTTCGCCAAGCTGAGCTCCCTGTCCGGAGCATCCTCCGGCGGCAGCAGCGGTCACAAATCCCCACCACCGGTCCTGCACACCGAAAGTGAGTATATCTTTAAATGATTGGAATTATAGATCTTTAGAACTTGCTAAATGCTTGCTTGAGTTACTTTTTCCTTCCTCGACTTGGCCTCGAAAGCACCTCGATAGCCTCCTCCAAGTTCAGTCGCCGTGGCCACGCTCCGATTGCCCCCCGCTTATGCAATGTCTTTGTATTGAACCAGATCCATGACAATTAAGCCGCCTAATGGCCAATACATACAGGCCCAGCCCCCAGCTGGCCAAAACGGAAGAGACGGCTTCGGTTGCTTCGACTTTGGCCAAATCAGAGCGTGGCGCGTGCATTGAACTCTTCGCCGGCGGCAACTTTCGTTTTTCCCAACTAACCACTAACCCGTTCCGTCTGCATTTGCGTCTGCCACTGTCCCATTTTGGAGTCTAAGAGTCTCTCCCGTCTCTCCCCCTCTGTTGCAGCAATCACCACATACGAGATACCCACCGGCCACGCCAGCTACGGTCCGCCCTCGAAGCCGCCGTCCTACAGCAGCGCCACCCATCAGTACCTGCCGCCGGTGGGCGGGTCCAGTTACGTGGGCGGCGGGGCGCCCTTCAGCGTCAGCCACCCGGCGGCCTTCGAATCGCCGCCGAGCAACTATCTGCCATCGGCCTACGGACAAGATGGTGCGTAAAGGGAGTGGGTTTCCATTAACTACATTTAAGGGATTTGGTTACCTGTAAATTATAATTTCTGTACATATTCCTTTTAAGTAACCCAAGGTTAAGGGTTCTCTGTATTTATTTGACATTTCTTAGGAATCCTCCAAGAAGTGAGTGTAGATATTATAGATAAACTATGTAAATATGAACAAAAGATGCTGGGGAAATCAATTTAACTGTACCTGTAATAGTTGTAATTAAAGTTACTCTTTGATAACACCTAAGATTTCCACAACACTTCCATAAAATATCTATGGTAGCAGGGGTAAACTTTAATATTATAAAAATAGGAATATATAAATACCTATAGATATAAGATATACGATTTGTGTTAGCTAACTTCCAAACATTTAAAATGAGATAAACATCATATTTTAGCATTACCTCTCCGAAGTGTAAAAGTTTCCATAAAAACCAAAATCTATCCACAGCAAAAAGATAAGGTAGTTGTTTCTCCAAACATATTGAATATCTATATACATTTTATGTTTAAAAATTTCAAAAAACATTCCCATAATGACAGGCGTTGGCCTGCCTCATCAGCCCGCAATCGCAAATCACTCAACTAAGTTTGCATATACACTTAACCACCGCCCTTTGCACGTCCCTCGGCACATTTCCGCAGAGGAAAGTGAAAGCATCGCCATCAGCTGCTCATAATTCGTTAAGACGGGGCTGAAATGCCACAGCAGACATTGTAAATAGTGTAAATATTAACACCGACTCTCACTTTCAGCCGCCAAAGTTGGGATAGGACAGGCTTGGAACTTGTTCCAATGACACATTTCCTAGGCTAAGTTTATTCGATTTTTTAACACATTGCGCAAGCGACCATTAATCGATTCATTGTACATAAACGCCTATGAACATGTTTTAATAATAATCCATCACGTCATCTGTATATATATATAGTACCTAAGCGAACTGTACAGCTATTAATTGAGCCATTTGCAGTGGCCACATGTCGTATACTTGATAATATTGCGCATACGTATTTAGTCAGTGGCCCATTAGGCGGTCTAGCGAGAAACCTTTGATAGGAAATTCTGAAAAACCAACTACTACTACCACGTAACGTCTTCGCCCGCCGTCTCTCATCCAGCTAACCCCTAAAACTAAAACCGGAATTCATCTTACATCATCAAGAAAATCACCTGAAAATCATCATCAGAACGCAACGGAAAATGTACAAAAAAATGTGTAAAGTAATCAATTTGTACGAATAAAAAACTAAAGTCATCTAACACCACACTTACAGAGATCAGAGAAAAATAATGGTAGGAAACTTTATTAAATTTTAGTAAACTATATTGTATCAAAAAATTATTTAATAAGATTCCTAACTATTCTGCGTACAGATGATTTAACATTTCACAATGTTTTGATTACTTTAATAAGCATAAACATACATTAACTTTATTAAAAATCTTAAGCAATTTCCCTTAGGACTATTATTTTTTCTCTGTGCAATCCACAAAACACTCACAAAAATACTCGTACCATGACCAAGTGTAAATACATAAAATGAAAATGCAAATATTTAAGATACTGGTTAATCTAATGAACTCTCACTCATTGCATACACACATCAATCTCAACAACAACAACAACCACACCAACAATCACACTACACTCAAAAAAACAACAACAACAACGACACCAGCCACCAGTGCCAATAGCAATGATTTTAATATCTACGGACGCCACACCAAACTGACGGATGAGGAGGCCCGCAAGGCAGCCCTACAGCTCCAGGAGATCCTCAGCCTGCTGCCCAACGGAAAGACCGAGTACACGGCCTCCAAGACGGTGGCTCTGGACACGGGAAGTGGTCCCACCGGCTCGGGTTTGGAACAGGCTGAGGTGTACAACAGCTACGGGCTGCCACTGCCCAATAACCTGGGCACCCTGGAGTCCCTGTCGCACACGGAGTCCATAACTGCTGCCTACAATCCGGTGGCCTCGAAGAATCCGGCTGATGTGTACCACCAAATGGCCAAGAGACCGAGTGCCGAGGAGCTGTACATCCAGAAGCATCCCAATGAGGGCTATGACTACGCACCACCGCCAACGGGATCAGCTGGACCGCCACTACTTCCCACGCCCCGACCGCCGTCGGAGGCCAGCGATTATCGGGTGGAGAACTACCATGCCTCCAAGAGCAACGCCCTCAAGGATCTGACGCCCATCATTGCCGCCCTGGAGGTGGCCAAGCGGAAGGGCAACCACCACGGCAGTGGACCGCCCGTGTACTCCATCGAGAAGCAGGTGTACAAGCAGCAGCCGGCACAGGCACCCTTCCAGTACCTGCCACCGGTGGTGCAAAAGTCCAAGTACGTGTACAGTGCACCACCACCGCATCACCACAGTGGTGGCTACAAGGTGCGCCGCCATGTGGCGAGTCCCAAGCATGCCAAGCGAACCGTCTTCCGGCCGCAGGACTACGAGATCCAGGATCCGCTGATGTTCAACCGGCTGATGGATGTTTAGGGAGCCAGCTGGGAATCCTAGTTAGGCCTCGTCATAGCTCATAGTACTCTAAGTCATGTGCAGCATTTACTTGTAACTTATTTATGTTATCCTAATCGCTATCGCTATCTTGATTAATTATTTATTGAGCTTCCCGATGGTTGGCAATAAAGGCGAACCCCACATTGCATCCCGAGCACCGCATGCCCCCAAGAATCAGCACCACTCCCACTCCCACCACCACTTTCACCTTTCTCTCACTTCCTGCACTGAAAACCAGACCAAATGGGCCTCCTTCTCACCTCTTACGCTCTCTTTGCAGTCTACCATCCGTAGAGGACGAGGCGGAAGGACCTCTGCGGACCTCTGTCCATCTCCACGTATCCTAGCGTTAGTCAAACCGTAACCGTTCCTGCCTATTCCGATAGCTACATATATGTATCCGCTGTCACTGTCCTCCTCATTCTAAATACAAATACCACACCTACATATATTTTCCATTTCGATCTGAATCTAAATCTGAATCTGAAACCGAAAACCGAAAACCATTAGCGGGCGTCACAAGAGGTGCAGTGAGTTTGCATTGTGACTAAGCTTTCCCCATCTTAAGTATAAGTATTTAAATTAAATAAACCGTTGAATACATTAGTTTTGCTGTTTCAATGGGATTTATATTAACTAGCAAAAGGGTTGATACCCCTGAAAGTATAATTGGGAAATTAGTGAAATCATGAAATATTCATTAAAACAATATTTAGGCGAATGTAATACCTCTTCAGGGCAGTTGCCATTTAATCCGACTTATTTATTATTCTTACTTATTTAAATTAAAATACACAAACCAATTTGCGATTATTTAAATCTCCAACGGTATTTTCAGTTATTTATTTTTTACCTTGCAAGGATTATAATTTCAGTTAGAAGGTCAGAAAGCAGTGAAGGAGTCGTTTCCGACCCTATGTTTCATATATATTCTTGATCAGCATGATTAGCCGAATTGATCTAGACATCTCCCGCAAGAAATTTTTTTTTTCGAAAATTTTCAAAATTTTATAAGGGGTTACATCATTAAAATTGTGAAAAATTGACAAAAAATGCAATTTCTTAAAATGTTAAATTGGGTATACAGATTTATTAACCTATTAAAAACTATCATAGGATTGCTTTCCGAATTGAAATTAATGCATTTTTGGCTTAGTTATGGGATTTTTAAGCATTGATTTATACCAAAATTTCATATAAAAATATAGATAAATATCGATCCAAAGAATGCTATTATAATGTTAGTCAGAAGCTTGAAAGTCTGTAAAGGAGTCATTTCCGACCCTATGTTTCATATATATTCTTGATCAGCATCAACAGGCGAATCTTTTAAGCCATGTCCGACAAAAATTTAATTTTTTCAAAATTTGCACAATTTTATAAGGGGTTACATCATTAAAATGTTCAAAAATTTACAAAAAAATGAAATTTCTTAAAATTGTAAATTTTGTATGCAGATTTGTTATTTTAATGAAAACTAACGTAGAACAGCTTTCCGAGTTCAAATTAATGCATTTTTGGCGTAGTTATGAAATTTGAAAAACTGTGATTTACCCAGAAAATAACATATAAATATCGATTTAATATAATCATATTTTAATGATTGCCAAATATCGGAAATATTTCAATTCGACTTCTCGAAGTAAACTTCATTTCTTGTTTTAAATACTCGTCACAATATCACTGTTAGCTTATGTTTTTACTGGTTTTTTAAAGGCCAAAAGCTGTTAACATTTCACTGTTAACCATTTTTTATGGCCTAAAAGTATACCTTAACAACATTTACAAAAGTTTATAATCACAACACGAAAACAAATTTCTCTAAAAAAATATAAATATTCGTTTGAAATCAAAGAAGAAACTATATTGAACATTCTTGTGAAAGAAAGATCAATATTTATTCACAAAAATCGAATTTCTTTATAGGGAAATTTTTATTATCGCTTAGAAAAATCTCGGGGAGACAAAAATCTCGCACACCCGTGCAATTAGGACCTAGAATCAAGGAATCTCTGGAGGAATTGGGAAGCTATCTCTACTCAGTAGTAGCCAAATGTGATGTCGTGCAGCGGCTGGGCGTTGCCCTGGGGCAAGGCATAGTCCCTGGCCAGCTGGTCCAGGAGACCTGCTCCTCCTCCGCCGCTGCGTGCCTGGGGCTGGGGCTGGTAGCTTGGCTGCGGCTGGTGCTGCTGCTGCTGGACGGGTCGAGAAGGCACGGAAGCCTGGGAGTGACCAAAGCCCACGGGCTCCAGCAGCGGACGACCACCGGAAGCGGGGGCCAGGAAGCCTTGGGCGCGGGCGCTGCTCGGAGCGGGAGAGGCGGGCGGAAGGGCATACACCGGACGGGAGATCCGCACATTGGAGGGTCCATCTCCGAAGCTCTGGGACTGGGAGTAGTCCGGCTCCGGGCGGGCGGGACGCTGGAGCGGCGAGTACAGGACATCGGTGGTGCGCTGGGCGCCGGGTATCTGAAGGCGTGGCGGCGCTGGACCTAAGGATGCCTGCTGCTGGTGCTGATGATGCTGCTGTGGCAGAGGCTGTGGCTGTGGCTGAGGCTGAGGAGCATACTGAATCCGACGTGGCGGCTCCTCCTCCTCCTCGTATTGCACATACTGAGGCTGAGGTTGCGGCGGCGGTGGCTGGGGGCGTGGCACTGGAGCGGAGTGGGGGCGGGACTGGGGACGATTAATCCGCTAAGATGAAGAACAATTAACTATTATGTTCCTATATATATTTGTATAGATAATCTTTAACTCACATATGGTTTCTGGGGGCGCTGTGGAGCCGGCTCATCTGCGTAGTCGGGCTCTTCCTTGGCTGTCTCGTCCACCAGGGTGGGTGGTGCCACTGTGATGCCCTCGCCGGAGGGTTGGAATCCATACTTGTTGGCCCCGTACTCCACCACACGCACCTTGCCGGTCTCGTCCACATAGCCATACTTGCCCTTGACTTCGCCGGTGGCCAGTTTGGTTTCGATTTTGAAGGAGCCATCGGCACCCTCGTAGCCATAAGTGTAGGACCCATCCTCATTGTGCCTGGGAGGAGGAAAAATTGAATATTTGATTTAATTTTAAGTTATATCTTGGACTCACTTGTTGATCTGCTTGAGTATGGGCACCGGAGTGGCCCTCTCCACCTGGGCAGGAGCGGGATTCGTGCGCAGGCGCAACGGCGCTGTCCTAGGTGTGTTCTCCTGGTAATCCTGGTAGTCCTGAGACCTCGCCAGACCCACTCCACACAACATCAGGCAGCCGACGAAGAGAACGCGTTGCATCTGAAAGAAGAAGTGGAAGTAAGTTGAGCTTCGCGTCGCTCTTTGCGGATAGAGTTAGGGCAACCGGTTCGCTAATTGTACCCTGTCCGGCTGAAAAGGTTGAATTTCCATCTCAACTGGACAACGGAATACCTTGACAGTGTATCCGCACCAAGAATGTCAGACGGCGTCGACGGCGACGATGTCTACAAAAGTCTTAAGTCTGGCTGGCTTTCTGCCTTTCACTTTTTCCGCCGGCCAATGACACCCTCAATGCCAAGCAGGAACCAATAAACACAATTGCAAAAATACACTCAGGGAATTAGTTTACATTAAAGTGTATTTAAAAAAGTTGTAACTGTTGTGTAATTTATTGGGAGAAAGGTAATGCTACTATAACTTTAATAAGATCGAAGGTAGTATATTAAGTTGTGAAAGGAAAGGCAAAAAGAGGTTTTCCTCAAAAGCATTAGATAATTCTGAATATTTAGCAATAAAAATATATTGAATTCTTTTGATATTTCAAATGATTTAAATCGAAATAAACCCAAGTCTGAGTGCATTCGCATTGAGGTTGCATAAATCCCCGGAGGAGGCCCTCCTCAACACCCAATACCGACTGACACGCGATATGGCTTGGGCAGGGTTTAATTGAAGGCCCAAAGGTGGTGGAGAGAAATGCGGAGATGCAGCTGGAGTCGGGATGCAGGGAATGCCAATTATCGTCTGGCCAGCCTCCCACATGGACCGCGATTGGGTAATCCGGCAGCGAATTCAAGAGATGGGAGCAAAAGACGCGCCACACTCACACATCCGTGTTGTGTGGAGCTGGGAAAAAGTTCCCACACTTGCCGAAAAATGTGTTGCAAGTATATATGCTTATGTGTAGATGTGGATAGGTGCAACTGAGAGTCTGGGAAGGTGCATTCAGCGGCATGCAAATGCCAAAGAAATTTGCCAGAAAATTACTGAATCAGTAAGATACAAAAAAACAACTGACAATGCATGGAAAATTGCTCATGCAAAGCCTCAGAAAGAAATATGTGAATTAATGATTTGAAGGCTGGAATATATAATAGATTTACCACATACATACATATATATTTAAATGTTATTTTGAAATATATTATTAAGAGAAACTGCTACCAGTTGGGACATTGCTCTTTTGAATTAACTTTCTGCTAATTTAAATTATTTAAATGAATAAACTACATCTAGTAGGGTCCTAAAATGTATCCTTAAATTCCTTAAGCTCTACTCCTTTGATCAAGTAGAATTTTATTTTGGTTTCTATTCCTTTTTTGGCCTTTCGGACTTTGGCATTTTTTTAGCTTCACCATTCCGCATGCCAAAACCTTTCACTATCTAGGCTTAAAGTGCCGCAGCCTTGGCTGCGATGGACAGGTATATAGATACCAGTGCAGATACAGATACATTTACACTGAAAGAGCCATTTATATACTACCAAATATATATGAGCTGAAACAAATATGCTTTTTAGCTAACAACTTTTATATATTTTTATAGAACTAAAGAGCTGTTTAAATTATAGAATCCTTTTCTAAGATATATCAAAATTTCCTCAATAGGTTACTATTTATTTTCCCTCAGTGTACAGACGTGCACTTGGGGGACACAGAGCTCCGGCGGCACAGATTCCAACTGGAGTTTCGACCAGAAATACTGACCAAAAACCTGGCTGGCTAACGCCGCGTGTGAACTGAACTGAGCCAGCAGCAGCCTTTGATATTTTCGCGCTTGGATGGATGCATGGATCGCGGGGAAAAGGGGGAAAACTTAGTATTTGAAGCGAGCTTGTTAGTGGAAACTTTGGTTGATCGAGGCTCCTGCAACTATTTCGGTTTTTCATCTACGATTTTCAGAAAAAAAAAGCTGCTCTGCTTCTGCGTTAGTTCCATAAATTATGTCAAAATCTAGTTACCAAATTGGGTGCTGGAAAATGGATAATGGAAAATGGAAAATGTGTCGCTGGCTGAACAATTGCGATCGGGGGCTGGGAGCTAAATTAACGGTTCGCTCGAATTTGCATAGCAAATTATGCGATATTTGCACAACATTCGCCGCAATTGATGGTGACGTAAGTCAGCCCCTCCGATCTCTCCATCTCGATCTCGATCTGGATCTGGATATCTCTATATCTTGATCTTATGCCACGCAGGCATAAGGCATAAGGCATAAGGCTTGAGGTGACCTTTGCTATTTTATTGCCCCGTTATGGGCCTTTGCCCACCCGCCCACTCACATACCACTTTCATGTTGGATCGGCTCTATTGGCAGTCAGATATTTCGAGTCGAATCAATTAAAGCCAGAAAGGCCTTCACTGGCAACACCCAAACGGGCTGACTTGCTGGCTGAATGCGAATCCAAACAAAGCACTTTCAATTCCCCTAATGAACTGCGACGACGACGACTGGAGCGGGGTCTGGTGGTATATGTCAGCAGTGGTGTCTCTGGGGCAGCTCGGGCCGTGTCTCGAGGAGATCGGATCGCGTGGAGTAATGACTTGGGAACCGGACGGCAACTGAGCCGCCCAGGTTGTTGTATTTCGCTTTATATACCCCAAGATTGAGCGAGGAAAACCTTTTCCGAACTGCTCCCATAACGGACCCCAGAAACACCACAATGGCCAGCCACAAGACTTCACCAACGAAAGGACGGAGAGCGGGCTCATTGGAGAAATATGAAGAGAGAGAGAGAGAGAGAGAGAGGTTGAAGCCGAGCTTGGGCCATTGACAATTCTCTCTCTGTGCTTTTCATCGAGCTTTTCTTCATGAAAACCAAGAATGGCCACTAATCGATGTATGTTGGGGGTAATAACGGTGAAAAGTAGTTTAAAATATTTTTTTGAATATGAAATATACACTCTCTGGTAATATATATTTCTTTTTTAGGCAGAATTTAAACATTTTCTTCATCTTTATGCGTAGTTTAATTGTAGCTTCTTGTTTCCTCAGCAACTTCAAGTTTGTACAAACCAATAAAAATGGAGTTTCCTTCCCCTCTTTTTTTATCATGAAGTACCAGAAAATTAAATTTAATAAATTTAACAAATTACTTTTCCAAAATCAGGGCGGAAAAAGACACTTACAAGAGGCATGGCAACGTGGCCGGATGGACGGTCAATTGGGCAATTAATCAAAACTGTAAGGCCCCTAAAATGTTGAAAAATGAAGCAAAGCCAAAAGGCCGAATGGCTAATGAATGAATGAAAGCCGGACAAAGTGAAATGAAGTGTTGCGAATGTCAGTCCACCAATGGGATGGGAGGTCCCCTTAGACCCTGACCTTCGGGCCAACTTTTGAGTAATTTTGTTCACTACATACACTGTATTTATTTTCACTGAGTTTAAGCATTTTCAATATGATAACATGTAATAATAAGAGTTATGATTTTATACCCTTGCGGTGTATTATAATTTCAGTAAGAAGCATGAAATCAGCATTAAAAGGCGAATCTTTCTAAAAAAATGTTTAGCTTTTTTTTCAAAAAAATACAAGGGGTTAAATCGTTAAAATGCACAAAAATTTTATAAAAATTACAATTTTTTTACATTTTAAATTAAGTATGCAGATTTATCAACCCAATGAAAACTAGCACAGAACAGGCTTCAGTATCGAAATTAATCCTTTTTTGGTTAGTTATGGGATTTTTTAATTTTGATTTGTCGAAAAAATTTGATATAAAAATATAGTTAATATCGAATTAAAAAATGGTATTGCACCTTTAGTCAGAAGCTTAAAAGAAAGTGAAGGAGTCATTTCCGACACTATGTTTTATATATATTCTTGATCAACATCAAAAGGCGAATCTTTTAAGGCATGTCCGACGAAAATTTAATTTTATCAAAATTTCACAATATTATAAGGGGTTTCATCATTAAAATTGTCAAAAAATTGACAAAAAATGCAATCTCTTAAAATCTTAAATTGAGTATGCATATTTATTAATCTAATAAAAACTAACATAGAACAGCTTTCCGAATTGAAATTAATGTACTTTTGGTATAGTTATGAGTTTTTTAAGCAATGATTTGTAGAAAAAAATTTCATAAAAATATAAATAAAAATCGACTCAAATAAATATCCTGCAATTGGATGGCAGGTCCCTTTATTATTCATTATTTTTCATAAAGTTCTCGTCTTATTTAAAAATATATATTGAGTGCAACAGTGCGTATGCGTGATGTCAAAGAAGGTAATTTCAGGATAGAACCAGAAACCGCACACACCTTTTGCAATGGCCTTGTCGCCCCACTCACTCCATTGGAATTAATGACACACCACAAAGTCCCGCAACGTTATTGCCGCAAAAGCATACACACAAAGCACAACAACACACAACTAAGTCAACGCGGGGCAGAGCAATGCAATCCACAGCTTGGGGTGTCGGTGGTGATAGTTCAGCTCGGAAACTGGTTACCTGGTTACCCGGTTACCTGGCCACATACCAGACCAGGAAACCGAGTCAGTCGTTATTTAAATACTCTCCATACATATTTGCCTCCTCCAACTGCCGTCCCTGATGCAAGGTAGGGAGGGTGTCAGTCTTCAAGTGCGTAAGATTGTTACTTCCCATAGTTTTCTGAATATCTGCTGGCCACGTTAAATACTAGTTTCTGACCGGGCTCGGAGCAAGGGGAGGGGCTGTACTGAATGGGCGTGAACCTGGACTTGTACGCACTCGCAGACGCACTTGAACGCACATGATCAAGGTCATTGGAGTTTGCGGAATAATCTCTGGAGGTTCACCACGAAATCTAAATACTCTGATACTTTATACTCTAGTTCTTTATATTTTTATTAACTTATTAAATTATAAATATAATAAACCTTTAAAATAGTGTTGAAATAGTTTAATACATCTATTATTTTATCTTCAACTCTTTAAATATCTATGAACCTCTCACACTTTTTCCTTAAGTACTTTCCTTTTACAGAAAAAGCAAAACCCTTAGAACTTCACCGAAAAATACGTTACTATACGAGCTATATAATCAACAGGAATGGAAGCATTAAGAAGCAGAATCTACCGCCAACGCATTTTTGAATGGCATCCATAACAATAGCCTTCGCTCTGGTATCTCCTCAAAGAAACTCTGTGGAATTGTAGCAGCTGTTCCCGAGTCACAAGTCACCAAGTCACCAAGTCACCAGCCTCAAGCCACCAGTCGCAGGTCCCACAACAAAGCAGACCAATTTACAGGAAATTCTCGAGTCATGCCAACGCCCCAGCAGAGGCAGACCAGTTTTGCTCCGCAAAAATTATATAAACGCTGGAAATGTGCACAAATAATGCCCAGCTCAATTGTGTGAGTGTTTGCATTGGTCTACCATAATGGGTGCAGTCTGGACTTGATTCTTCGTCGCTAACGTTTACAGTTTTGACTTGGCCAAAAGCAGGACAGTGGTGAGGGAACCACAAGACCAGAGTTCCCTGTATCATTCAAATTAAATATAAAACTAATTGCGCTTTGATATTGATTATGCAAGAAAAAGAATTGAATTAAATTACTTCCCACCATTAATCAATTGAATAAGTTAATTAAAAGCCAATTATGCTAACGATGAGATAAGTATCTCGATGATTTGGACCCTACCTGTCGAGGGCTACTCCGAATTAACCCCAAACCACTGCACAACACAGCACTTGGCTTACAGCACAGCATAGCGTTTGGGCCAACTGGTCTGACCATTGGTAGGTAGCAGTGCATTTTGAAAGTGGTTTGGGGCCAGAGCACAGCACAGCTCAGCACATTGCATAAGTGCACCAAATTCCACTCAACGGCAACGGTTTTTGTATTTTTCTGGTGCCTATCCAGTGCCCGATCATTCTGTGTTGACGTAATGGCCTAACGATTATTGGCCACTTGCTGGGCTCTGCCTCACTTGGCCAGGCTGGGACTGGGGCTGGCCTGGCTTCGATATCGGCGGGGTGGCTTAATTGAAGCGGAACCTGGTAGTTGGCCAAATTGAATGCCAAAGCAGATACTTGAAATATTTCTCGACACAGAAAACAATGGAATTTCTAGAGCAATATATAAATATTTCAATTTCGAGGGTTCTATATTCCATGTATAAATATTAGAAAATGTTTCTTCCAGTATTATTAATTTGATTTGGGTGTAATCTTTCCTTTGTTTGCATTTCAGTTTGGTTTTACCCACAAAAGTAAACTCTCTTCAAAATTCAAGATACTACCCAGAATTCTTTTGTTCTCTGTAAACTTTTCAGGTCTCAAAACTCGATTTATTCCACACAGACAAGAACATAAAGTATATGGTACATAAACAGTATATAGTTATTATTTAGATTACGTGTGTGGGGTGTGCGGAGTTGACTGATTTATTTGGCAGTAACAAAGTTGACATTGTCCCCTCCTCTCGGACACTTCAGTCGCTGTCTCTCTTCCCGTTCCCTGTTCCAGCATATCCAGCAGATCCTGCAGATCCCTCCCGGGGACCTACTTCCTGCCCGTATAGTCGATGCTGTAGGAGCCCGTGTACAGGTTGAGGTTCCTCAGGGAGGGATGATGCTGCTGCGGCAGTCCTGCGTAGGGTTGCTGGTGCGGCTGGGGGTTGTAGTAGTTGTTCTGCGGCTGATAGAAACGGGGCTGTGGGGCAGGTGGGTTGTAGTACTGCTGCTGGGGGGAGCGGGGCTGTAGTAGGGTTGCTGGGGCTGCTGAGGGGCATAGGCCTGAGGCTGCTGATGGCCACGCCCGAAGTCGTTGAGACTGAATTTACTGGCCGGCGCCAGGGGTCTGTTGAACTTCTGATCCTTGTAGTAGACGGCCGGGTCTTCGCGGTACTGACCGTCGTCCAGCTCGTTGGGACCCAGCGGATACGGGTTGCTGTTGGTCAAGGTCGGGGGCGGGACATTGATGTGGCTGCCGGCGGGCTCGAAGCCCCTCTTGCTGGCCCCGTACTCGATCTCCCGCACCTTGCCCTGGTCGTCCACGTAGCCGTACTTGCCGTAGACCTCGCCGTTGGCGTACTTGGTCTCGATCTTGAAGCTCTTGTCCGCCGCCTCGTAGCCGTAGGTGTAGGATCCGTCGTCGTTGTGCTTGTCGATCTGCTTGAGTATGGGCACGGGCGTGGTGTAGTCCTGGTGTTGCGCATACGCACTGTGGGCCGCCACCACCAGCAGGAGCAGGGTCGAGCTCAAGGGCTGTAAGAGAGGCACAGCGCAGTTTAGCAAACTCGTAAACAAAGAGATATGAATACAAGAGATATACATTTGCATATCTAAGTCTCTTTTCCAGGTCACACTCAGCCGTAAAGGCGGCAATTACCAATGAACTCGGCTCTGGCTTTAATGAGTCCGCTTTTGAGCAAGTATTTCGGAATAGATTCCAATTACTGGTGGCAATTATCACTTGCCAGGCATTCACTCAGGGACAGGTGGCCCCAAAAACCGGTTAAATAGACCGCAATTTTAGAATCACCTGCGCAAATCCATACCTTCCCTCGCGCCCTTACCAATTTCATTGTTCTGCCGAAATTCGCTTGGGTTTCCAATCAATGTCGAGTCGAGTTTTCACCAATCTCCAAAATATATATGTATATATGTATATTCTTCAGGCACTGCACTCTGGACGCTCTGCACTTGCACTCGAGACTCTGCGAATCGAAACGACAAACTCGAAAGAAAATCAGGGCGTGCAACGCTTTTTATACCGCCACCAACATTTCGCAAAAGCGCGCCAACGCCAGGGGAAAAAACTAAAGCTAAAGCCGAGCCGAAGTCTCTGGATCGGTGATCAGCTGCGATCAAGAAAACGAAACCGAAACCGAAAACCGAAAACGAACTCCCGGTACGAGAACCGAACCGATCCGACCCGATCCGATCCGACCTGGCTTGGAATGCAGCATAGAAATCGAAAGCAGTTGGGCGTGAGTACGTACACGCACACCAACTCACAACTCACCTGGACAGGTACACACACACACACAGCCCGAGAAGTAATTTCCAATCAGGTTATTAGCGTCGTCGCTGCGAATTCTTGGCCAGCAATTTATGCTTCCAGATCGCACCGCTCACGCATACGCAATGAGACCGCGGAACTCAGCAGTGATGATCAGAAGTCGGCTATAAAGTACCAAGCACATATTTATTTATTTATTTTATTTATAAAAGTAAATAGCAATGACTGCCATTCTTAAAATATATTGTACACATACCCCTGCACAACAAAAGGGAGTGTTTTTTAGCGATGTGATATAAGTAAGACCTTTAATAAATTAAACAATTATATTAATAATATATGTATAAAAGCAGTGTTAGTGACCCTTTAAAACATCTCAGACTATAGCTTTTTAAAGTACTTAAAGATAATGAGTATATAAATGTAAATCCCACTAAATTCTAAGGCAAATGTGTAATATTAATTCTTAATAATCGTTAAACAATTTGAGTACAACCGAGTACCTATCCCATCACTAACAGCCACAGAACCAGAACAGTTCAAAACCTATTTTGAAAACTGAAAGGTGCGGAAGTCTGTCCACTTGTTAGGCATTCCAATTATGTAAAGCAAGCCATCCATCCCCCCTTGCCCCTTCACCTGTTAATCGATTGCACTACTCACCTGCAGGCGGACACCTTACCTGACTTACTGAGTCAGTCACTTACTCACTCACAATAATCACAATCTGCAACCGCAACAAGCAATTTAACTTCAATTTGCGGCCATTTCTCCGGGGCTGTCAAAATTCACACATCAGGGGAAGAAACACCAAGTCTTGGCTTAGCTGTCTGGTCTACTGACCTAGTCAATATGCTTTGGCTACCAAAAACAGGTTGCTGCCATTACGTCAAAGAAATGCCAAAAAAAAACAAAGACTCGAGGATTTGTTACTAGTTTTCATATGCCATTCATGACTGTAGTTGGTTGCAAATTATTAAAAATTGCATTTCAAATTTGAAATTCATTTCTTCTTATAAGGAAAATACATTTTATGTTAATCAAACTTAATTGTTTTAAAACTAAGTAATAAAGATATTCTTATAGTGACGTAAAATAATAATTAATTGGGTTGTTATTAATTAGTAGTCTAATATCTAACCTGAAAAGTAAGATTATAATTAAAGCGTGTTTACCTCTGTTCAGATTCACAATTAAAAGCGCTTCCATTAACCCATTAACCAAATATTTAAAACCATTTAAGTCGAAAAAGGGGAATTTTGGGATAGATTTTAGAGATAGCACTGGAAAAATAATTAGCAACTTGTAGGTTACTTAAATATTCTTAAATAATATTTCACATTTTAAAATCGAATTTAAGAGTTCAAGATAATACTGAAAACTAAAAAGAAACACATCTTAGACCGAGAGTTTAGTCTGCAGTTTATTAACCCCAAGAACCGCAGACCTTGGTCATGGCTGGTTGCATTCTTAATTTCCCAGAGTTACTCTCCTCACGTCACCTTAATGTACAACTTATTTGCAGAAGCGGCTATCCATAATTCACTTTTGTTGAGAAAGAGGCGATCTATAAAGCCACATAAATCCGTCAGCAGATCGGTTTTCAGTCGTCACAATGAGCTGACATTTTTAAGTGGTCTGGCGAAACCAGTTTCGGACTCAGCGAAAGTGAGATAATCGCTGGCTAGAACAGAGGTAGTGCATCTAGACGTTATTATATATTTTTAATACAAAAAATACATGTATAGGCAGCAAAATAAATGAATCAGTGGAGTTGCCAAAGGTTAATTAATAAAGGCAAGCCTGATGTTTTTCGGGTTCAGAATTTAGACACCCTGTACGAGCCACAACAAGTCTATAGCTACCAAACTTGTTTACTTACTAATTGTATCCAAAACAGAGCAGGAATAAATAAACTTTATATAAATATATAAAACGTCGAAACAAAGAAATGATTTAAAAAGTTGCCCAAATTTGAGCGTTTCATTTGAAATAAAATTCCCTCGGCCCGTACAAAATCGTCATTTTGATTAAAGCGTTCGGAGCAGACAGTTCTAATTTTTAGAAGGAAAATCCCTAGAAAGATGCTCATCAAAGTGGCCAAGTTTCTGACTTTTTTCGTGGCACTGGCAACGGCCACCGAAGCAGCAAAATATCTCGCCGAGAAACGTAAATAAAATATATAGAGAACAAAATCTGTGAAACATTTAGTGGATTTTAAACTTATTTATTTTCATTTAAGCCGACTTTCTTACCCCTTGTGTCCTGGAAGATCCCAACTTTAATCGTTGCCTGACTGCAAATTTCCAGTCGTTTTTCCGTCAATGGAAGGACGGCATTCCCGGCTATAATGCGGTCGGCTCCTTCGATCCTCTGTACATCAAACGGGTGAAGTTCGCCCAGGATGCCAGCAGGACAATAGCCATAAATGCTGATCTCAAGGAGGTCTATGTGACAGGAGCTGGCCAGGCTGTGGTCAAGGAAGCCAGGTGAAGAAAGAATTTAAAAACATGTTTTACATATAATAGTAATGATTTTTTAACTATATTCATTATTCATTAACATCTTTAGCTACGATCCCAAGAGGTATGTGGCCAAAGCCTTGATACTTGTACCCAAGATGCGCTTCAACTTTGAGTACAAGGTCAAGGGTCATGTGGTGGCCCTGACTCTCAATGGCCAAGGCACTGGTTACTTTGAATCCGGTACGTAAGCCCCTCTCCTGCCGCCTAAAACCTGAAAAAATCTATTATAAACATTAAAAATCTTATTCTAGAAAACGCTCTGATTTACCTGGAAATGCATGTCAAGCCGCGAATCGCTCCTGAGGGCATCTTCGCCGATGTCCAGAGCGTCAAGGTCAACTTCCGGGAGATCAAGCAGTTCCATATCGAGCTGAAGAATCTCTTTGGAGGCAACAAGGATCTGGAGGACACCTCCCACCAGCTCTTCAACGAAAACTGGCGCGATTTCTACGAAGTTATGCGTCCGGCCGTGGAGCAGACGGTGGGTGGAGTGCTCCTGGATCGATTCAAGAAGACCTTCAACTATGTCCCAGCCACCTACTTGATCAAAGACTTCCAATAAGGCAAATACACAGAGAGAAAAAAAAACAATAAACTTGATTAGTATTAATTTAACACAGACTTTGTACAGACAATTGTGAAAAAAATTAGCTGTAGCTCTTTGTTACTTTCTTAATTGTTATTTTCTTAACTTATTCGGTGATAATGGTATTTTATTAATCAATTTAATAGGTTTATCTAATGGTTTTATGAAATAATAATTCTTACTAAAAGAATGCCACAAACTAAGATAAATCACATTGTTTTCCTAAATTACATCCCATACTTTCTAGGCAAGTTCCAAGACTTGAGTAAGCGGCAGGCAGGCAGGAACTACTTTAAGTTAAAAACTTAATTAATGTTATAAAACTAACCACATCGCACTTGGCCCCGGCATCATTAAGTTGGTTGTAAGTCGTTGCCATGTTGAGAGCTCTCGGATCTCGGATCTCGGATCTTGAATCTCAGAGTCTCGAAGTCGCTCTTCTCGAGAATAAAACGCCGGCGCACAGCCAGCTGCTGGGTAGTCGCCGGCATAGCGTGACACCGTTTGATGCGGCTACTTTTCAGCTACTTAGTTAGTTACTTGCCTAGTTAGTTACTTACTTACTCAGTGCCTTAGAAATCATGAGCAGCACGCGCCATGGCCGCAGGTCGTTCGGTTGTCTCTGCGGTTGGCTAATTGCCATTATCTTGAGCCTGAACGAGATCACCTTGGACGTCGAAGCCGTAGCCTATTACACGGAGAAGCGTAAGTACTATAAGATACATGGATACTGGAATTATCCTGACCATATCCCGAAATCCCAGCTGCCTGGCTTCCTTCGTGTCGCATCTACGAGCCGGGCTTCACCAAGTGCTCTACGAACAGCATTCAAAAGCTTCTGGATCAGCTGAATGTTGGGATTCCAGAGGTCTTGGACCGCTTTGGTCCCTTCGATCCCATGAAGGTGAGGGATATAGTCTTCAAGCAGGACAACAACGAGGTGGCCACCATTAGGGCCAATCTCACCGAATTGATAGTCAAGGGATTTTCGAAAACCACTGTCAAAGAGAGTCGGTATGTGAGAGTGACAATGATTTGGAAATTGTATTCTTTTCCAAATATATTTTTTATTATTTTGTAATCCCTAACTCATACTTAGTGTTAGCAAAAAGGACTTTAGCTGGCAAACCAAAATATATCTGCCCAAGATGAGGCTGGATGGCAAGTACGATATGTCCGGGCGCATTCTCCTCATACCACTCAGTGGCTCTGGCAAAATATTCATTGAAATCGGTAAATTAATATGAGATTTCAAACACATTGCTTGTAGTTTGTTGTATGTAAATTCAGTGACTCAAGCTCATGTCAATGTGAATTAAGCCGTCAATGCCAACTTATTCTAACGCATGTGTAATTTCTCCCACACAGACGATCTTGACATCTTGCTGTTCACCAAAACCCGTCTGTACGAGAAGGGCGGCTTCACCTTCGACAATGTGACGGCAGTGCGGGCCCAGCTGAATATCTCCAAGGTGCGGACCTACCTGGACAACCTGTTCAATGGCCGGAGCAAGGAGGTGGAGCGCAGCACCAATCAGTTTTTCAACGAGAACTGGCGCGACTTCTACGAGGCCCTCAAGCCGCTGATCGTTGAGACTGTGGAGAACATACTGTACGATGTAATGGGCACGGTTTTTCATCTGATTCCGGCCAACTTCTTTGTGGAGGATATACCGACGCCCCAGCAACTATACGGGCCGAATCCGGCAATTCCTTCCGATGGAAGGAAGAGCAGTACCAAATAGGAATCGTGTATTCCAGTTTTAAGTTTAGCGAGAGATCTGATTGAATCGGCAATAAAAATAACAATAAACCAGCAGAGTGTCTCGATTTTGCTTAGGGAAATCAAGTTCCAGCCATCTAGTTTGCATACCAAGTAGACATCTTGATGGGAATTCCAACAGAAACTACCCCCGGAAAACGTCATTGCTCTATAATTATTTATTTATTATTGAGATTATCGTCAGTTTAATGCCTGTGAAGATCAAGCACGAATCACGTCCGCCTTGTTGGCGGAGAAGTAGACTCCGAACTGCTTCTCTGCAAGAAGATATAATGTAATACAACTTTAAATAATATTGTACAAATTTACCTCTGGAATCCACCCGATATGAATGCTTCTTGAAGAGATAGCACATCAGCAGGGCAATGACCATAGACAGGCTGGCTGCCACTGCCACAATGGAGATGAAAAGCCACTTGAGGTGATTTCTCTGCCGGGATGATCCCAAGTGCTGAGACCCATCTTGGGGGGACTGACACAGAAAGCCAGCCGCTGGCACTCCACCATCGTAACAGGCACACGTTCCCGGGGACTCACAGTATCCGTTGATGCACTGAATCTCGCAAATGGGCAGGCAGAGGAGGAGATCGTCGTGATTCCCGTGCAACTTGTATCCATTCCCACATGTGCACTCCTCATCATGGCAGGTTCCATTCAAGCACGTCTGTTCACAGTCGTACTCGGCGGTATTTGTAGTCATAAAATAGGGATGAGAAGGAGGAGGAGAACCTGTGGATGTCACCTCCAAAGGCAGACATCTGATTACGATTGAGTCGTAATAGAAACCGTCGGCACATGAGCATTCTCCTGGAGAGGAGCAAAAGCCATTTACACACCCATCCTTACACGTGGGTGAGCAGGTATTCGGAGTGTCCAGATGGTAACCTTCGGGGCAGGAACATACTCCGGGAGACGTGCAGTTTCCGTTTCTACAGCCCTCCTCGCAGACGGGATCACAGCTGTTTTCAGTATTGATCCTGTATCCTTGATGACAGGCACAGATTCCGGGCGAAGCACAATATCCGTTCTCGCATCCCTTGTCGCAAATGGGAGCGCAATTGCCTTCACTTTCCTTACGAAAACCTTCAAGACAAGTGCATTGTCCTGGAGCAGAGCAGTAGCCATTCTCACATCCGTCTTGGCAGATTGGAGCACAATGGGTTTTGCCATCCATTTCATATCCTTCGTTGCATTCGCACTTTCCTGGTGATGAGCAGTATCCGTTCTCACATTCATTCTCACAGATTGGCTTGCAACTGGTCTCGGTGTCCTTGCTATATCCCTCAAGGCAGGAACAGTTCCCGGGAGAGGCACAGTAACCATTGTCGCATCCTCCCTCACAGATGGGGCCACACCTATTCTCACTTTCCTTGATGTATCCTTCATTGCAGCTACACTTTCCTGGTGATGAGCAGTATCCGTTCTCGCATTCCTTCTCACAGATTGGAGAACACTTGCTCTCGGTTTCTTTGCCAAACCCTGCGTTACAGGAACACTTGCCAGGAGAAGAACAGTAACCGTTCTCGCATCCTTCTCGGCAAATGGGAGCACATTTCTCCTCAGTGTCCTTGCTGTATCCTTCATTACAGGCACACTTTTCTGGCGAGGCGCAGTAACCATTTTCACAAGCGTTCTTACAAACTGGAATACATTTGCTCTCCTCATTCATTTCATATCCTTCATTGCAGGAGCACTTTCCTGGGGCGGAACAGTATCCATTCTTGCATTCATCCTTACAGATCGGTGTACATCTACTAGCAGTATCCTTGATATATCCCTCATTGCAGGAACAATTTCCGGGAGAAGCACAGTATCCGTTCTCACATCCACCTTCGCAAATTGGCTTGCAGCTGCTCTCAGTATCTGTGCTGTATCCTTCGAGACAGGAACATCTTCCCGGAGAGAAGCAGAAGCCATTAACACAACCGTCCTTGCAAACTGGACTGCAATGCTTATCGAGATTCATTTCATATCCTCCATTGCAGGAGCATATACCAGGAGAGGAACAGTATCCATTCTTGCATTCCTCCACGCAGATAGGCTCGCATTTGCCCTCGGTATTCATCCTGAATCCTTCGTTGCAGGAGCACTTTCCTGGGGAGGAGCAGTATCCATTCTTGCATTCATCCTTACAGATCGGTTTACATCTGCTAGCAGTATCCTTGCTATATCCGTCATTGCAGGAACAATTTCTGGGAGAAGCACAGTATCCGTTCTCACATCCACCTTCGCAAATTGGCTTGCAGCTGCTCTCAGTATCTGTGCTGTATCCTTCGAGACAGGAACATCTTCCCGGAGAGAAGCAGAAGCCATTAACACAACCGTCCTTGCAAACTGGACTGCAATGCTTATCGAGATTCATTTCATATCCTCCATTGCAGGAGCATATACCAGGAGAGGAACAGTATCCATTCTTGCATTCCTCCACGCAGATAGGCTCGCATTTGCCCTCGGTATTCATCCTGAATCCTTCGTTGCAGGAGCACTTTCCTGGGGAGGAGCAGTAACCGTTCTCACAGCCTCCCTCACAAATGGGAGAACACCTGCTCTCGGTATCCTTAGCGAATCCTTCCAGACACGAACACTTCCCCGGCGATGCACAGATTCCGTTCTCACATCCTGCCTCGCAAAAGGGGGTACATTTGTCCTCAGCATTCATATGGAATCCTTCGTTGCAGGAGCACTTTCCAGGAGATGCACAAAATCCGTTCTCACAGCCGCCGACGCAGAGCGGCGAGCAGACGCCTTCCTGCTTCCCGTATCCCTCGTTACAAGTGCACTCGCCCGGCGCCGAGCAATGTCCATTGGAGCAACCTGTGCAAAGTGGCAGGCAAATGGACTCGCTGATGGCCGTGTAGCCCGGCAGACACTCGCAAATCCCCGGCGCGGTGCAATTGCCAAACATGCAGCCCTCGTCGCAGGTGGGCACACACCGCTTCTCGGCATCTCTGTGGTAGAACTTGTTGCACTCACACACATCCGGCGCCCGACACACTCCGTTTCCGCATCCGTTCTTGCACACCGGCTGGCACCCAAAGGACTTCGAGTTGGGCTTGGGCATGTAACCCTGGAGGCACTCACAGCGATTGGGCGCGGCACAGAAGCCATTGTTCCGGGCGCAGTTGTCCTGGCAGTTGGGCAGACACACCTGCGTGGTGGCATTCAGGGAGTAGCCCTCGTTGCACTTGCATCGATTAGGATCCTCGCAAACGCCATTGGGGCAGCCGCTGGGACAGATGGGCAGACAGTTGCCCGTCTTCCGGTCCATTTGATGATTCTTGTGGCAGACGCAGCGGTTGGGCGACTGGCAGATGCCACGATCACAGCCCTTGCAAAAGGGGACACAGCTGAGGGGAAAGAGGATATATTCACGATACATTCGGCGGGAATTACAGGGGAATCCCCCAGGGAGAGAGCGAACAGAATTCAGTTTGGGAATCTCTCGTATTGGGGTTACATAAAGTTATGAAAATTATTCATAGAGTTCCATTCGACAACTCAATGAACAATTTAAGTCACTGAATGATTCACAATTCTTCTGAAGTATATAAAATGTTTTCTTTTTAATGCTTGATAAATAAAAGGCACTCCAACTAAAGGCGCCAAATATTTATCAGCTTTTTGAAGCAAAATGAATCATGTAAGCAATTCAAATAATTCATTCACAATTAATTATGCATATAAGATAAGAGGGCTTAGGTTTCTTATTCGACTTGTGAATGTCAGGAATATGATATAACTGTAGTTTTATAAGAAACTGATAAGTTGGGAACTTGTGGAAGTACATTATGTTTCCGTTGCCACTCACCGATTTGATGGCAGATTGTTTAAGTTGGTGTATCCCCTATTACAGGTGCACACATTTGGTTTGTTGCATCTTCCACTGCCGCAATTCACATTGCAGGTGGCAATGCACTTTAATCCTTTCTTGTTACTCGTGTCTTTTCTGTACCCCGGGCAGCAGACATTCACTTTTCTTTCCTTAATTTAAATAAAAGAGGACATTAAGTATTGGGCAAAAAATTAGAAAAACTGCTTGACTTACTACGCGCTTTCCCCTGATTTTAATCACATTAGTCTTCGTACAAATCTGGGCTGCGGCTAGGCCACAGAGTACGGAAAATATTACAAGTTCGCCAGTCCTCATGATGGAATTATAAGTTCGACTTGCTGGATTCCGTTTAGAATTGAAACTAAAGAGACCTCGGCAAATATAAAATCGCAAGAGCCTCTTTTCTGCGATCCTACATGTACATAACAAACATATGTATATTTGATACATGGCCTCCGATTGAAGAGGGCTGCCTTATCGGTCTAAGTCAAGCGAGTATAGTGCCGCAGCTGGGAAATGAATGTACCAAGCTCAAGAGTTGGGAGCCAGAGGACGGGGTCTCCATAGGCTTCTTTTTCTTATCACCACCCACGGGATGCATTTGGTATTCATATGAACTTTCTAATAAATATACAGAAATATAATAATTGATTTCGGATTTTAGGAATGTAGGTTTCTGTATCTTTAAAGATTCTATAATTTCTTATTACCCCTTATATGTGTAGTTATTTGGTCCTTCAAGATTCACATTAAATAGTTTCTGAAGGCGACCATTGATATCAAATGTAATAAGTAAGGGTATATAAGGGTCTAAATTTCATTTACAGTCTTGCTGTTTACAAGCTATATTGAATCATAAAATAAGAGAAACTCTATGGAATATCTAATAGATCTTAAAATGCCTAGAAATATGCGAAACAAGAGCCAAGGCAACTCTTGGCATATCAACAAGGCCGCGACATCGTTAGGGAATCAGAGAGGCAGCGCTATATAGCACACTATATATTATATTTACTGCACTATAGCCGTACAAAGTTCTCGGATTTCTATTTCTCAATTTGGCGGACGAGATCATTTACAAAAGATTCTGCCGCCTCTCCATTTAATGATGATTTTATTATGGCAGTTAAAGTTTTTTATTTCACCTGGCTCGAAGCAATTAAGTTTGTGAGGTCCGAGAACGAGTATGAGTGCGAGTACGAGTGCAAGTACGAGTACGAGTTTGAGTATTTGTGCAAACAATTTTTGCGATGACATATACACACATGCACATATAGTTGATGGCGTATTTTCCAGTCAGATATTAAATTAGCTTACCGGTTCGGTGGCAAGGTGAAGTCGCTACAGTTTCAGAGTTGCATGTAACAACAGCAATAACAGAAGCCACTAGCCACTACACTGGGAGAACGTGTCATGTGTTTTACTACCAATAAATTAAACAAGTTACTTAAATTATTATTATTGTGATTAATTATTATTGGGCTGCTTTAGGGCATTGTCATCCTCGTACGATAAGTTTTTAGTTGCAATATGGGGAAATTTGAGACATTTTTCCGTCTGAGCCGAATGTTAGAAAATATTTCTTATTAAAAATATATGTTTTATTTATACAACTGTATAATACAATTCATAAACATGACATCATTTGTAATTAACAACCTTTTAACAACCACATTTTGCAAGTGTAGAAAACTCGTACCTTTTGTGCTATAATAAATATGGAATAAATTGCATTTCATAGTGCGAGTAAATGAAAATTGCTTGATTCTGGTATTACCCAAAGGCCTCATGCTCAATTCATCAAATGTTCCCAAGTCGTAGGCTATATATATATACATATATAGTTCAGATAAAAGCAAACACCGTTCCCATTCGTATCTCATTCGTTTCTGGCGCGCGCCAAACTCGATTAGACAACCGTCTCTAGAGATTTCCATTGTGACACAGTGAGAATAATTCAGATTCTGATTCTGAAAGTGAGAGTGAGAGTGACAGTGACGACAACTTTCCACGATGCACATAATTGGCTTACTGATACTGCTCCAGGCCGGCCTCCGGGAAATCCAGTGCGTTGCGTTCTACACGGAAAAACGTAAGTGAGTTGCAATTAAAATTCAAGTTCAAAATATGTATCTGAAAAATCATTAATAGTTTAATTGTATTGAATAGCTCTTATTATAAATATTTTTAACTGTTTTTAACTAATGATAACATTATTTACTTTTCAGCCTCCTATATAGAATCCTGCCGGATTTATGAACCAGAGTTCACAAAATGCTCAACGCGCTCCATCCAGGCCTTCATGAACCAGCTCATCAAGGGTTAGTCCTTGCTCGATTTATAAATAAGTAAAGGAAATATACTTGACATGATTTACAGGCATTCCCGAGATTGAGGAATCCTTCGGTCCCATCGATCCCATGCGTCAGGATCAACTGGTGTTCAAGCAGGACAACAGCGATGTGGCCACCTTGGCAGCCAATCTCACCGAGATGAAGATCCGCGGCTTTGGCCAAATGGTGATTAAGGAGAGCAAGTGAGTTTAACACCGATCGAAAGTTAATCAATCAGCAGGGAAATTTCCCAGCGAATATATAGTTTTCCTGAAAATTCCATAGAGTGTATAATAATAACTTAATAGCTTTGTACAGACTAGTTTTGCTGAAATATAATTATTTAATCATTACATATTGACTTGTTTTAGCAGTCACTATTTTCAATAAAAAACCATTGGGTCCACAATTGTAATAATAGGTACATAATGTTATAATATTTCTTGAAAATTAACTAGTCTAACTTAAAATTAATAAATCCAATTTATTCCAATTAATTCATATTTTTATACCCTCTCAAGGCATAAAAATTTTAGTCAGAAGCTTGTATGTCTGTAAAGGAAGCATTTCCGACCCTATAAATCATATATATTCACGATCAGCATCAACAGGCGAATCTTTTTAGATATATCCGGCCAAACTACATTTTTTTTTAGAAATTTGTCATTTTTTGAAAAAATGTAATTAAATTAAAATTTTCGGTAATCGGCCAAAAAATTTACATATTAAATGGAGTATGCAACTTTATTAATCTGCTAAAAATAAACATACAAACACTTTCCGAATTGAAATTAATTTATTTTTGACTCAGTTATGAGTTTTCTTAAACTTTGATTATTCCTAAAAAATGTTCTTACATTATTATCAATAAACACTCAAAGAATGTGATGTCATTTATTTATAATTCAATTGCAAACTGCTAGGGTATACATATATACTTTGCTTCCTTTCCTTTTAATTTTGTTTCTTCCAGAATTCTTTTTAATTATTTTTAAATAATTATTTTATATTTTGTCTCAGAGTAAGCAAAAAGGACTTTAGTTGGCAGACAAAGATCTATCTGCCCACGATGAGCATGGATGGCATGTACAAGATGGTCGGCCGCATTCTGTTGGTTCCCCTGCATGGGGCCGGAAAGATCTCCATGAAAATAGGTACAGTAATTCCAGATTAAAGAACTACCTGTCACTTCATTAACCCCGATTATATTGGCAGATGATCTGGACATACTGATGAGCACCAAGACCCACCTGTACGAGAAGGGCGGCTACACCTTCTACAACATAACGTCCGTCAAGGTGAAGCTGGAGGTGGGAAAGGTCTACACGAATATGGAGAATCTGTTCAATGGCCACAGCAAGGATGTGGAGAGGAGCACGAATCTGTTCTTCAACGAGAACTGGCAGGATCTGTTCGAGGCACTGAGACCCCTGGTGGACGAGACCGTGGAGCGAACCCTGCTGGATTTGCTCCACAAGACCTTCTCCATATTCCCGGCCAGCTTCTTCGTAGAGGATGTACCGAACTCCCTGACTCTGTACGGTCGCAAGTCGAAGATGATCAATTAGGCAGGGAGAGCAGTCCATGCTCTTCGAAATACATAAGTCTCTGCTCACTTCTTGAAATGTATTTTGTATTCTTGATTGTAGAAAAGGGGTAAATCCCTCGTCGCGAGTGGTTAGACTAGTTGTGGCTGTTAGTGTTACTTAATAAATGCTTAATTTAGAGGTATCCTAATATGGGATGGCACACTGCTCCTCCTCCTCCGCGCCGTCATCGAGTGTTCAGTAGAACCAGTCGTACTTGAGATAGTCGCCTTCGTGCTTCAGCGCCGCGATCGAGGTGTGACGCACGTGGCCGGTGCGAGCGAAGATCCGGCGATTGCCCACCGGCTGCAGGGTCCGGAAGTTGTCCACCAGTGCCCCATCCTGCGTGTCCGACAGCTGGCGGAAGCGGGAGATCTGCTTAGGCGAGATGGGGATGGGGTCGGGGAACAGAATCCAGGTGACGGCCTCCGAGCAGGGAGGAGTGGTCAGGGAACCTGCGAAAAATCAATACAATGAAGAAAAATATATTATCGATGTAAAACGTAAACCAAACAAGATTAGGTGGCTTCTGTTGATCCTATTGATCGGACATCGAGTAAAATTTCTGTATTATATCTACATATATATTGAAATTCTCTACCATTGACGTCACAGAGATTAGGATCGCTTGTAGACATCGATTCCCTGTCAGCTAATACTCAAGACTGTTGAGAAACTGGGGAATCCTGCTCTGAATACTAATTGCCAGAGAGGCGCTCCCTCTTTCAACTACATTTGAGAAAATATATTATTTTCTCTTCTATGAAGTAATTAATCTCCTTAAAAGTACTCTAAATAATTTTACTCCAAAGACTTACCCTTGTAGGTGTAAAACTTGTCCACATCCACGCCGGCAATCAGCGAGGAAAGCGAGAAGGTGACATTGAGCGTGGCCTCCTGGTTGGCATCGGCAATCAGATGCAAGTGCCTGTTAATGGTCACCAGGCCCTGACCCTCGTCCTCATCCAGCTGTGTGGGATAATGGGTTTAGAAATCATCCGGAATGGGTCCACCTCGCCCTTCTACTCACATTGAAGAAGAAACCCAGAACGGCGGCCCCATCGGGATGATTGAGAGCCTCGCCAATGGTGGCATACTTCTTGTTGCGATGCACAATATGCATCTCCATGGTGTACCGGATGTCATTGATGACGTGCTCGGAGCCCCGGTTGTTCTTGTCGCCCCAGTGGAAGTGCAGGCCCTCTATCTCGAACTCTCCTGGCAGCTTGGCGCCCCGGATGTAGGGCAGGAAGTCCTCTCCCACTTCGCTTACATTGACCTTGGGTATGCCAATGGTAACTGTTGGGGAGAAGAAGGAGAATTTTAATTAGTATTGTCAGTAATTAGAGCCCTTGTTTATTACCCACCTGTGTGCCCGTTGTTGACCATTTTCAGGGGATACGGCAGCAGGTTGTGGTAGCCAATCATGTCCACCGCCGGCATATGGACAGATATCGTCTGTAAAGGTAACCAAATCCTAATTACATGTGTCTGATTGAGATCTGTGTTCGGGGATAATCTTACCCGGCTGGTGGTGATGGCAATGGGGGATTGGGTCTTTCCGGCACAGTGGCCATGATGACGAGCCCAGCGACGCTGGTTGGGCTCAGAGTACCCGAAGACATGGCTGTTAACGGCTGGAAAGAAGTTTATAAAGGTTTATGTTGTAAAACTAATAAGCATTAAACGTTATATTTATTTACGTAAGGCTAAGCTAGTAACATAAATAATATTTCACAATGTTCTGATCTTTTAATTTGATCATATTTCATTAATAAATAACATTCTAACACCCAATACAAATATATTATAATATACCCCAAGGGCTTGCCTGATATACTAAAACCCAAATTAAACAATTTATTTCCGCTGATCTAAAGTTGCTATTTATTTAAGCATTAGCTCTGGGCTTACTGGTTTCCCCGAAATTAAAGCCACCATCAATTTTCCGTTGGAATGCGCACCTTAGTCCTTAATCGGACAAATTAAAGTGCTTTCCCCCGGTTTGCAGACAGCCCCGTCAGGCGCAATCTGGATTCTTGGAGTCCGGACGATTGATGAGTGATCACGTGCCCCGTATACGGGTCTTTCAACCCCTCCGCACTTGACCTTCTCCCGTGCGTTTTCCGGGGCTATCTCTGACATATAGTCGCACTTGTGAATTACGGCATAACAAATGGGGGAGACGAGCAAATATTTGGCGACTCTTTCTTTTTTTAGTCAATGGCTGAGCAAATAAATAAAGTAAGTAAGTAACTAAGGAAAACGGTAAGGAAAGTGCCAGCGTCAAGGGCAGCCGCGGCAATAATAATTAGATATCGTCGCGATTGATATTGATTTATGTACATAGAGTAGGTAGATCCAGATAATGGCGGGCGCAAACAATTTTCATTATTTTCCATGGAATCTTTTGCAAGGCGAAAGGAAAGCGCTTATTTAAAGGCTAATTTGCATGTGATTGGTGATAATTTCTGTTTGCAGAGCTCTCTACTAGGAATTAACGTATCATATGACAGGCAGCACACACACCTTTGATGAATTGCTCTAATTGGGTGTTTATTTGTAATAATATAATTTATTATAATATTTGTTTCAGGCCTTAGATAATGTGTGTATATTGCTTAAAAATTAGTTTCTTGTCAGAAATGGCCATCAGACATCACACATAATATATAGATATTAATGTGTCCAACTATTTCATTGTAATCGAATTTTAAATTTAAATGCCTCAAAGCCGCAAAGTTGGTTGTTAAGATAATAAACTGTCACGGCGGAAAGTCAAGAGTACAGATGTTCATTTTGCTGTGTAAATATTATTAGTATTTATGGGGCTTCCTTTTTGGGGCAGAACTATTTGCATTTTTCGCAGGGTTACAAAGAACCAAACACAGCCTTAGCACCTAAATCAATTCGTCCGGCAATAAAATGTCTTAATTGACAGCTTCAAGTGGAATAAACACCATTAAACTGCTCGAAATTAGTTTCGTGAAGTGTGTACTTATGACTGCTAATGCCCAGATCCCCCTAATATCAGGTATTGACATTTCGTAACTGATATCGGCCAGAGTCACACGCGTTTCGAGAAGAGCCCACTACACAGAGAGAAACCGGCTCTATGTCACATGATAGATATACCACTTTTTAAATACTTATTACCTTTTATCGTTGTTCAGAGGAGTTAAAAAAATGGTAGGACTTTTATATAACGGGTATGCTTATAGATAGTTAATTTAATGTATTCTGTACATATCCAATGTGCTGGAAATGAATCCTTTAAATAAGAAATCGATGAAAGATTGAAATACTATTTAAATATTGAATACTTTCCAATTAATCAATTCTAACATATTTAGGCAACTAAACTGTGAATGTATAAATAAAATATATTAACGTTTTTTCTTTTAATAAGTCAATGCAAGCGTTTAAAAACTTTTCGAATTTCTTTCTTAAATAACCGAATGTACACACAATTTTTCACTCTGCACTCTTTAGAAAATACCCTGGAACTATGACTATACCCAGCAAGTAATACGTAGTCACAGGAACTTCGCACGAATAGATATCGATTTATGGCTATTACTGTTCTGCTCTAAAAATAAATATCTGCACACCTTGGACCCCCCACAAAGGTGAGTCAGGTGTAGGATGACGTTGAAAGAATTCACAGGAATCTTCTAATATAATTACCTTGCGTCCAGCAGAGCACCAAAAGCGAAACCTCGCAGATTAGGGTAAACTTCATGATGATATATGTATGATGGATTCTCAACGGAGGACTCCTGGCTAGAGGAAGAGCGGGAATAGTGAGTACCTTCCGATCGGCTGACAGATTCTAGACTGCGCGGACGATTCGCTGGCGGAGCACCTTCACAACTTCCTCAGCGGGCAGTCAACGAACTACTTGAAAATTCGAAAGCTGAAATCCCCGCCCGAAGCGCGTGCACCGCACACACACATTCAGTGGGAGTCGCACGAACGGCCGCCGACGACGATGGATCGATATATAGTATGGAATCGGATCGGATCGGAAATGGAATTGGTATGGGAGAGGGCATAGTGCAGGCCAAACAACTAAGTCACTCACTTGGGCCTACAGCCTGCACCACACGGCGTATACTTAATGCGCGAGGAGCGAACACTTTTCGGGGCCGCCCTTGTCGATCAAATTCCCTTTTCCATTCCATTTCTGCTGCCAAAAAACTCGTCATAATTCGCACCTAATGCCGCCACAGCCAAAGTGGTAACTGCCTTCGATCATTTCTGATAATATTTTGTTTTGCATACACAATTTGCCCGATTTATTATTTATTTGTTCGCTGTTTGCTGTTTTTTTTTTTTATTCTCCTAAGCGTTACTAAGCCAACGAGTCAACGCGATGACAACGTCATGCCGAAAGTCGCTAATTAGAAGCGGGGTCCTCACAAAAACCAGGCGATCGATCGCCATCCGAGGCGAGGCAGCACATTCATTGAGCGATTTTTCGCACGTTTTACAGCTTTACAGTTCCGATTCTAGAGTTTGGGGACTTCATTAATTCGATCTCTGTAAAGTTCGTGATCCACATGGCGAATGTGTGTAACTACTGTGTATGTATTTATATAGATCAGAGTGCTCTGATATCTATTTTTATTTTTATGGTGGTCACACGCACTCGGATATATTTGCCATTGAATTGTCCAGACAGACATTCAAGTGCCAAGGCTTAGACAGAAAGGCCATAAAACTACGTGAATCCTCGTGATGGATGGCGAGGGAAAGCTACCAAACTTTTCAATGGAAAAACATATCATATCAGTCACAACTATGCTCAGAGGGAGAGTTAATGTCGTCGCCAAGGTTGGGCTCAGCAGGTCTTGTTTTCGATTTGTAATTTAATCGCTAGCGTACGAAATGGTAAGTTTATATAGCGATTATTAACTGTAAACAAAGTTTTCCAGTGGCCCCAACTTACGCAAATTTCGGTGGCCCAGCCTAAAGTGTAAATACATGGGTTTGTCATTTATCAGAGAGTTATTTATGAATGAAAATGAATTTAATTTTTGTCCAACTCTTGTACAACAAACTAGGCTCACTTAATATTATATTATTTATAAAAATTACTCAAGAGAAAATATATATTTGGTAGCGAAAAGTTTTGTTGTTGTCTACCCTTCCCAGTGGTTCCTTCTATTTTTTTACCCTTCCAGGGTATTATAATTTTAGTCAGAAGCTTGGAAATCAGTGAAGGAGTCATTTGCGATCCTATAAATCATATATACTCTTGATCAGCATCAAAAACCGAGTCGATCTAACCATCTCCAGCGGAATAACAAAATTTTCAATTTTTTCAATATTTTCTAAGAGGTTACATCGTGAAAATTGTCTAAAAATTGGGAAAAAATTTGAATTTTTTTTAAATTTAAATTGAGTATGCAGATTTATTAAACTACTAAAAACTAACATAGGACTGATTTCTGAATTAAAATTAATGCATTTTTGGCTTAGTTATGAGATTTTTAAGCATTGACTTGTACAAAAAATTGTCATACAAAAATATAGATAAATATCGACACAAATATAATAATATAATTTGAGTCGGAAGCGTTAAACGCACTGAAGCAGTCCTTTCCGACCCTATATATCATATATATACTTGATCAGCATCAACAGGCGAATCTTTTAAGCCATGTCCGGCAAAAATTTAATTTTTTCAAAATTTCTAAAATTTTATAAGGGGTTACATCGTTCAAATGGCCAAAAAATTGGGAAAAATTTGAATTTTGTAAGAATTTAAAATTGAGTATGGAGATTTTTTAACCTTAGAAAAACGAACATAGGACAGCTTTCCGAATTAAAATTAATTATTTTTTGGCTTAGTTATGAGGTTCTTAAGCATTGATTTGTACAAAAAATATTTCAAAACACAATATAAGAACATTTTACCAGCCAATCCAATCAAATTAAAATCAGTTAACCTTATTTTGCAAATAATTTAGTTACCGGTTCTAGTCGGTCCGTTCAGCTTCAACAGCAATCAGCGGGTTTCCCATTGCTAATTTAATTGTTTGAACACGATATTGTGCGGAGAGCTGCCAATGATTGCCCAAAAAAGGTGTCAATATTTGCCAGAAAATAATCGCATGATTATCACATGAGCACCAGAGCTGGTCAGTGATGGAGGAACTCCTCCGCGGCGATTGATACGATACGATCTAGAATGCAATTGATTATGCAAACTTGTGGCCCGTTTTGCAGTGGAATATCTCAAATATTTGCTATCGATCACAAAGTCAACACAACGCCATCGAATCGATCAATAATACCTGGAGTAGTTCATCAATATCGCAGTGTGTTTTATCTGCGGTTCACGTGACAGCAATTAGCAACATTTAGTCGAAGCTGTTTGTTGTTTATCTGGGGTCCGGGACTTGTGAAATTCACAGTTCGTAGATGAAGACGCCAAGACCAGCTCATAAAAGGCTGTAACAAAGCACTTGAAATGCTCAGCCAGTCGCAATAACTCAATTATTTGGCTATAATAAGAAGAGATAAAATTGAATCGAGACGATTTTACGAGCGATCTGGTAGCTAGACGTGCTCCCTGCATAATAAATACTTAAAAAGACATTAAACGAGGCACTGGAACACGAATCCCCGAATACCAATCAATCTCCCGGGTGCACACTCTCTCGCCCAGTTTTGCATAGAAGGCGCACCTGCGCATCCGTGCCGGGAATGCCAACTGTGCGCTACAGTTTTATCAATTAAAAACACCTAGACTCGGCCAAAGAATCAGCGCGGAATACTCTATCAGTGCCTCCGATCAAATATAGCGCTGGCGTCATCCGAAAGTCCGACAAACATATCAATTCCCGCGACACTTGGAATTTATTTTTGGCCAGAATAGCAACTTCTCAGTCATGAATGGCTTAAAAATAGCAACATTACTTATCAGACCATAATTGATTGGTTGGGAAGCGCAATTGGATGCTCAATCAATAATTCGGCCTTATCAATTGTTTTTCCCATATCTGCCGGCCACAATTTGCTGCATACTTTGTTGGTCGCAGCCATCGCCTAAAAGATGGCACCGAGTTTCGTCGTCGTCAAAACGTACAAAAAACTTTATTACAAATTTGCAATGCACTTAGATAGGTTATAAATTACAAAATAATAATAATAAATGATGATGTATGACTTTTCTAAAAAATATGTAACAAATTTTGGAGCTTAAAATGGCCAATTTACAGCTTTGGCAACAGTTATGGCTTACTTTGGTTTCGAATTTACAAAATTAATGCAAATCAAATGATACAAAATGCTAAAGAGGGTTTACTCAAAACTAACAACTACTATTCGATGAGTTTGCACTTTAGGTCAACGTTTGTTTGTCATGATTTATAAATATATATAGAAATATGAAGTAGAATTGACTTCCTGCTCCTGTCCCTATTTTCTTTTTCGCTTTATGTTTTGTGTTTTTGGTTTCCAGGTTCAACGAGTCCAAGTAGTCCTTTAACCATCAATAGAGATTTAAGTGTAGAGAGAGATTTGATAGCTGGCAAGTCAGAGTGATGTTTCCTTTTTTGTTTTTGTTTTGTGCTTTTGGTTAATGCGGTAGGCAGCTTAGTCCTGCTTCTCCTCTTTGGCGGACATGAAGAGCTTCTGGCAAGTAAAGGTCATCGAGTCTATAAATAAAAACAAAAAACCATACAATATTTGGACAATTTGGGGTTACTCGGCTGGTGTAAATGCTCACCAATCGCCTGCTGCACCCATTCGGGCTTATTCTTCCACACGACGCCGCAGTAGTAGAAAGGTATGCCAATTAGGGTTATTAGTACCCCCATGCCGACCTCGTAGGGCGCCACATAGATGGGTACGACGACCAAGAAGGCGCATACGATGACGAATAGGGCGGGTATCCACACGGCGACCTGTCACAGACAGAAATAACAAATAGATTATACGCATATGGTTTCAGTTATAAGCTAATAGTATCATATCGAATAGTAATGGTAGCTTAAGTAAGTGTTTTTCTTAAAAACCAAACTCTTTTACATTTTATTTTTAAATATGAAATACAGAAAACCTATTTAAAAATTGGTCTTGCTATAGATAAGAGCGAAAATTCGATAAAACAGACAGGTATTTATCTAAACAATATAAACACACTAACAACTATTTAATTTCGGTTACACCGATTAACTCACCTTAATGGGCCGATCCATGCTGGGTCGGGTGTAACGGAAATATAGCACCGCCGACACCGACAGCATGATAAAGAACGATTCCACAATGCTGGCGTAGGTGATCAGCACATACACATCGCTCACCACTAGCATCACAATAGAGAGGAAGCACTGTGAGTGGGACAAAAACCAAATCATTTAGGGATTAATTACGTAATATATCTTTTGTGCGCTAATTGAGGGGCGCAGCGCTCACCAGAAACACGAGCGAAGGCAGCGGGGTGTAGCTCTTCACGCTGATGTGTGACAGTATAGCCGGCATATGTCCATTGCGAGCACCCACAAAGCAAATGCGGGAGGAGGTCATGATATGGACGGAGAGGCCGCCAAAGGCCGATATGGCGACCATGATGGGGATGACCAATGAGAAGGCGCCGAGAATTTTATCCCCAAAGGTCTGTGTAAGAAAGAGAGGGAGAACAATTAAAATCTGTTGACAAAGCCGATCTGCTTTCATTAAGCAACAAGCAATTGGGTTTCCGATCAAATAAATTAACATTTAAATGCTATGAATAGCCTAGAAAATTGATCAATTACAATTTTACAATTTAAAGCCTAGCTCGACTTAGGGCTCAACCGTTTCCTGATACGATTTCCCGCCTGATCTGATCGAAAATAGGAACAGGGATTCTTACCACAGCGATGGCATTAGAGGCTATCATCTCGCTGGGCGACAGCACCGCCAGATAGGCCATGTTGGCAAGCACATAGATCCCGGTGACCAGAGGCAGCGAGATGTAAATGGCGCGCGGCAGATTGCGGTACGGATCCCTTAGTTCCTCGGTCATAAAGTTCAGATAATTCCAGCCGGCATAGGAAAAGATGCCGGAGTAAAAGGCCACTGACAGTTTGCCGGGATCAGTCTCTGTATTCTCGAACGGTCGCTCAAAGTTCTCCACATTGCCCATGAACATCCAGACCAGGCCCACGATAATGATCATCACCAGGGCGGCGATTTTGGTGAACATGATAATGTTCTGCATCTTAGTGGTCACTTTCATGTAGTAAGAGTTCAGGTAGGTGAGAAAGCAGATCGTTATGCCGGCCAGCAGCTGCAGGGCCGCCTTGGGTATGTGACAGGCGCCGCCGAAGAAGGGCTCCAGTACATACGAGGCAAAGGTCAGGCCCATAATCGCATTGGTTGTGGGTCTGCAAGAGATAAGGATAAATAATCAGCGGAAAATTTACGCAGACTGCAATATAATGATTGTATTCGCATGCAACAAATAAAAAAATATAATTTTAGCTTATCGCGGGACTCGAAATGTCAAAAATAGCAGGCAATAAAATGCTTAGAGCAGAACCAGAACCAACTGCCCCAATAAATAAGTGTACTGACTGCAGATTACGAGAGATAAAGATCTGTATTTCACTTTCTACGTTAAACAACCTTGCCAAACTAGCCCAGACAGGGTCTTATCAAGGAAAATGCCTTTACTCTGAAACAAAGAGTAACTGGCCAACACTGAATTGATCACAAAACTAAGAAAACCAAAGAGCCAAGAACGAATGGTGTCTTCACTTGTAGAAATTGTTGATAAGAAATTATGAAATGGAATTATCAAATTATTATCTTTTTTGTTATGAAACCTTTTTTCCTATTTATAATTGGTCTGATAAACAAATCAATCAGCATGTAAGAAATTTTTAAAGCTTTGTAAGGAATTCTTTATGAAATTTAACATGAAGAAAATAAAGTTATAAGGCATTCTAAATAAATAAAAAATAACTCACACAAATATCATCATAGCATCCCATAGATATAGAAACGCCGGCAACGATCCGTACGCCTCGAATATATAGGCATAATCCCCACCAGACTTGGGTATCGCAGTGCCCAGTTCTGCGTAGCACAGAGCTCCAATCATGGACAGCAGACCGCAGAGAACCCAGATGACTAGCGATGTGCCCACGGATTCCACCTCCATAATCACACCCTTGGGCGAAACGAAGATCCCGGATCCAAAGATAATGCCCAGAATGATGGCCACGCCTTCCAGCAGACCCAGTTGCTTCTTGATCACCACACGACTGCTGTCCGATTCAGCAGATCCTTCGCGATTTTGTGACGGTTCGGGGGGCTGATTAGACAGATTAATGCCGTTGCTGGAGGGCACTATGCTGGATGGTGGGTTTCCGGAACTCGGTGTAAGGAGCACCATTTCGCTCGAGGGCGACTGCAGTTCATCGGAGATGGCCATGGTATGGTATTAGCTGAAACGGAAGGAAAACAGGAAGTTAAATAGATTAAAAAAACTATACAAATCTGGATATATATAGATGGGATTCATGGAAAACTATGGAATATTATTTAAAGGATATTAAAAAATTTATAGCAGGGTGAAGAAGGGTTTAAAGTAGTTAAGGAAATTATAGAAAAAATTAAGTACTTTATCCAGAAAGAGTTAAATTCAAGAGTATAAAAGACACTGTGTACAAAATTTTAACGTCATTATCAAAATATCAGGAATACTGGACAATATAGTCACAGTAACTGCCTAGAAGATGAAGAAATTATATAAGATAAGAGATATTGCATAGAACTTTCAGAAAACTATGAAATTAAGGATCTCTCCTATGATAAATAATTCAAAAACCAATCCAATAAATACAAAGTATAACTTAGTCCTGCTACAAACGCTATCAGTTTTGCTTTATCACAAACTTCCAACCGAAATGGAAAGTGGGAATGGCAGGTCATCTATATATTCTATTCCTTTTTTATTGGGCCGATGAAATACTTTGCTATCCTTATCCTGGAGTGAGCGACGGAGCTCTCGGCGGTGACACAATCTACGCACGCGACGCTTGGAAACGGACTGGAACTGGGAATCTCTCTGGCCGTTGTCCCGTTAATTGATTAAACGAGGCAAGTGTATTTGTGGGTGTGCCTCCGCTCGCTGGCTAATGTGTGGGTGATTCCCGTCAGAGTATGTTTATTTAAGTGTATTTTTCAATTGTATGCGGCGGCAGGGCTTATCTTCCCTTGACTTTTGCTTCTGCTGTTCCTTTTTTCGCCGTTGCCGGTTAGCGTTATTTTGTTTTGCTCCGCTGTTCGTCAGCTGGCTATCTCGCTCGCACTACCACCACACTCACTGCCGCAGCTGCAACTGCTTTTTTCGCACATGCAATCGGGATTTGAACTAATATTTCGACGTGCAGCACGCGGAATTCGGTTAATGGGTTTGATAAATAAGAGCTGACATCGAGGTAACCGCGAAATTTTGCAATCTTTGCGGTTTAATTGTTGAATTGGCACAGTTTCGTTTAAAGGTTTTTCAACCCCACGTTTTGGTCATATTCCGCGGTGTGACCAGCCGATGGGAGATTCAAAAATACTGCATTTTGGACTAACCGTAATTATGCGCACAAAAATGAATTGGATTATAAAATAAGGTTTGATTTTTAATTAAATGTTTTTATTTTTTTTGTGAGCAGAGAGGTTTACACTGTTGTTTTACTCCCTTTAAGAAGCTAAAAGTATGTTAAAAGACCTTAGTGCATAATTCCAGTATTCAACATATTTATTTAAGTAAAAATATTTAAGTCTTTAAATGTTGTCCTCTGAATCTTTTATTTTTAAGGTTTTTCGCATCTACTTCTTGTCCTTGGCTTGGAGCTTGTTGTGAATCATGTCCTTGAACTGCGAAAGAATCTTGTTCTCGCGCTTCTGCCGCTCCTCCTTGCTGAACATGGCCAGCGCCCTCTTCTCGTCGGCGGAGTACAGCTGGTTCTCCTTGCGGATACGCACCGCCTCCATGCGCCGGTGCCGGCTACCGCTCATGACATAGCCTACAGACTCAAAGTTGGCGATCTCGTCGGAGGTCAGGCCGATTTCTCCACGTCGGGGAATCCGCTTGCCCTCAGCGATGTAGGCAGCCATAGCAGCTCCTTCGCCGGGCAGCAGAGCCTTGCCAAAGTCCTTTTGATTGAGGCTGCCACCGGTTCGAAGGGAGGGACCCACATCCTCGTCGTTGTGATTGGAGCTGTCCTTGGTCTTGGATCTGCCGCCACTGGAGGAGGAGCTCTTCTTTTTAGACTTGGCCATCTCGGATTTCCTCTTCTTCTTCTTCTTTTTGGATTTCTTATCCTTTTTGCTTGCAGATGACTTTTTCTTTTTAGGTTTCTTAATGCCTTCGGCGGTTTTCTCCAGCCAAACATCTTCCTCAGACTCATCATCGCTTTCGGAACTGGAGCTGCTAGTGTCATCGCTGGAGTCGTCGCTGCTATCCTCGCTGCTGGACTCACTGGAAGAGGAGTCCTCCGAAGAGCTGGATTTCCTGCTCTTTTTCTTCTTTGCTTTCTTAGATTTCTTCTTTGACTTCTTTTCAGACTTCTTGCTTTTTTTTTTGCCCTTCTTTTTCTTTTTCTTGGGTCCCACGTAGGAGCCCTTGACCAGTTCCACGTCGTCGTTTTCCGGTCGCGTTGGGCTCTTGCCCCAGACCTCGGGCACGCCTTCCTCGCCAATGCGAACCCGGTGGTCCCTGCGAGCATTCACATTGGCATTGGAGTGGTGGCCACCGGCGGCGCCGCGCCCTCTTTGATGGCTTCTACTGGACGGTTCAGCGGGATCGTTGATAAAACTGCCCTCAGGAGCGCGGCCCCGGAAAGGATTCTGCCGTCGGTCGTGGTTGTTCTCGTGGAACCGATCGTTGGGCCAGCGTTCCACGGACTTCTTTTCTGATTTTCGGTGGGCAGAGGAGCTTCTGGAGGAACTGGGGCTGCCACTGCTGCTGCCCGAGCTACTGGAGGACGCGGAGCGGGTACGACGACGACGGGGCACCAGTTCTTTTTCCCTGGAACGTCGGGAACTTCGATTTGAAGTTCTTTCCTTATGAAGCTCCCGCTCTCTGTCTTTCTCCCGCTCCCTGGAGCGGTTACGTTCTCTGGAGTCGGATCTGCTGCGTCGCCGGCGGTTCCTCTGACGGCTGCGACTCCTGCTACGTGAACGCATCGCGAAAAATATAAATTTTAAATTAATTTCACCGGAAAATGCAAAACATTTGTTTTGTGCGTGGTGATGGCACACAAGCGATAACCAAGTTATCGATCATTTCTATCGCTGGGCATCAGCTGCTGGCGCAGGGCCTGGCTGTGGTCACACTAGAACTAAGAAAAACTAATTGCAAATTTTTATTTTGCCCAAAAACCTAATTAAAAGCCAAAAATGTTGTAAATTACGGATAAATTAAGAAAACATCGCAAATTGCCATGGCGCGCATCACGTGGAGAGGTAACTCCAGCCAGGAGCTGCTGTAAGTCGACATTTTATACACATTTTCGTAGGAGTATTAACTGACAATGTTTTTATTTATCAATTTCGCTTTTTTTTGCCGGTCTGCAGTTCGATTTGTCGCCTGCGTTGGTCCTACATGAAGCACTGTTGGCACTCGCTGACCTTTAACGCACACATGAACTCCTCCTACGCCTCTGACGTCTGCCTGACTCCTATTTTTTGGTTCGTGGACAACTACACTCACTGCCTGGGACCCGTAAGACTTGGCAACAAATTGTGAATTTGTTTTTCATAGCTTTTTCCCATAGTTCTTTGTGGTTGGAGTGGCTGCACTGACCACTTCCGTGGTCAGCATTGCCTACTGGATTGGCTTGCCCTTTTGGTGGGCCAAGAGCCAGTTGGTGACCTACTTCCTGCTCCTCGTGGGCAATTGGCTGCTTCTAAATGTGATATTCCATTATGTGATGGCTGTAATCACCCCGGCTGGTAATCCGCCGGAGGGCGTGTCGCTCGTGGAGGCTGTCAGCATGTGTGGCAAATGCATAGCTCCAAAGCCACCCAGGACGCACCACTGCTCCGTATGCAATCGCTGCATTCTCAAGATGGATCACCACTGTCGTAGGTATCATTGAACTTTCTGTAGTTTTCTGAGTTATATTTTATTATTGCTATGCAGCTTGGCTAAACAACTGTGTGGGATATGCCAACCACAGGTACTTCTTCCTGTACATGATGTACACCACGCTGGGCTGCCTGTTCCTTATAATTGCCGGCCTGGAGATTGGCCACAAATATCTATGGCTGGATCACGGCGAGAGCTGGACCGAGGTAGAGCCTCTAGAGGGGCAACCAGTGAAGTTCAACCTTAGCGGCCACATTATTCCCGTGGTAAGTCATGCTTAAACTCTATTTGAAGTTAAGTTAATTAGGAGTTTTCTACTTAAGACCCATCCCAATGAGTACGATGAGTTCATGCTGCCTCCTGCTGTGCACAACCTACCGACACCCTTGGTGGATACAGATGCCCCATCGCCAGGTAGGCGTCGCGCCTTGTGGTTCATGGCCTTCACTCTTGTGTCGGTTGTCTTAGCTCTGGGTAGCCTCTCCATTTGGCATGCTAAGCTCATCACGCGTGGCGAGACGAGTGTGGAATCACACATTAACGAGGCAGAGCGCAAAAGGCTCCTTCAACAGCAACGCATCTACATCAATCCCTATAATTTTGGCACCAAAAAGAACTGGAAACTGTTTTTGGGTTTGGTGAGAGGCAGGTAAGTGGGATTTATATTGAAAAGTTCCTATTACTCATAAGCCTACCGAGCAGATCTTTCTGGCGAACAGTTCTGCTGCCCTCCTGGCACAAGCCGGAGGGAACTGGCCTCAGTTTCCACACAGTACACGATGCCCCCTTTGAGGACGAGTGGCCATAGTCGAAGCTCTTGTGATGTCAGTTTAGAGGAATTCCTTAGCAGAAAGATTAAGCTTAAGCTCAATTAGATAAGTTTTAGGTATTCTACGACTCCAAAGTTCCCTTAATATAGTCATAGTTGAAGAGCAAATGCCAGGACATTTATGTACTTTTATTTCCATAGCAACTAAACGGAACAGTGACGCTTTTTATATATACCTAAGTTAAATAATAAAATCGTGCATTAAACAAATCTAACCTGATGTGGTTGCCCTTGACAGCCTGTAGCTTGAAGGGTTTTGTCAATAAAAGGTGTAAAAGAACTTGCAGCTTGAACTTGAAAGGATGTCGAAGGCTTCGGGCTCGGAAGATGAGCCGTTGGTGCCGGATGATTTCGATGATGATTTCTATAAGGAACTGTGCGAAAAGATACCCGAGGTAAAGTGGCAGCATGTATTGACAAAAGAGTGACTTAAATCCTGTATTTCAGGCTACGAAAGCCTTGCGGCAAAAGGATACTCCCAATAATGCCGACAATGTTCAGCGGTTGCTCATTTGTGGCTCTCGCTACAAGAGCGATCTGCGCCTGGAGAAGGAGCGCAGCCAGGAGCTGCGTAAAGAGATTGAAGGACTCGAGGCTCGACTGGAGACGGCGGCGCGAGTGAGCAAAATGGACATGGCCACCATTGAAGAGCTGAGGGGGGTCATAGGTAATTGCACCTCTATTTATTTAAATAAATAAATTAAGATGTAATATTATGGATGCTTAGAGGGCGCTTGGAAGCAGAAGGATGCTGCCCAGATCCGTGAGCAATCTGCCCAGGACGAGGTGTTGAGCTTGCGGGAGAAACTGGACGAATCGGAGCAGATGGTGGCCCATCTCAATGAGAAGCGTCTGGCCATGAGCAAGCGGGACGATGGCAAGGAGCGGGAACGCCTCACCGCCGAAATAAACGACCTGAACAAGCGCCTGAACCTGCAGCGAACCTATGCCTCAGAACTGGACAGTACCATTGAAGGATTGGAGGCCAAGAACAAGGAGCTGCTCAAGCTGCTGGATGTAATATTTATTCATATTTTTACTTATATGCTGGAGGTAATGAACTTCTTCCTAGGAAACCTCCAGCGATGCCATCAATTTGAAACGCAAGGTCGACGCCCTGACCAAGGAGCTGTCGACGATGAAGAGCGAAGAGTCGCGCTACCAGGAACAAATATCCCAAATGAAATCGGCCAACGAGATGCTCACCAAGGTTAAAGTGCGTCAGAACTTGCAGATTCTGTCCTTGAAAACGAATCTCGAGCACCTGAACACCCAGCACAATGCCACCAACAACAAGCTGGCCAAGATCACCGTCGATCTGGAGTATACGGTGCAGGAAAGGGATAAAAATAAGAGAGCCCTCAACCAACGCATCAACCTACTCAAAGTGCGAGAGGACGAGCTTATCAAAGTTCGTCAGGATAATGGCAAGCTGGCGAAGTCCCAAGAGACCATAGCCCGCAAGTATGCGGGCTTGGACGAAGCTAAAAGGGAGGTTGAACAGGAGAACATAAGACTCAAGTAAGCTCTTCTCCACATGACGCTTTAGCCACTTGAAATAATGTACTTTCCAGGACTCAACTGGGTACCCAGGACAAGGAGCTGGAGTCCATGCGTCGCGTGGTCCATCACTTTGAAAGGAACAACGAGAATCTTACCAAGGAGCGCGACACACTGAAGCGGGAAGTTCAGGCAGAGCATCAGCACGTGGAGCAGACCACTGCCCTGCATCAGGAGGCGCAGCACGAGGTGCGGGCCCTCAAAGACACCATAAGCACCATGGACATTAAATTGAAGAAACTCAACGAAGACGCCTGCAAGCTAAAGAAGGAGAAGACTAAGAAGCTGGACGAAATCCAGCACTGGATTGACAAGCTGGATGCAATGCAGAGTGAGTGTCCATACACCTAATGTCTCTTCCTTTTCAATATCCCTTCTTTTCCAGACGAAATCCACCTGAAGGAAAACTACGAGATAGAACTAAAGCGTACAATCAGTGACTTGGAGGCCAAGTGCTCCAAGTTCCAGCAGCAGTACGATGTTCTTGTCGCCGAGAGGCAGACTCTGCAGCGGAATGTCCAAGTAGCCGACGAGGATCGCCAGAAGCTGCGGGATCAGCTGGTCAATCTCCAAGCTCTCGTCGAGAAGCTTAAAGCAAAGATTAGCTACCGCGACGCAGAGCTGTCCAAGCTCCAACTTCAGATCGATCGCATGGAGAAGGAGCGACGCCTGCTGCGCAACGACATCCGGCACGCCCAGCTAGGCCAGCAGCACACTAAGGCCGAGCTGCTGGACAAGCGTAAGGAGAACGATAGGCATGCCAAGTCGTTGCAGGAGGACGAGCAGAAGCTGGCGCGCCTGCGCAAGGATGCGGACAATCTGATCAACGAAAAGAATGCCATCAGTGCGGCACTGACGAAGCGGAACGAGGAGTACGAGCGACTGAAACACAGCCAGGAAAACCTGCAGACGGTGTACGATCAGACCCAGAGACAGTACACCCAGTGCCAGGATGACATGCGTCTCATGGGCATCGAGATCAAGAATTTGCGCACCGAAAGGGATGTCCTGCGGGCGGACAGGGAGAGTGCGGCGGATCTGCGCCAGGAATTACTCCAAATGCATCGCATGCTTAACCAGGAGCGGATTAAGGCTCGTGCCCTGCAGGACGAAATGGTCACCCCAATGAACGTGCACCGCTGGCGTTTGTTGAGCGGCAAGGATCCCGAAAAGATGGACCTCCTCAGCCGGATCAGCATTCTACGCAGACAATTGCTGCAGCAGAACGTCGCCGCCACGGAGCAGGAGCGGGCCCTCAACGAGGCCCAGCAGCTATACGCGGCTCTCAAGGAATTCATGCTAAAGCTGCCCAGTCACAAGGTGCAGGCAGAGCTAAACAGCGTCAAGGTGGGCCATCTTAGCAGCTCGAAACTCAATATTTTTCATTTAACATTTAATTTCTCCTCAAAAAGGCCACCTTATCCGCTAAGGATCGAAAACTGAAGGTGCTCAAGGCGGAGCTCTTTGCCAGGGAGGCTGACGAGAAGTCCAAGAAGGAGAAGCTCGAGGAGATGCGCATCAGTCTGGCCATTACCAAGAGCCACCTACTGGAGGAGAAGAAGCACAAGCAGAAGCTCTTGGAGGAGCGGCAATTGCTGGAACAGATGCACTGCTACTCTGCCCCTGCCCAAATCCCCAGGACCCTGGGCGCCGGCTTCAAGATGGTCAGCAACTTGCTTTAGCAGGATGGGGTGTTACGTTCCACTACTTAATACGGAAGATTCTTCGGATCGAGTATTTCTTCGAATGTTTTTTTTATAACCTTTCAAGATATGATTTTAGTCAGAAGATTGTAATACACTAAAGAATTCGTTTCCAACCCAATAAATCATATATATTCTTTATCAGCATCCACAGGCGAGTTGATCTAGCCATGTCTTAGGGGAAAAACAAACGTTTAATTTTTTTCAAAATTTTTTAAGGGGTTACATTGTTAAAATTGTCAAAATTTTACAAAAAAAAATTAAAATTTTTTAATTTGAAAACTTAGTACGCAGATTTGTTAGCATTATAAAAACTAGCTCTTCTGTGGTTTACATCTTAAAATTTATGCATTTTTGACTTAGTTATGAGTTTTTTAAACTTTAATTTGTCGGGAAAATTGTCTTGTGAATTATTATAATTTAATATATAGTATTATAACTTTAATCAAAAGCTTATTACATCGTGAAAGAATCATTTCCGACCCTATTATATATATTCTTGATCAGCATAAAATGGCGAATCTTTCTAGCTACATCCGGCCAAACATTTTTTTTTTCGGAAATTTCCCACTTTTGGAAAAAAGGAAACGGGTTACATCGTTAAAATTTTCGGAAATCGGGCAAAAAAATCACATTTTAAATGGAGTATGCAGCTTTACTACCCTGCTAAAAATAAACATACGAACGCTTTCCGAATTGAAATTAATGCATTTTTGGCCAAGTTATGAGCTTTTTAAATTTTGAATTGTCAAATAAATTTGCATTTCCGGCCCTATAAATCATATATATGTATTATTGATCAGCATCAGCAGCCGAGGCGATTTAGCTATAAGGGGTTTCATCTTTAAATTATAAAATTTTCCCAAACAAAAATGTACTCTTTTTAAATTCCCTATGCTTATTTGTACACAACAAAAACTAGCACAGAAAAGCTTTACATTTTTGCATTTTTGGGATAGTTTTGATCGAAAAATGTAAAACCAATAAACTCCCATCCCTGTTATAAAAGTAATGCTTTAATGCCTTCGTTGAAAAATGACACCTTACAGTGCTTCACAGGTAATCTAAATACATATTGGGACACTTCGTCAGTGGAAACATACGAGGTCCACTGGCACTGAGCTGGATGAGGATAAAAACAGCTTGTCCAAAAACCTGTCACCGTTCGGCTGGACCTTTTGAACTGGCGCAGAATGAGTATCCTGATGTTGCAGACGCAGTTGCTCCTGAAAGCTCACAATTAGGCGGTCGCGCGTCTTCAGGTCGATCTCGTTGATCCGGAGTTCAGCAGTCATGGCTTTGAGACGGCGCTTCTGGCGACGATTGATGCTTTCCTGGAGGAAGAGCTTTTCGTGGTACTGGGGATAGGCCTTCCGTTCCAATTGGCGCTTGTAGTCATTGCGGAGCCTTTGGGCCTCCGCAAGGTCCTTGACCAAGGTGTCACGCTGTACGGACAGGCGTAGGTTAACCTTGAGAAGGGACTGCACTTTGCATATAAGGTCGAAGCGCCGAGGGTCTTTGCCGAACAGCACACGCCAGCGGTGGATGCGACAGGGGCGGGACAGCTCTTCCGAGTAGGCTGACACCCTCAGCCTCTCCTGGTTGAGCTGCCGCTCGAGTCGTATCACATCCTGGCGAAGCTCTGCCCTATTGCCTACCTCCTTCTGCATGCACATGTGCGACATCCGCAGGTTGGACACCTCCAGCTTGAGCAGTCGGATGTCCTCCAGTCGCTGATTGTATTGCCTGGTGCCACGATCGATGGCAATCTGCATGATAGCCAGCTTCTCCCTTAACAGCCGCAACTCGTCGTTCCTCTTGACTATTTGCAAGCCCACCAGGGTCTTCTCCTTTTTAACCTCGTCCAGGGCACATGACATGCCCCTGAACCGCTTGTCATCGGTGTCAATGGTGTGCTGGCTTTGCTCCACCCTGATTTTCATCTCCCGGAGATCGCTGCGAGTGCTGGCCAGCAGAACATCCTTGGCATGGACCTCATTCTGCTTCTGGCGCACCGCCCGGCCCAGCAGCTCAATCTGGTTCCTTAGCGACTTCATATCCTTCTCGTTGGCCGAAAGCTCGGCGCTCTGCTGGTTGATCTGGTGCGTGAGCTCCGCCATCGTGGTTTGCATGATGGCGCGATCGCGGGAGCACATTTCTAGCGACTTCACCAGCATCACCTTATCGGAGTGAATGATTTCCATTTGCTTCTTGATGTTGAAGAAGTCCTGTTGCTTCTGCTGCAGCAGCATTTGGGTGGCCTCAAGACGCTCTGTCTTGTCGACCAGCCCTTCCTCGAGCCCGCCGATCTTCTTTTCGGCATCATTCAGCTCCACGAAAAGCTCTTGCCTTTCGCGTGCTATCTTCTGAACCTCCAGACTCTTCGCGTCCAGCAGCTTGCGGGCTTGTGCCAGTTCGATCTGGACGGCGTCTTTCTGGTTGCGTACACCGTAGATCTCGTGCCGGACGAATGCCACTGTGTCATTGAGTCGGGTTATCTCTACCCTCAGCTTGTCCCGCGTACGGGCCATTTCGTCCTTTTGGATGGTAACTTCGTCCAGGTTAGCAGAGAGCAGCGAAATCTTCTTATTTAGTAACTTGATCTCGTTGCTGCAAGAGGATGGAATAAAACAGAATAAGATACGTAATGTCAAACCATACGCTGTCTATGAGGAGGAGAAGGAGGAAGTACGTACCAATCGATCAATGCCTGGTCGTTCAGATCAGCGTTTTTTTTGGCCACCTGACGGAACCGCCGCTCCAGGTTGACGGTCTCTTCCGCCTTCTTCCTGGCATTCTGATCGGCGTGACGGAGGGCTGACTCGAGGTCGTCATTTTTCCGCCGCTGGGCGTTGTTCATTTCCTCGGCCCTCTTGAGGCTCAGGTGCAGCTGGTTCTTCTTTTCTTCCTGCGTGTGGAGAGTTTTCGAGAGATTGTAGTTATTATGAGAAAGGCGTTCATTTCTCTGCTTCAGTGCTTCGTGGTCGACCGTCATATCCGCCAAGTCCATCTGCACGTGCTGTAAGGCGAGGATCTTCTGCTGCAACGCCGCGATCCCCTTGCCCAGTTGCATCTCGCGCCCTTGGGCTTTTTCCAGTGCCAGGGCAGTCTTGCGCTCCAGCTTACAGTAAGCTGATTCGGCCTTCTTCAACCGCACTTGTTGATTGGAGATGGTGTCCTGTGCCACCTTCAGCATATCCTCGAGTTGCTCGGAGTAGATGCGGTGGGTCGACAGGCGCTTCTGGTAGTCTTTCAGCTCCCCGGCCAGGCGATCGCGATCACGAAAGACCAGGCTGCGGATATGACCTTCCTTGCTGTAAATATTTGAAATTAAACAATGAAATGGAAGGTTTGCAGAGTTCGCATATTCACCCTTGGAGCTCTTCGCTCTCTGTGTTCGGCAACTCCGACTGATTAGCGCGCACAAAGGACTGCAGCTGAATTTGGATGATCTCCTCGCGATTTTAATTGCATCCTCGTTTCGCCAGGCCTCCTCCAGGGACTCTCGCATCTTTTCCATCATTGCCTCCGAGGTGGACGTGGCGCGCAGGGCTAGCTCCAGCTTCTCGTCCGCTGTGCTCACCTTCAGGCGGAGCGTGTTGGCCTCTTCCACCTCGGCGACATATCGGGCGTGGAGTCTAATGAGGATATCCACGTACCGCTTGATTTTGCCAGCCGCAAAGGAGTCACGGCTGCTGAGGCTCTGCACCAAAAGGTAGGAGTTCTGGAAGAACTCTTCGTCGAGATCCACCAACAAATCGAGCTGAGCTGGTTCCACCGTGTCCTTGAAGCGTTCAGCCAAGTATGTGTTGGAGCTGAGGGATGTCTTGGACGGCACCTTCCTCTTGTTTCGCTTTCGCTTTAACAGCGTCATCTTTATGGTATCAATTAGCGAAGGAAATGGTTGAAAAAACAAATAGGCGAAGGATAAAATCCTTCAGGAATCAAAACAAACAAAAACAAATTAATTAAAGAAAATTAACTTCAAATAAACGAAAAACTCCGAACTGTATCAGTGTGAAGTATAAGTGTAATGCATTATGATCGGTTTTCCGGAATAAAAAAAAAAGATATGAAATGGCTTGTTGCAATAATTCCTTCTCTACTTATGAGAAGTGATTTCAAATTCCCATCAAGATAAATTCAAATTAAATCCTTTAAATGTATTATTTTTGTTTATTTAAGCATAAAATTGCATATATTTCTTAAACTCAATTTAGACACGTTTCTCATTGTTTTTGTTACATTTCTTTATACAAGTTTGAATCAGAAAATATATATATATGTTTATGTTTAGTGTGGTATAGTGATTTAATTATTGTTGAAATTCAATTTAAGGATTTCATCTTGCCACATACACATACGTCTAGGATTTACTTAGTTACTTCCAGCTAGAGGGATCGGATATAGAAACGCTTTAACATAGGGGAATTAATACATATTAAATTACGATAAATCACAAATAATGTTTTCGCAAAAATTTCTGCTACAATTAACGCCTACCATATAATAATCAGCTCGATTGATATAATACCCCCGCAAACGCTAGAAAAATATACATTTATCTATATAGTAAGGCCTTGGCTAGTGACAAAAGGATTTCTGCAAAGTTAAGGTAAGGTGCTCTTCCCTAAAGCCCATAAGAAACGAAAAACGACAAACAAAACGTAATTAGTTTAAAATGCAAGGCGTCATCCTCATGGTTATCCTTTGATATGAACCAAATGTCGATATATATAGTACAGGATCGAAGCTTTATTGTACACACACTCGTTTGATAGACGCTCAGTTATTGGTCATTGTTTGGAAATAAAAATATATAGTTATGGTTATATATAAGATATATATACGATCTATATACGCTCTCGCTTCGGATTGGGTTTACGTATAAAATACAGAAAACAATGTTTGCGATTCACAGTTTGCTTTTCCTCTCCCTTTTTGGTCATCAGCTGCGCCTGCCAGCGCCAAAGGCCAATCCTAAGAGGCGGTGGCCGTTGGACTCTGCAACTGGACGCCTTGGACTCCCTGCAAGCCCGAGCGCACCTCACGCACATAGCATTCCCGACAGACGCGCACCGCCTTGGTCAATCCGTATTTGGGCAGTGGTGCCGAGGAGTTGGAGCAGACACCGCAGAACACTCCGCCGCAGTTGCGGCAATGGTGGCGACGCCGGAAGGCAGTGAATGGCGTTTGGCAGGCCATGCAGCGTGGCGCCTTGCCATCGGGTATCCAGGCGGGCGGAGCCAGTGTAGTTGTGGCGGAGGCTGGCATCTGGGTTTCGTTGTTGCTCTGCAGGCGACGGCGACTGCCGCTCCTGGCACTTACCGGGGAATTCTGCTCCGAACTGGAGCTGGTGGAGGAGGCGCTGGACGGCGTGTTGCTGCCCACGGAATTGTTACGGTGCCGCTGGAGCTGGATCTGCAATTGCTGGTGCTGCTGCTGCTGCTCCTGCTGCTGTGTGCTGCTGTGGGCCGTCGTGCTGGCTGACTCCTGGTCCCCGAGACTTCGGCTCCGTGTCACATGCGAGCGACTGGCGGCCCCACCACTTCCCTCGCCGCTCAGCGTAGTCGTCACCAGATCGATGGTATGATTTCTCTGGATACTGGCGCCTGTGGAATGGCGCTGGGCATTGCCTGGATTACCATTCCTGGCGCCTCCTTCTTCACCGCTTCCACCGGCGCTGAACACATTGTCCAGCTCGGGATTCACCTCCTCCGCTGAGTAAATGCTTTGGTTGGAGCCGGCACTCTCCTGTATCACATCATTCTCGGAGGCCCGGAACTCGAACAGCTCCGACTCCTTGGTCTTTTCCGGTATGTCCATCTCCTCCTGAGCAGACGACATGTTCATGAGGAACACACTGCGAAGAATCTGGCGCAGATCGGAGGCAAAGTTCGTCTGCAGCTGGTCGGCAACGCCGGCAATGCAGACGAACAAGCGATGCAGCAGGTTCTCGGTGCTCCTGTGGGGATAAAGGTTAACACTTTGATGTTAAACAAGATTTGAGAGCCACTCACTTGAACTTGAGGCGTGCCGTGGTGTTACGCATGGCCAGGGACACATCGTCGGACAGCGAGGAGGCGGCACTAGTGTCGCCGCTGCCCAGGATCTGATCCCTCTCTGGCTGATTCGTCGTCTCTATAGGCTCCGAGGCTTCCAGGCTGCAACGTTTACGAGCACTACGCGTTGTGCGATGCGGATGCGGCTGCTCGTGGTGATGTGTGTGGTGCTGGTGATGATGGTGGTGGTGATGGTGGCGGTGATGGTGATGGCGGTGACTATGCCGATGCCGACTACTGGGCACGGGTGGCGCCTGCTGCTGCTGGACCAGCTGCTCCTCGGACGATTTGATTGTCGTTGTGTGCTCGGCCAGCGGTTCACTGTCACTGCTGGGCAAACGCAGCCGCTGAAGGTTGTGGCTGGCCGCCAACATGGCGGCACTGGTGCTGGGCTCATCCTCCTGACGCTGTCGCTGCTGCTGCAGCTCCCCGGCTCCATACTCATCATCTTCGCTGGCCACGAAGTTGTCCGTGAGAGGAACCTCCTGGGGCTGTAGCAGGTTTCCCAGATTGGTATTGGGTATGAGGTAGCCAGAGGCACAGTCCGCCGCCACAATATCCTTGAGCAACTGCTCCTCATCCGTGTCCTCGTCGCTGCTGGTATTCAAGTCCTCCTCATCCACCTCGATGTCTGCTTCCTCGTCGTCTTCATCCTCGTCATCGCCATCGCTCCAGTCTGCCGGTGGATTTGTGGAGCTAGTAGCCGCCGACGATGTGGAGGCTATCGAGTGCGAGGGCGTGGGCGAGGGTGCGGGCGAGGCGGTGGGCGTGCTGGTGGCCGACAGCGACAACATGGACGGTGAGCGCAGTGTGGCCTCCTCCGCGGCTGGAGCAGCACTGTTGCTATTATTGTTGTTTCGCTGATCCACCAGCCGTTCCACAGTCCTGTGCGTCGCCGTGCTGATGCTGCTGTGGTTGTTGTTGTTATTGTTGTTGTTACTGTTGCTGCTGCTGCTGGTGCTCGTTGTGGGATTGGCACTGTGCTCCGGACTAGGTGCCTCGATGCTACTCGAGCCAAGGGGAACCTGGGGAAAAGTAAATATCAAATTGTTAGTATAAGGAATGCAAGAAAATGAGGATCTATGCCCTCACCTTGGTGTTGTTGATATCCTCATTGGTGCACAGAAGCTTCTCCAGCTGGTACAGCTCCTGGTGATTGAGGTTGCGCAGGAGATCACGGATCTTGATCAGAATGGTGCGGAAGGGACGGAACATCTCGGACAACTGATCGCCCGGCATGTCCATGTTGAGTGGACCCTTGGCATAGACCACCAGGCCGGCGACAATGGCCAGCCGCGGAATGGAGAACATAAGGCCCGGATCGAAGGCATCCACCATGTCCTGATCGAGCAGTCCGGTCTTCAGGGCACGCTGTAGCGTCTCCGAGAAGAGCACGCCGATCCACTGCTGCATCTCGTACTCGTGCCGGGACTTCACCTGCACCATGGCGCTCACATAGCTTAGCTCGAACTCTGCGAACAGTCGATCGAAGATCTTCAGGCTCTCATACAGCTGCTCAGTGGTGGAGTCATTCAGGTCCAGGTGCAGGGTCTTGCTGTTGGGCACATTGTTGCGCAGACACTGATCCCTAAGCAGGACGCGCACATTGCCCAGACTCTTGGTCACCGCCTGGGCCAGGGGACGCATCTCTTTGCTCTCCGTCTCTCGGTTCATGATCGAGGATCCGGCGGCCAGGCACTCGGCGCCGAACCACAGCTGCCCCGCCAGGTTCTCCTGCAGCACTTCTTCCGGAAACTTGGCGCGAAAAGCCCTTGGGTCGCGATCATCTCCCAGCAGCTCTTCCATGATCAAGTTCGTGATGGCCAAGACTTTGTCCTGCAAAAGAAATAGAAATTATTATCCACTGACTTGTATATTTGGCTTTCCCTGGGACTCACCTGGTTCTGTCGCAGCCTGCTGACCAGTCTGGTGCACCGATCCGGCTCTGCCCGTCCATCGAAGCTGTCCAGCTCACTGGCCACCGCTGTAAGGGATCGATCCGCATGGAAGAAGCGGGCCAGCAGCGATTTGTCATCAGCCTGTACGGGAAGAAGAGATGCAATTTGGATGAGTAACTGGTCGTAGATAAGAGGTGCTCCCTTCCCAACTGTCTGCTCGTTTCAGGCTTATCGCTGGGCAAGACCAACAAATTGTAATTGGCAATCGGGCTGGACTTGAGGACGGATCGTGTGACAAGTGCAGTTGGCAAGAGGGTGGCGGAGGTTGGCATGGTGATAACGATGACTCAATGAGCCACTAAACACGTAGACGCTATCGTTCAGGCATACAGACGACCGGCTTAATTAACACCGCTAATTTTCGTTGATTTCACAACAAACCCACAAATCACGTATGTAAATATACAATGGTGGTCAGAGCTGTAAATCAAGGGTACACTTCCAATTGTAACCAAAGGGAATGAATTGTGTGATATTTAGAGGGGTTCATCAGGCGACTCAATTTAGATGATCGATTACTTATTTTCGTTGACTATTTGATCAATAATTTCTATTATCTTAACCGCAGCTGTGATTCCATTCGAATATTCGCTACCAAAACGCTCAACTTTAAACTGATACAATGAATAACAAAAGTTTGTTTGCCTCATAAGAGAGCGATGAGGAGGAGGAGGAGGTGGAAGGCAACCCATCAAGATGATGCAATCCCAGATGAGCTGCGCTCTTTTCCCCCCCTTCGTGGACATGCAACAAGTGGCTGCTATGTGTCTGAAATTTCAATGATCCATTTAATCACGTGGCTCACTTAAGCAGGGCTGCCAACCTCAACAAATCGCACGAGATTCACTCGAAGCAAAGGGGAAAATATACAAATAATAAATATGAACTTAAACCGAAAGAGAGGCGTCGAAGAGCGGGACGATAAAGCGAGTTATCGGCAGTTGAACTTGTTTTCTCGGGGCATTTCTGTCCGTGATTGTGTGTGTGCGTTTTCGCTTATGTGCTCTGTTTAAATATTAAAAGCGTAAAAGGAAACAAATGTATGGAGCGAACGAAATGTGTTTATTATAAAGGTAAACACGTCGAGTCAAAGCGTTGACTCTCCGCCATTGCTCCGTCTTGCTGCCATCAACTGCGCAGTTCGGCAGGTTTATCACTGGGTTCGGTTAAGAGTAGTGGGTACGGGTACGGATACGGGTAAGGGTACGCCGGAGAACACAGCTGCAAGCTGGAGGTGTGGACAGAGCGGGGCATTTGGCGAAACTTGAACTCACACAGAGAGCTACATATACCTTATAGTATAGATATGGCTCAACGATTCAAGGGAAATTTTTGCACCAGCTAAGTTTAATTACGTTTTCCCAGCTAGATTTCCACGCACACAGGGAGAAAAACAATGCATAAGGTTAATGCGATTTATAGGGAGTAGGTACTCGCTTTCATGAAATTATTCAAACCTTTTAATTTACAGCCTTTATGTACATATATATCATTTAAGCAATAACTCTGAGTGCAGTTACGCCATGAAATATAACTCGGCAGTATGATTCCATACGATCGAATGCAAGTGAGTGGGTTATGAATGAATCACAACACGCCATTCGATGAATCGATGCAGCTGAAAAAAAATATCGCATTCGTATTTTCCATGTCGTCATAGGCCCAAGGGTAGAGTTGTGTTTTCTGTTTTGCTTTTTTATTTTAGAATGTTTTTGCCATTTGTTTACACAACAATTAAATGGGCAAAGCTCTAAAATGTTTGAGGTTCATTATTGAGTACGCCTGGCCGCAAACGAAACGACGGCAACGAATAAGAAATCCAATTGAGAATTATAAATTATATAAATTGAGCAAGGCCATGCGTAAATAGTTCAATGACTGCCCAAGAAGTCCGCTCCGCTCGCCCCCCTCCCGGGAATCCCGCTCCCATTCTATTGGCCGTCATGACGACGTTGGCCAAAACGTTGCCGACGACGCCAACAGACCAGTTCAGGCCAGGCCGGCAGGCACTTTTTTGTGTAAGTGCCAGTCGTTGTAGCCATTAATTAGCGTCGCAATTTAGAAACAGACTGGTTGGCAGGGGAGAGTCAGAGGTGATATGAGGTGTTCGGTTCTCTACGAATATAACACGGATAAGGAAAGCATTGGATTGATTAAAGAACAAATTGATAAATTGAAAGCTTTTCAGAGCATTATTTTAAAAGTACTTCCACTAATAATAATTGCAATTGAAATGGAAAAAATCCTACCCCACTGTACACAAGCCTCAGCCTTCAAGTTAATAAAGAATTAATACGTAAAGGCCGTTTACATGCCTCATTCATATTATATACAATTTTAGCCAAATCCCAAATGTAATTAAAGAGTTGAAAAACACGGCAAGAGCAGCTGACAAAAAGGCAAAAGTTAAATGGTAATTACAAATTTTAAGCTCGTTTAGAGCCCAAGCGGAACGAGAAGTAAATGGAGGCGGATAAAGGCCTTATTATTACGAGCATTACCCCAAGGACTTCCTTGGCAATTCTGGCCGAGCCTTTAGGCGTTTGGTTATAATCAGAGGAAATGGCGCTGCGTGGTTTATTCATAAAGAATCCACCAGCAAAAAGTCGTGCTAAAATATTTAGAACCTCCGCGAATCAAAATAAACATTTGTGCAATGGCTTTTCGGTCGAAATGTGGCGAAAACAACATTTGCCGAGGTTGCAAAAGTTCTTTGACACTATTTACCTCACAATACAGGCCACACCTTGGAGTTACGGGTAATAACTGATGTTAATATCTAAACACATTTGTTTTTATCCGCCAGCAGCTTGGTTGTAAACACTGATGTGTTGTGTCTACCATTTCAATTGTTTTTCCAACTGGTTTCAGTGTTCGTCCGTTCAATTAACTAATTAAGGGTGAGTATGTGAGCAACTTTCTGTTTGTGGTTGATAAAAACAAAAACAAGAAAAGCGTACATTTATGGCCATATCGCAATTGGAGGTGAAACCAAATTTTCTGCTCATTTATTGATGTGGGTGAGAACCGCTTTCAATTCAGAGTTGAACAAGAAAATAAATTATGCCAAAGTAACTTTATATATGCAAATCATATAAGGAAGTATATGGAAGCTGACATGAGAGAGAGAATTACCGGCAAAGTTGCAATTGAGAGCAAATTGTGTCTTTCAGGTTCAACTTTCTAATCTTTGCAAACTTAGAAATCAAATTAGAAAGCTTTTTTATATTGTACATTTATATTATATGATTTTAATACCCTGCAAAATGAATCAGAGTTATCAGTTCGTGTAAAAATTCGTATTCCGTCTTTAAATCGCTCAGATACATTAACACAATTCTTTCGAAACAATTATAATTTTAGCAAAGAGCACTGGGACTGCTCCGATGGCAGCCATCTGGCCATTAAGGACATCTATCCTGACGTCACACGCATAGCTTTGACCTCGACACGCGCAACAGGCGTTCGCCAGCCCCACCGCCCTTCGGCTCTGTATCCTTGACGGCAGGCAGGCAGGCAGCCGGGACAAGGACAAAGGCCAGACGACAGACAGCGTATCTACATGGAGGACTTCTGGCTTTATGGCCCCCAAAAGACCTTCGAGGCTCGCTGAAAGGGTCGAGTCCGCTGACGCAAAGGATACGCAGAGAGACATGCACTTGACACTGAAATATTCGCACGATTCTTTTGAAGGCTGACTTTCGGATTCTTCGCTCTAATTTCAATCAATTGAGCAGCGCTGGACTTAAAAAACAACGCAAGAAATGTGGCAAAATAGGGTCAGGAGAGAGCAAATGCCGCGAACCCCTAACGAAGGCAGTCCAGCCTGGTCCAGCGGCACCTGCTGTCATCTGTTGGTTAATTGAGGAGATCTGGCTGAATTAAATATAAATGTAATAAATACCTCCGTCGTTGCTGGCAACTACTGCTGCTACTACCGACCGATCAATTGAATTCAATTTCTGCACAATTCCCGCTCAAACAAACTGCAAATTAAGCGTCTAATTTAATTGGGGAAAATTTGAAATATCAATTGCAAGTGCTAAATGTCGCAAGTTCTGGATAATTTCACAGACAAACGATTCACAGTCAGTATAGGAGAGAGCAGTCACGTGACCAAGCACAAGTTACTATTAAAAATATAGTAAGTTATTTACTATTTAACCAAAAAGTATTTAAGAAATAAGGTGTTGAGACATTCATAAATCCATTAATGGCGAGAACTTTATATTTGTTGTGCATTAATTATAGAGATTTGCAGGGTAAGCATAAAAACTTGAAGAATTTATTTTATATTTGCTAAAAATTAGCAGAAAATGCGTCGTAATTTCTATACAAAGAAAGTAAAGTGTCAAACGTAGCCTATAACCTACATAAAATATATAAATACTAGTGTATATATTGCCATTTATGGGTCTCAGAGGGAAAAACCACTTGAAGTCCAGCGCCAAGACTGATTTCTGAGAATCGGTTAATCAGTAATTTGTATGACTAATAAAACCACTATGGAAGGCGATATATATGGTGAATTTGACTTCTGCCAGATCCCTGAAATCTCTACAAATAATATTACAACATTTGGGCAATCAGAAAGGGGCAGGGACTTTCTGATCACAGGGGAACTACGGTCAAACAAAAACAAAGAGAAAGAAACACAGGCAAACCGAGGGAAAACTGAGTCACGGTCAAATTGTATATAAATAAATGAGCCTCTTGATAAACAAATGAAAGCTAAAGCTGTGCGCGTAAATACAAAGATTGAATATCAGAGCACAACCTATAGGAAGCCTATATAAATATATAAATAATACAGTAAAAAACATGCTAAAGGAAAGTAAGTTCGCATTCTTTGAATCGATATTAAGCTATATTTTATATGATCATTTTTTCGACAAATCAATGTTTTAAATAACTCATAGCTTGGCCAAAATAGCATTAATTTAAATTTGGGAAGCTGTCCCATATTAGTTTTTACAAGGTTAATTAATCTACATACTCAATTTTAAATTTTAAAAAAAATTTAAAATTTTTCACAATTTTAACGATGTAACCCCCATAAAAATTTTGAAAATTTCAATAAA